AAGATTTTATTAAATTTACCTGCTCGTTCACCACCAAGCCATTGAATAATTCTTGCTGTTTGATAATTTTCATTGGTTTTATTTGTTATAACAACCATTTCTTTTTGTTTTATCGACTGTATATCATAGGAAATATTTGTTAGAATTCTATATTAAAGATTTTTTTTTTTTTTTAACATTTATTTTTAATGTGCCTTGAATTGGTTCACATATTGAAATATCAAGAAAAATAAAGAAAGAAAATTGGAACGAATAATAACGAAATGAAAGAATGAAAAAGAAATAAGAGTAATAGAGAAAGAGAAAGAGATAGGACAAGTATGTAAATAACTGCATTTTAACAACACATTTAAATGAAAAGAAATGACTAATTTTACATAAAATTTGATTAAATACGTAAGATGAGAGCGACAACTATCTTGGAAGATTTTAACATTCGTCTATTTTAAGGTCTAATAAGAAAACATTCACATTTTTATATTACGGTGGTTTAAGTAAGAAATATTTATAAATAAACATATTTAGGTAGTAGGTAGATTTCTTGAATACTTCATGTTGCGGTATGTGATTTACTCTAAACTGTAGCCAATCATCTTTGCTATGTTTTACTCTTTCAACTAGTCTTTTTAAAAACTTACTATTTTTTCTGAAACCTAAGTTTTTGTATTGAGATTTATCCAGCTTATTTAATGTTTGGAAGGCTGTCCAGGTATGTTGATATGATGTTGCTTCTAGTGATTTATCAAGATGGAGTGAGAATTTCGACCAATACGAGAAAATATAATCGAGTAGAGTTTTTTCTTGACAAAGGATTAGAGTGGTAAACTCATTCCAGCCATATTGTATATAATAACTTGATCAATAATTTATGTTTCATTTGTGTTTACATTTACAAATCATGTAGTGTTCTCAATGCAGATTTTCGTTTAGTTTTTCTTACATTATGTTGATAAATGTTTTATCTCTATGTCATAATTAAAAAGCATTTTAAGATTATGAAACACTTCGTTTCTGAAATTCTTATCATGTAACTTACATCACTGTTCTATCATCAATTTTTAAATAAAATAAATTTAATGCAGTAGAAAGATACAGAACAAAATATAAATGACTGAGTATTTTACAAAAATCCACCAGAGTACTCAGGAAATGTACGATAAGTACTCGCAAAACACTCAAGTTTACAGAGCGAGTACTCGATAGTCGTACTCAGATACTCAGATCTTAGCACGAGTACTACTGATGAGTACTCAAACCCACGAGTACTCATGAGTTCTCGCGGCATTTTCTAGCGTGAGTACTTTTGAGTACTCGCTGGGTGAGTACATTCACTAGGGTAAGGAGTTCTGGAGTGTAGGATGTTGTATTTTTTTCATATTTATCTGGTATTTAATAAGCGGACATAATAATAACTGTCATATATATTTCATCGATTTAATTGAAATAAAAACGTTTAATCTTTGATCATTTATCTCGAGAAAAAATAATTTAACTTCCATAAAATGTGTGTAATTACATCAGTCAGATATATTGAAAATCTGTGTGCTCACTATCTACGAAAGTTCTTCTCGAATTTCATCACGAGTCTGTACTTTTCGCCAGGAATTTTTAGGTAGTGTCTCAGACAACTTTGGTTTATCATATGTGCTGCTTTTCTAGTAAAAATCTCTATTGATCATTCTATTAATAGCAATTAGGTATTATATCCTATTTTTTTGCGAATGTACCTACACGTTTAAATGATCGTAGATTGCATTACAGCTTCCTCATACTAGATTTATCTCTTATGGACAAGAGGGAAAAAGCGGACTTCAAGTAGAAAAAGTAGGGCAAAGTACAAAAGTACTTCAAAGTAGTGTGAAGTAGCTTAAACTAGCCCAAAGTAGCTCCAAGTAGTAGAAAAGTACTTGAAATTACCGCAAAACCTAGAGAATAGTTTGAATTATGGTACATTATATTAGAGTACCACTTAAATCTCTAAAATACATGAAACCAGATTGAACTATGTTTTATTGAATATCCAGTGACCTTTATTGATACAAGAAAATAAGTGAGTTAGGTATTTCACGAAAAAAAACAAATTTAATACTAATAAATGCGGAAACATCGGATTTACATCCGATTGTTATGTGTACTTCAAAAAGCAAAAAAGTGCATCCATTTTTTTCCGTTCCTACTCTGTCCTAAACATTTTATATCATGCACAACAAAACTAGAACGAGAATCGAATACACTACTGAAGATACAACTCATAAAGACTGTTGCTAAGTGACGAGTTCTATTTACTCTGAAAACACTGGTATTGCTCATATGAAAAACAAATAAATATCACACCCACACATTATCAAGATATATGAGTTTTTTGACACTGTGATGCAGAGGAAATCTTGTGAGCAACCTGTTTACCCTTATAATTTAGCATAATTTTGCAGCTCATGGAATTCCCTATTTAATGGTATATGATAGTTGAAAAATGATTTTGATTATGATAATTCTTTTCGTTTGAGAAAAAAATTATCATAAAATAGAATAGGTCACTATTCACATAGAAATTAAGGATATTTTTTGCCTAACTCAACAAATTCTTAACGGATTACTTTCATCTTCGAACTCGACTGAGATGTCGATGAGATAATTCTGTGTACAAAATTTCATGACAATTGGATGAGGCTTTCAAAAGTTATCGTGTTAACGGTCGGACGGCCGGACATACTAACCGATTCTAGAGTGTACTCACTTTTTGAGTACACAAAAATAATTCGAAAATCCAAGTGTCAAATTATTACAAACACTTACAATCCAAAGGTTGCGACCATATAAAAAATATTAAAAAGCTGCAAAAGATTCAAGGCTCACGCAACAAGAATTATCGAGATCTGTTGAATTAACATCCAATCGACCAATATCTTCATCTTCAGCAAATTCACAATTAGATGAAGTTGATGATGCTTCTCCAACTTCTATGGCAACATCTCATACTGCATTCCAGATCGTAGTAAATCAGAGTATGCAAGCTAATAAACGTCGTTTGGCATCACAGTCACAGAATAATCATCCAGTAAAAAGAAGTCGCATTTGAACGTTTTTCTTCTCAGTTTTAGTTCATTTAATGTAGGTGTGATCTTCGATGTTTTTTTACTTTTCATTGCTTATTTTAAGTAAATCACGGCAACATTTGTTTACTTTAAATGTGTTTGCTAGGTTTTCTAGGAAATGTTAGAATATAATACAAAAGTCATCGCATAATATGTAATAAATATGTTTTTAGTGTTGTGCCATGACGTTCTACCATAGATAAAGTTTCTTGAAGTACTACAAAGTTATTTGAAATACGTCGAAGTTACTTGAAGTATGTCAAAGTTATTTGAAGTAACTCGAAAGTTACTTGAAGTACGCCGAAGTTGCTAGAAGTAGCTCAAAGTATTCGAAAAGTACTTTGAAGTACTTCAAAGTAGCCTAAAGTCACCTCAAAGTACCCTGAAGTAACTTCAAAGTACCGTGAAGTAACTTGAAGTACAAAAGTCCGCTTTTCCCCCCTTGACTCAATAACATCTACTGTTCATTATTCTTTACTTATTCACCGCCTAACTATTTAGTTTGAAATAAGAAAGTTGACTTTGAAAGTTTTTCAATGGTATTTAGAAATGGTAAATGTTAGTGAGCTTATATTATTTTTTAAGAATAGAACTTATGGGAAATTTGTGGCTCCATCCTATGTCTATGCAATCTAGCGGCAAGTCCGAAAAGCACCCTTATAGATGGCTTCTTCCTTCGGCTCAACAGTTAACTAGCTTCTTATAATAGAGCATTGATGATAAATTTTGCAAGTTTCTCTACTTCATAGTAACAGTGCTGATGAGATTCAGTTTGCCTAAACGACATTATCTGATCTGTCCGATTCATATTTCTTGAAAACGTTTTCTTAATCTATAACTAAGCTTACGTGCGTGAGTCCTACAAGAGCTAACTTTCATGAATCACAATTGTGCGAATTGATTATTATACTTTTCTAATCGATTTTTATTGATTATAATCAAAATTATCAATTGAATTATTCTGCAACAAAATCAAAATTTTAATCGATTAGAATCGAAATAGAAATCACTCCTAATCGATTGTCAAGTACGAATAATCGATTGATGTTGATTAGAATCTCGATTTAAATCGATTATAATCTTGATTTGTTGCAGAAAAATCCGATTACTAATTTGGATTATGCCCAAAGGATTTCGAAATTATAATCGATTTTAATCCCTAAAATTTTTCACTGGGTAGTCTTTAAAATATGAAACAATATAATCATATCGATATAAAACGACTGCGTCATGTTTCACATTTTAATTGCATGGAAATTATGTATGTACGTAGCTCGTTTTGATCTATCAGACACTAGAAGATATCCGTATCTCTAATTATAGCACTATCTTAAGTATTGACTTGTTTGCAACTGTCTGGTATGATCACGATTAATATATAACTAGTTTTTTTACAAAATCAAAGATTACCAACATTTGTGTCGACCTCATTTCAATTTCGTCATTCGTAACTATTTACAAATGAGTAATGTATATGATGATTTTCATAGTTGGAAAAAGCCAACAATACAAAAAGCTGGAATAAATGGAGAAAAAAATCTTTTATACAACTCTCTTCGTCTTTTCTTGTTTGCTTCTTATATGTTTCTTTTCTTTTCTCGATCAGAAGTATCACGATATTTAAAAAAAAAGCAAAATTAGAAAATGTCATATTGGCAGAACCATCAGCAACATATTATGTTATCTTATGAATGGACGGTACAAAAATTAGTCTTATCGGTTTATGATTGTCTTGTTGCAAAAGGATTACCAGTTTGGATGGATATTAAAGCTGGACTACCATCAGACAATTTATTTGAAGGGTATGAAAAGTTGCTCAAAAGAGATACGTAAATTTTACTTTAATTTGTCTAGCCTCGGTGAAGCCATTGAAAACTCTGCTTGTTTTATATGTTTCATGACGCCAGAATATCAACAATCTGAATTTTGTAAACAGGAGCTTCAATACGCAAAAGCCTGCAAGATACCAATCGTACCATTGAAGTTAGTACAAAACTGGGAACCAACAAGTTGGTTAGGTAATATAATTATTTAATCGATCTTAGAAAAAACAGCATCGTTGTTTATTTTGAACTATTCTTCAGGTTTCATAACGGCAGGTTTATTGTGGCTTGATTTTTATCATGTAAAAAACGTCGAGAATAAAGCAGATGAGCTTTACAATCGTATTTGTAGATCAATAGACAATCAAAACCAATTACAGAATCCACACGTATCCAACTCAATCGAAAAAGAACAATTTGTCTGTACAAAATTAAAACCGCCCCCTCGTAGTCCTTCATCCAGTAGACAAAAAAGCTCATGTATGTATAACTATTCAAATATTTATCTCACATCCTGTGTTTTTGTTGATAGCTATCCAGAATAAATTGCAGAAACCTGGTCTCATTTCTAAAGAACATCGTATCAACAATTCGGCCAATCAATCTTCGTACCAAGCATCGGATGCATATCAAATGAAAAATGATAGTCTCCAATCCAGAACATCGAATCAACATAAGAATAGCTTCCGTGGAGTAAAACCGGCTACTTATGAACCCTTCGTGTGGAATCTCAATACTACTAGTGATACATCCCCCGAACGCAATGACCGACCAGCTACAGTTTATTCATATGCTAGTCATGGTCGAAAAAGATCGAAATCCAGGACAAGGCTTCCAACTGCTTATCATGAAGAAATAAATGATGCTAAATTTCACGCATAATTTAACGGATTTCTTTGAATATTATTGTTGAACAAAATGCATTTTGTGGCTCTTTCAACAAGTTTATCTACTTCTTGATTTTAAGTGTAATAAAATAAAGTTCACATATGCCGATTTTCAAGCATACCGTAGGTTCAGGTTCATGTGCTTGAGTGAGAATGGGTATTTTGTCTCTACTCAAATCCATAGTTTCTCTTTTGAATGAAAAGATTTCGTTCAAATTTTTGTATAATAGAATCGGCAGTATATATTGGATCCAACAAGTTACTACTATGTGCAGTATCAAATTTAGATACATATATCAACAGTAGTCTGTGAAAATTTACCTTCAGAACTTTAATGTTTTATTTTCGTAGGGAAACGCCAAGACTTTCATCAAAATGTTTTGAGTCAAGTGTTCAATTCAGTTCAAGATGTGCTTAGAATTTGAAGAAGTTCAGAGGTGAATTTCTCATAGTAATGACTCAACTAAGATGAACAAGTCCGTTTACAACGGAATAATTCTTGTATAGTAAGATAAGATACTATGTACAATTTTTCTATTTCGTGATATAATGATGTTGCCCCTCAAGATCTCGATAGCAGTTACAGTTTCATTTGATGAATTGTGTAAATTGAAAATCCATCTGAGTAGCGGCATTAAGGACCATGTATTATGTTTAGATCACCTGATAAAGTAACACTAATGTTTCCGTATATTCATATTATTGTTCTGGTGATAACTGCTTCAAAACTTTGTAAATTTTCAGTTTCTGCAGTGGATAGGTTACCATTATCCTTTCCGTTAATCAAATTGTTTTGATATTTCTTGTTTAAATTTCGATACTTTTCTGAAAACTACCAGTAGGATTGAGAATGACATTGGATTTGTGTCTGTCATTTTACATCCATACCTTTAGATCCTCTGCTTTCATCATTACCTTTTGATAAATAACAAAATAAAGTTCTCAACGAACAGTTTGGAAAGGATAACTTCTATCGATATTGAAATCAGTTAGGTTGTGCTGATAGAACAGTACTAAATATTAAGTTAACGCTATGGATCAATGTGATTTTCCAGCTCTGAAATTTATATTTTCAACTGCAAAAAAAATATCAGTTGCATGCATTCATCGATTTTGATAAAAGAGGTTTAAGTAAATGAACTGTAGTAGAAATTAGTTTTGGTAAAAAGAAATTATAAAGTAAAATAAAAAGAAATAATAATGTTTTGCTGAATTTATGACCTTTCTAATTAATTAGATTTATTCAAGTAGATATTGAATTTTCAACTCTTCCTCTGATGCATTAGCATATAGATTTTTCCATTCGATGATCGTATTATTATAGTTGTCTCTTGATTCTTTACATTGTGCACCTTTTACAGACGATAAAGCATCATCTGGATTTGGCTCTCTCAGTAAGCGTAATATCTCCATAAAAACATTGTACATAGAAGTTTTATGTGCCCAAGCTGTACCTAATATGTCGTGGCAAATTTTTCCATCGTCATTTACATTACAGTGATAAATCTTTGTTATGAATCGAATGTCAGGTGGCTGTTCTGGATAGATTTGCGGAAATTCTATAAATAATAACCAACGACCATCCGAATATGGTGTACCTGTTTCACCGTGCATAATAATTTTCCAGAAGAATATGTTCTCTTTTGAAATAAAGAAATCGAAGTTTTTCAACTGCAATTTATTCAAATTGTTAATTTCAAGCATGATTCGTCTTAACGACACGCTTGTCGCACGGCCATCACTTACACGTGCTTGTTTTGACGCAATAGCTGGCTTATCTAAGAATTTCGATTGTCGACGCTGAGGATATTTTATTTTACCGTAGATATTTTCTTCTCGATCTTGAACTGATATACTTGCTTCCAATTCGAATAAATTTAACATATACTCTTTATCATGTTGAATATCTGTATAGTAGTAACCTTTTGTTTTTTCACAGAATTCAACCAAGACATTATTAATTACAGCATCAAAGCTGATAGCGTCGAAAACAATATTGTCGGCTAATAATTTTTCTAAGACAACTGTTTGTGAAGCTTTGCTGCACGTATCAGCAACATCAGTTAAACATAGTATCAATTCTCTGTATGTTGGGCTAAGTCTTGTTTTTGATTTGTCACGAAATGACCGAATGTTTTGTATTGCAACATCAATAGCATCATATAACGGTGTATCAGAGCCACAATCATGTTGATTAGCTAGTGCTGTCTCAAAATAAGTAAAAATCTCTTGTTATATTACACTGTACAATAACTCGTTTATCGGGTATGTTTGGTAGAGATTCTAGTAAGCGATGACGAAAAGAAAAATCACTTGATGAACCTAAAATTAATTCATCATCAGCACCAAAATAAATTAAACCGAGAGAATGAGGAAGTCTGTATGATACTAAACGATCTCGCCATGCACCAAAAGCCATTGTACTCAACTCTAATAAAGAATGTTTGCTATCACCACTACTAACCATTACATTCATGGATCCACTGATATCGAAAAATATGCAAGTAACTTGTTCTATTTTTCTTATATCCGCTGCGTTTTCTCTAATGACAAGATATGGCCATTGGCTAAGAACTTCTTTTGATGCAGCATCATTTTTAAAGAAATTCTCATTTTGGTCGAAAGGATCAAGGCAGCCGAAAGAATCTTCCAAAGCTTTAGCTGCAGTCTTAATATAAACAGTATTACCAGATTTAAGTAGAACGAATTGAGCATGATTATATTTGCATAACGTTAATGGGTCGGCAAAAGTAAATATACTAAACAAGTCATTTGTCGATAACTGCTGCTTTATCTCGTGTAAGTCATGATCGGAGAAAAATCTCAGGTTTTGTTTTTGTTCAGAAACGTTACCAATTGAAAGCAAGTCAACGTTCGCATTTGGTACCCAAAGCGTATAATCAGATGAGTATTGCTCAAATAAGTCTCTCTGCTGTGACGGTTCGTTATTGTTCGACGGCATTTCAAAAATTTTCAAAAACATCAATAATCCAACAAGATCAGTTTGACGTTGGTAATCATCTTCTGTTAATTGGTACTGAGTTTGAACTTCTTCGTATTCGATTAACACAAAACGATTGCAGGCACCATTAACTATTTTATCGTTAAGCAATCTAACAGGTTGTACGAAATATTTATCAGGTCCTCCTTCTTTTGCAGCATCGGCATTAGTTGGTCGATTTAAGCGACTAAGTTCTACACTTTCGTAGCAGGCATTTTCCGTTGAGCTGTAATCTCCATTGCGAAATATCCAACAGAATACATAGGGTGTATATGAAAATAGATCACAATCAGAAATATGTTTCGGTAGAAGATTGCGAAATAAATGGAAGAATGCTTCACTTAGCAATTGCTTTTCAAAATTAAACAAAGCGCCTTCCATTGCATGCTTAAATGCAAGACAAGCTGGTGGGAAAAGAAATCTACGTAGTACTATTAAAAATTGTGGCATATAAACATTATGAACACTGTCGGAGTCCACGTCTTTATTTGCTAAAAATACTCTCACCAGAGCATACATGGAATTCAAATAAATTGACATGGCTAAATCAGGTTGTTTTCCCGATCTTGGCTGCCATAAATCGCTTTGAAGAAATATTTGTCTGAAATTTTTCGTGTATTCATATTTACGCGTTTCAAATGTTCGGTCACACTCGAATATATAAAAATGTGGAATACTCTCCTCATTAATCGTAGTTAAGTTCAAGAAGTGAATGATTGGTTCCGCCAAAAACTTGATGGATTGAAATATATGCATACGATGATTGAATAAAAGAAGAAATGTTGTGGTGAATTCTATTTTCAAGTAGATAGCTTCATATAAATCTTTTAAAGTTGCATCATTATTGAAACGAAATTCAAACACTTGTCCCAACAATGTTTGAAGTTTCATTGTAAAACTTTTATTCTCAGCGCTTGATATTAATATTAATTCAGACGAGTCTTTAATACCAAGTTCAGCCAGTTTGGATGATGTTGAAAGTTCCTCACCATCATCACATAAGTTTAATGTTGTGTTTGCCTTTACATTGAACTCGACGCGTAGAACTTCTATGAACTCTTTGATCGTGGTTGCTGGATAAGGAAAGCGTTTAACTTTTCCATTAAATTTAATTTTTATTATACTTTCCATAATTGCCTTAAAGAACAATTTTTTGTAGAAAATTCTTAACTTTCTTTTGATTCTTTTTAGCACTAATCCACATTTGAATTAATTTTTACACGCACACCCTTGTTTCTATTTAATACAAGAAAAGCTATTTTATTGCCATTTCAATATTTTTCTGTCATTCAATTTAGTATTCTATTTTACTGAGAACAGTCATCTGCTGCAAAGTCTCTAGGACTATCAAGATAGATGAAAGCGTTTTATGCCGCTCTATTTGAAAGAACGGTTTTTTTGTGTCAAGTATAACATAAACGCTGTGAAATCGAGGCAAATCCTAAAAGAATTCACTGAGCTGAGTCATTTTTTGAAAAGAAACTGTGTTTTTCTGACGAAACTTACAATAAATTAAAAAATGAAAAACAACTAGAATCCGCTAAAAGATGTCTTTTTTCAACAATGCTTAAGCGTAATCAGTGTGTCGTGGTTAAATAATAATAAATATTCACTTATTTATTATATTTGCTATAAAATAAGTTCGTACGTCTTATCTAGGTTTTTCTGATCGCCGCGCATGAGTTTTCTTATTACCTTTTCATCACATATAGGAAGATCACGGAGAAAAAAGGATAGCTTATTTAGTGAGTACTTTTACTCAAGTCATCGCATTTGGTATGGTGATAGGCCGCTTCATCCAGAAATCTTGAGTGTTGCCAAAGGATCATTCAAGAGATCAAGTAGATACAATGATGGTATTCGAGGAAACGGATATATTGTAAATGCTCTTGAAGCAGCTTTGTGGACGTTTTGGTATGATGATAATTTTTTCGAAAAGGGGGCTCGTGATACTGTCAATCTCGGCGATAATACTGATACTACAGCTGCTATATATGGTCAGTTAGCTGGCGCTTTTGATTCTTATGAAAACCTGTCATTGAAATGCGTAGAACGTCTCTATGCCAAGAAATTCATAAACACTGTGAGTAAACAGATTGCTTATGAAAGAGAGCGGGGGAAACTGAAGCATAAGAATTGGTGCACTTACTTTGCCGATCAAAAGGAAAACACATTTGATTTTACTTCACTAAGTCTTATCATTCCCTCTGGACATAATGTTCATAAAAGTTAAAAAAACATCATGTAACATAGTTCTTTTTCTCTCTCTTTCTCAATGTGCCTTAATAGTCCTAACAAAGGACTCTACAGGATAGTAATTATCATTCATCTCGCCAATGAGATGGAAAAATAAGCCTCCCATGTAAAATTTTTTATTGATTTAACGAAGCATCCTTACGTGAAAAATCATTAAAAATTTAACGACTTAACGATTAAATATGTTACCTTTTTGACCGTAAACACGCGTTAAATTTTCTAAAATTAACACATGAAAACGCGTTAAATTTTTTTCACGCGTTTTGTGTCGTTAAAAGTTAGGTTTTCTACCGCGTGAAAACGTGTTAATTTGTTAGCGCATGTATATGCGTTAGTGCTGAAAGTTCTTACTGGATTTTATCAACCATTTATAGATGATCAATACTTGTAAGTGACTAATATTCCTAAGGTTTCATTTTTTTATCTGAAAAATTTAGAAAATTAGCTGCAGTTCAACATCATTCGTAGTCAGTTAGACAAAAAATAAAAGTTTTCAAAGAGTAATTATGTAAATACTTAATGTTTGAAAACTTTTATTTTTTTGTCTAACTGACAGCGTGCGATGTTGAACTGCAACTAATTATCTAAATTTTTCAGATAAAAAAATGAAACCTTAGGAATATTAGTCACTTACAAGTATTGATCATCTATAAATGGTTGATAAAATCCAGTAAGAACTTTCAGCACTAACGCATATAGATGCGCTAACGAATTAAGTAGAGATAACGAAACTAGAACCCATGTGAAAATTTCAGCGAAAAAAATAAAGCTGAAAAATTCGCTATGTAATCGCTTTTAAAGTCACATTTTTAAGCAACTTAAAGTGCTTAGAAATAGAAGTTAAATCGCTTTTAAGCACTGAAAAAAGCAAACTTTAAGTGCTGACAATTACTCATTTAAGCACTTCCTAGCTAAATCAACGGCGTCAACTCTTAAAGATGAAATATTATTACATGAGAATCATGCTAATCGTCAATTCTAATGATATGAGAATGAAAATGAACAATAATAAATAGATCGATGATTAAATTAGAACGAGCGGTTTTAGTCGAATTCGAATATATTTTCTAACGATTCTTAAGGAAATAGATAAAAAATTAACTTATTATGTCTCAAACAATCACTAAAATATTAACTAAGTAATTTATCGTCTTCTATATTTAATATAAGAACTCGTATAATCTTCTAAAACTGCAAGAATAAAAGGACAGAAAAAGTATCTCCTTTCATACAAATCTTTTATCTCTCCTACATATCCGTCATAATTGTCTCTTAATCATTAAAAGGAAAATTTAAAAAAACTTACCTGTTCATTTTCCTAAAATATTGTTCAATTTCGTTATTCGGCTGATCGCTACACTATTGACGCATCACATGAATGAAAATTTTTTCTTTCGTTCCTTTCAGGCTACAACAACGTGAGTTTTGTAGTTGATTCAAGTAATTTAATAATATTGTTAAATTACGTCACGCGTGAAAAAAGATGTGAAAATTAACGAACTTAAATCAATGATAGTTCGTTAAAATACTAAACATTCAAGAAAACGCATTAAATTATTTCACGCGTGAAAACATATCTTAAATTTAACGAACTTAAATCAATGATAGTTCGTTAAAATACTAAATTTTCAAGAAAACGCGTTAAATTACTTCACGCGTGAAAACAGATGCGAGTTTTCATGACATTTAACGCGTTAGTAACTGTTAAAAAGTCATTAACGCATAAAAAACCGTGAAAAACCTAACGCAGTTTCACGAGTTTGTGGAAGATAACGAAGCTTCATGAATAGCTTTTCATTAAGCCTCGTTAATTTCAGATTTAACGCAGTTTTTTTCGTTAATTTTGAATATCAATTCGTTAAATGCCTATTTATTTTTACATGGGCTGAACACACTGATTGATTACCACCCACACCCTTCTAATAAAAATCATGGAGTTTTCTACCTATTTGTATTACTGTTCGCGTGAAGGAAAATGAGAGCTTGTAGTATTCATTGATAGCAACAGAGAAAAAAGATTCGTAGCCGAAATGAACATCTTTGCCTTTGACTATGTATACAATGGTACACAATAGTTAATTGCTCCGATCATTGTTTACAGAGCACAATAATCATGGGAGGGGGAAACAAACGAATTAAATAAATTACGCCATGTAAAAGTGATCAATAATCACACAGATTATTAGTCGAATTATTATAGAAAGGAACAGAACTTAAAACAAATTATGTTAAATTTACGTAAAACAAACGATCACACGTTTTTTTGATCATTTTTCACAGTGTGGCAATTTGACAAGACAGATGTGTTAGCTCAATCAATATTATTTTTCTGCTATATTCACGTGCATTCTTGCCTATTTCTGTAAAAGTTAGTTGCAGCTTTGTTTGAAATGCAAAAGCACTTCTATGAAGCGTTTGCGTCATTATAAAAAAAAGCTCTTACCAACATTCCTAAATCATCATTTTTAATGTTCACGAAATTCGTTATGATTGTTTTCGCATAGAAAAAGATATATAAATCAACAAATGACTATGAAGTAGTATCTTGTTGAATATGATACAAGATGTTTTCTAAATTTTTATTTAGTTAATATAAAACTAATAAAGATTTTTAATAAAATTATGTATTTGAATATATGATAAGCTCTTTAGAAAAATAGCGTTAATATACGATTGTTCCGTATGTGTCATCTTATTTTCAAACAAATAAGATTCTAGTGCTCACCGAGACAACAAAAACAACAAAAGAAAAATATAAATAAATAAATGGCGAAAGACACAAGAGTTTTTATTTTAATGTTGATGTAGGTGGTAATCCGAGCCATACATGCGGCTTACTTAATCGTTGTTGTTCTTGTTGTTGTTTTATTTTTTGAATGACTAAATCAACTTCTCCATCGGTTTTTAAATGTAATTCCTGTCGTTGTAATGGACTTGTAAATGGACTGACATAACCAACGACAACTTTATAAATTTTACCACCACGTTTAACTTCATAGGTTGTTGGAACTGTTTGTGGTCTTGGTGGCTTCGGTTGATTGATTTGTTGTTGCTGTGAATTATTGTCTTCTTTTAAAGAAGGCGATTTAAAAGTTGATGATAACTCTGAAGTTTGTCTATTCAATCGACTATTGATTTGTGATGGTGGCCGATGAACTATTTCAAACATGCTGACTGGAGATCTTGGACGTGTAGGAGTTACTTCTTGTGCTGAACGCATGTGATATTGAGATTGTGAACGAAATATTCGTGTTTTTAAATCGAACCGACTTGGTGATGAAGGTGGACGATCAGCCAGTTTCAATGGAATTGGGCGATGTTCAGAATAAACGGTATCGTCTTTACCTAGACACAACGAGGAATTTTATATTCTACAATCATTTCCTTGTGTTAAATAGTTAGAAAAATGAGAACACTTGAGTTTACAAGTGATAGGCAATAGAGTTTCCGTAACTTTTATAGTGAATAATATTCATATGAAGAAAAAAAAGCTTTTTTTTAGATTTTTTCCATTAAAAAATCAATTTCCTCAAGGTTCCAATTGAATTGTTATTCTGAAATTTCTTTCTCTTTCATGACTTACTTTTATCTGCTCTATAAAATGGAGATTGTTGAATAATACGGAATTCTTCTGGTAATAATTTTCTCTTTTCATCAGCGCCACCACGCATTTGTCGTTTTAATAATTGTTTGGTTTCTTCTAACGTTAGATCGAGTCCAATATTTTCGTTGTCAAATAAAACTTTCACTTCTTTTGGTTTTTCTTCTACTTTTTCATTGTTTTGATTGATTTTTAATGCTAATTTTTTTCTCTGTTTCGTACTTGAACGTTTACGTTTGATTACTGACATTGATAATAAAGGTGGTGAAGTAGCAATAGCTGCTGGTGCTGAATCTTCTTCAAGCGTATAATCGTATGTAATTGATTCAAAATTCATTAATAACAAACTACTTAATGTATTAATAAGAACTCTATACAAAAATAATAAAACAATTACTGATATGTTAAAGCAACAAAACTAAACCTGTTTGCTGTTGCTATTAGACTAGTGACAGGATCGGACACACTATTACCACGCATAACACGTAAACAAAGTCCACTAAGTACACTCCAAATACGTATCTTTCCATCACCACAGCCAGTTAATAACCGGAGAAAGAGAAATTCCATACACAAAACTTCTCTAATGATATAAAACATACAATTAATCAGTTATTGAAATTTTCATATTCTTATTTACTTCGGATGACGAAATGTACATAGAGGTGTATTTAATGCTCCTTGCGATGTCCATACACTAGCATAGTAATCATGGGACGATGATGCTACATGCCATTTATCAAGTTTAACACTTGTAATTGCTAAACGATGTTTAACAGACTATTAAAACATAAATAGACATGGTTGTTGTATTTAAATTTCATGGTATTTCTTTCTTTTTTTTGAATTACTTTAATCAGTGTTCCAGTTGGATTATGCCAAACTTTTACTTTTCCTTGAATGTCACCTGATAATGTTGTTTCATCACTAATAGCCACAGCTGATACAGGATGTTTATGTTTATATGTTCTCCACGGTCGATTATATTTATATCGCCAAACTAAAAGATTTTGTTTAAAAACATTTGGATGAAACAAATAAATCACAATTCAAAAATTCTTACCCAAACAAAGATTATCATTGCCACCAGCAGCAATTAAATCCATTGAAACAGCTAAACAAGTGACTGTACGATCATGTCCATGATATAGTTTAATACAACGACCTGTTTCTAAATTCCAACAGCGAACAGTTAAATCATAACTACCCTATTTGATTCAAATACAAATGTTCATGTGTATCTCTAAACACAAAATAAATAAATAAAACAATTTTACCGTAAATACACGTTTTTTCTCTTCCTGTACGACAATGCAATGAACAGAAGCAGCATGTCCAACTAAAACCATGGGTCGTTCTTGTGCTGATTGCATATCAATGAGTCGAACTCGGCCATCACGTGATGTTATAGCTACAATATTTTCACCACTCATATGTACAACACGACGACGATCCGGACTGAATATTAAGATGAATTAATGAACAATACACAGAAAATGACATAATCACAATAGAATAAAAAGATTTAATCGAAAGCATACAGAGGAGATAGGTAGTAGAACATCAATTGGATACATTGAAGAAAAAGCACATATTATCAGATGGCTGACCTTTAAATTTTATTCACTTACGAATCTAGATTTTAAAAAATAATTTGTAACGATTAAAGAACTAGAATGGATTAAAAGATATAGAAAAATAATTTTCAACAGACCATAAAATATCGAAGTTTCGATAGGAATCTTTACTTAAGTTTTAATGATCTTAAAAATTAGTTTATCATCAGTGATGTTGACTCATTTTATTTTTCAGAAGAACCAATAAAAAGTAGTTTTACTTATTATACAAAAGAGACATAAGAAAATAGTTGCTCATGGTCAGTCCACTTGAGTATGTCTCATCGCATAGAAGATATGCTCGGAAATTCTTTAAAAACACACTTCACATTTCTATTGACAAAAGTCAACACTGATCTTGCTTGTTTATACATCTTGTCTGCTTGCATTAAATGTAGAGTATTTATTCTACTGTATTTTATACGATGTATTGGATTGAATAACCTTGAGACTTCATATGGTGTTTCACATGAAAATTTTCAAGACACAAAAATCAAATACTATTAGCAGATTACAGATAACCATAAAAATTTTGTTTTGATCAAATGTAAATTAGTTTTTTCAATATGCACTATGCACCAATTAGACTTATTTTTAGTTTTGTTTTTATTATTAATTTCGGATTATTCTTTGCATGTTGTTCCAAAACCGTCGGTAAAGACATTTTAAAGTTAGAAAATGTTTTTCTCATAATGAAACACTGCAAAAATATTATTGTTTCTCAATCGATATTCATTAACTCAAATGCATTAATGTAGCCTATAGGCTTAAGAAAAAACATAATTCAAAGACATTTATATCAAAAAATACTAATGGTATTTTATTCTTTTCTCTTTTGTTATATTGTTCCTATGGCGATGTACATGTTATTGTTTTTGTAATGATTTTAGTATATTTCTATTAGAAAAAGAAAAGAAAAAGAAAAAGAAACAGACTTACTCATCTTTAAGCAAGAGTACATTGTAAGGTCCACAATAAATATTTCGCTCTTCCATTAAGACTAAACGCGTAGGAATTGAATTTACTTCATAAATTTGATTCCACGTTGAAATATTTTTATCTGTTAAAGCTCTTTTCCTCGGTGATGGCTTTTCGTTTGCATTTATTCGAAATAAATCTGGAACTGGCACAAGTGTATCACGAGCAAAAACCGGATTACATTGTAAAGTAGCAGAACTCTATGTAAAAATAGACAGGCAAACTGTAATAGATAGTCAAAAAAAACTTGTTTATTTTTTTCATCTCAATATCAAACAGTGCCGTGAATAAATGGGAAACAAAGCTAGTGTTCAATCTGTGTATTAATTCAATTCTATTGATTTTCTTACACGATATGCAACAGTATCGATTGTTTTCTCCTATCTTTTTCTAATGACTTATTTTGTAATAAAAAACTTTCAAATATTTTACCTGCAACAGCATCATATCATCGTAGAGCATTTTAGTCATTGTTGCTTCATCTTCAACTTCTGTAGCCAACTTTTTCCAATAAGTCGAAACATGTTTACATCTATCAAGTGATTTTGTATCAAGCATACATAATATTAATTTAGCTAAATAAATCGGTAATTGTCTTATATAATCTTTGTATTTCGGATGACGTTTCGCTGATACTGGTTGTTCCGTATCAGAATCGATAAGATTTCCTGTCGAAGATGCAAATGATACAGAACTTTTTTGACGCATTGATGACGCAGATGTTGTTGTTTTTGGTCGTTTAAGAATAGGCATTGAAGGTTGTATCAGTGATAGAGATGATGGATTACTTAATACAGACGCAATTCCTAAACGGCTATTATTATTGAGATCGCTTTTATGATCTTCATCTTCGGCTAAAATTATAATTTCATTTTTCAAAAAATGAAACTATTTTCACTGATTAAAATTAACTTACAATCTAAATCTTGTAAAGATAATATATTCAATGCTATTGTAAAAATTAAATAACTTTCACACCATTGAAGTACAGCCAAAATAAATGAACCTTGAGAGTATTTATCTTCATGATTAAACCATACAATAAGTTTCATGGCTTCCTCTTGTCTTTTTACTGGGTCACTATCGTCCATCATATTTAAATTATCTGCTGATGGCCGGCGACTTGTCTCAAATTTATTTCTTGTATATGTATAATCTATAGAAATAAATAAGAATATAAGTAATCGATTCTTATTGAAATATATAACAACCTTTTGCATCGACAAATGGTCTAAGAATTTGCGATAAATGATTGAGTATATCTGCTTTAAGACGACTAATTAAAGCAAGGAGAAAACGTCGTTTCATAAGATCACCTGTTTGTAGCCACCATTCTTTAGCTGCATGAATATGAGTATCGACAATACATGCTTTACATTGACCACACTGGTTATGTGGTTGATCTGATGAACGACAAGTGACATGAAATGCATCACGAAACGATGTTAAACCATCACGTATTGCAGCGTGAATATTATCATCGACAAAGCTCTTTTCAAACGATGATTTTTGGTCTTCTACCATATCTAGTTAAAACCAAGTGTCACGGCATGTGAAGTGAAATTTAAAGGAACAAAAAAAAAATAGCGCTGCCGTTTGTGTTATGTAAATATGATTACCATAGTTTTATTCTGCATTGACTACCATAAGATGGCGATAGAAAGCAGTTAAATGGAATCAACTATTATTTTTTAATATTTTTTTCTTGAGAACAACACAAAAAATTTGATATTTCCACCTCAAAATAGTTGTGGACATCATGAGAAAATATCGCAATCCGACTTTGAGTAATAATATGATGACGCCATTCACTTCATTAGTTTTTAAATTTTATTTAATCAAATTTATATCAAGCTAGATTGTGTTTGCATAAAAGAAAACCAGCAGCAGTGATCTATTTGCAACTGAACGATCTTTGTCTCATCTACAAGTATCAGCATCAGTCTGATTTAAATCTATATATCTACACATACGTAAAATTATGCCTATAAAGATATTCTGAATTTTAATATTGATGACGAAAGATGAATTCTTTTCATGTGATTTCAGGTGAAAATAAGCCTTTTTTATGTTAATTGTATGACCCTGGAAATCAGAAAATAATGAATTTTTGTTTCTTTCGGATAATATCATATTAGTATGTAGATTTTTTTTCGAATGCTGATCATAAAAACATTTTGTTTTCTACTTGATTCTTAAAGAAAAAGCAAAATTACTTGTGCTATCTTTCGGTATTTGACACACACATCTAGTCCTTGATATTTTTATTATTCATATCTAGAAGTTTATTAAAAAATTGAAAAAAACAATCTTTAACTGTTCTTTCTGGTCATAGATTTAATATGTACCGGGTAATCTTTTTGGTGTAGCCAATTCAGTGACTCTTGGTGTTGCTTGATATTTCAGTGCCCCGTCTGGTACACGTCGAGGAAGAGGTAATTCATATTGATAAGTTTGATAGCGTTGAGGTGGTACTGCCAATTCGCTTAACCGTGACGAACAAGAGGCATGAATTGCCGCTGAAACTACACCAGAGTACTTTGGATTACTTTCATAACGTGAAAAACCTAAAATGATAATTTTGCTTTTCATATTTCATGAAAATAAAATATTTGAAACATGTTACCATCCCGAATAGTTGTATCTTTACGTAATCTTGGTTTAGATAATGTTCTAATCCGATCTGTTACTTGATAATTCAGTGCTGACATTGATACACTAGTAAATGGCGATTTTTCATATTGAAAAGCTTTTCGTTCGTCAGATTTTGTTGAACAAAATGATGCTGAAGTAAAAGCCATGATTTCTGTCCAACAACGTGGCAACAAACAACCGACACGATTTGAAATGAAAAATAAAAAATAATGTTAAAACACTTTTTTTTTAATAAGAATATTTTTATGTACATGTCTACATGTAAAGTGTCAAGTAGCAGCAGAAAAAAGAACATAACGGTAGTAATAGCAACAACAATAGTTACAACATTATTGTAATGGTAAAATTGAATGATTTGTTTAGTTTAATTTTTTTTCGAGTTTTTATTAGTGACAAACAATTGACTTCTCTTTTTTTGTCAATAAAAAATGTTTGTTTTACAAATCATTATCAGAAAAAGTGACTGAAGCTTTGAGACATCATTTTGCATAGGCGCTACGGTACGAACTAAATTTGAGCTATTTATGGTCTTACGTGAGAAAAATATCAATGGCTTCAGGGAAATGTTTTTCAGTTATAAGAAACGAAATATTGAAATAAAATTATTGATGAAATAAGACACTAGATTTAGGTATTCAAATTTTTGACATTCATTCTATCAAATATTAGAACGCCTAGATCAATTCATTTAATTTAAATAATAAATATTTCAATATTTAGGTTTTTTTTAGAACTTATGCATCAGATGTGAACTACATGCAATTAGAAGAATAGAAAAATCTGAGGCCTGAGTACTTGTTTTGTTTGAAGTCATTGACATTTAATAAGTTATTTTCTTTCCATTTGTCATTGGCTATATGTTAGCTAACGATATGTCAAAGAAAAGGAAATCAGAACGGAATGTAAAATAATTTCTTCTGAAAGGTGAACAAATGCATGTAAACTATTTCAACGGACCGACGGGTACAACAATTATTTGTCTTTAATTCTACCATCTATTTTGCAATACTAACAACGATCTTTTTTCCTGGGAAAAAATGCAATCCGTTGTGAAGAGAAGAGGGAAGGACACGTTTCTTTTATCACACCTTGTATTTTACGCGGACGCTTGGCTGATTGCACTTTGACGATGTGACATAAGACTAATATCATGAATAACAAAATGACAATAGATTTTTATTTTCAAAAGACAAAAGAAAATTAATAATAATTTAACTCATTAAAACAAGTTTTGAGCTGTGAAATACAATTATTTATATCCACTGTGAATGATACTTTCGAAGTATCATCTATTGAAATAAAAAGAAAACGAGATTAATCTGTGCAGATGTCCTAGTTTTCTCGCATCTTATATACATATGAAGCGTAAATGCATACAAAATACAACGTTATGTTTTGATAACGATATGACTAGAAAATAGAAAATAAAACGATGAAACCCTTCAATGGAATGGCCTATTACGAAACAAAAAACTGTTCAAAAGGAAACGAAGAGAAAAAAACAAACACAACAACAAAATATTTATGTATAAATACACGAAACAAAATCAATTTTTTAGTATTAACCGTTCGTGAATATCTGAACGACATATAGGGCATATGTCTAATTTATATGCACATCGTTGACAGAAACCTGTATGTTGACATGGCTTCAATAATATATTTGCATGTAGATCTACACATATTAAACAATCTTGATCATTGATTTTTATTGCACGTAGTAATTCTAATTTTTTATATTTCGGCAGTATGAGTTTATCGTCATCTGATAAAAAGCCATATTGATTAAATTTTTTGAAAGATTTAACGGCTGTCGGAGGATAGCGAAACGGTTGTGAGCCAAAGTTAAAACGACAATGTTGATAAGACATAAAACTCGCTGCAGCAAAATAACCATCGCCAGTAGAATTCGATGTCGAAGAGAATAATTTACGGATGGGATCCAGTGAACGACCGTTTAAAGAAAAAATCACTTCACGATGATCGAAATCAATTAAACATCCTTAAAACGAAAAGAATTTAGATTAGAAAAATGAGAAGGATCCGTCAACAAGAAATGGCTGAGTTATCGAAAAAATTGTCATTATTGAGCAGACCATCTCTGAGCGGGAGGGAGGGGGGGGGGTACAGGAATTTTTTATCAGACTTATTAACAAAATATATAAATCGCCTGAGTTTTNCCCCCCCCCCCCCCCCCCCCCCCCCCCCCCCCCCCCCCCCCCACAGGAATTTTTTCTCAGAATTATTCACAACATATATAAATCGACTGAGTTTTTGAAGTACACATAACAATCGGATGCAAATCCGATGTTTCCGCATTTATTTTCATATAAAAGCGTATCATATGAATCTATTAACTTGAAGGAATCTAGTTTTCAGAAATTATTAAAAACGACAGTTCTTAATGAAAATCATCTTACCAACAATATCTCCAGATTTCCAAGAAGGATTTGAATGTGGTATTGATTTTGCACCAAACCATATTAAATTTCTACAACCATCATATGCTATAGAATATTGATCATCGCCAATACCATAACCTTCGTGATTCATAAATTTGGATTTTTTTGTAGCCCAACCAATTTGCATAACACCATCGGTAATAACAAGTACTTCATAATACCAAGCACCTGAATTGACGTTAAATGTACATCGAACACTTTCGAATGAAACAGTATCACTACGAGCTTCCAAACCGTCAGGACCAATTTTTAAATATTCGCTCACATCTTTATCATTAAGCATTACATTAATATAATGATGATCAACTGCTTCATAGGATGGTCGCCGATAATCAAGAATAAAAACATTATCGAGTAACCATTGAGCATAAAAACCTTTAGAAAATAGAAAACATAGAAAAGCATTTTTCTCAAAAAATCTCATTTTCTTACCGATTTGTCGTTGAAGACAACTGTTTGATTTTGCCCATGGTTCATAATATTCTAGTACATTCATTTTTGTTTGTTGATCATTCACTGTTAATGCTTCTAATAAAATATGTTTAGATTCTGATGTGTGAGAAAATTTTTCAAGAGCCATTAAGGCAAATAATATTATTTTTAATACACATGAGTATTTCGATGAAATATTGCAATCGTCAGAATCAGACGATTTTAATTGTTCATAACCATATGTACCCAAATAAACTCGATCAATTAAAAAACTAAGTGCAATTGTATCCAACATGGATGCGCTAGTTGGGCCCACTAAAATCAATATAACAAAGTCTATCTATATTTCTAATAGAAAAACAAATACGAAGATACTAACCGAGTTTTTCAGCTAGGCAACCAAGTACAACTAATGTATTACGTTCATAATGTAAATTATCATCATTTCTACGTTGATTAGACGTATCAGATATTTTGATTGCTTTGAGAGATGATCCTGATCGTTTTGATGAACGAAGACTGGTAAATGATGATATTTTGGGTATTCTTCAGAGAAACAAAAGAACATTCGTAATATAATTCAATACAAAAAAACTATCGGATACTATTATTTAACATAAAACATTATCTTACTTTTCTTGTAATGATTGTTCGTCATCTACTTCACTTGGGTGATTATTAATAACTGGTGTTGTTTCATGAATATCAATATTTTCATCAGAACTAATTTTTGTTACTTGACCAGAATCTGGCTCATTCGATAAATTTACTGTAAATGATTCTGATTGTTTACTATCTTGTTGAATAGTAATTTGTTTAATATGTTCATCAATAATTGTTTCAAGTAATTTCATTCTCGAACGATTATTGGAACATGCTCGTTTTATTAATTGTTGTAATAGTTCTTTTGATGGCAATGAACATTCATCAAGTAGTAAAGCGATCACTGTTGCACCCAATGGATCATTGATAGGTATACGTTCAATTAATGCAACCATGACTTCTAACCAACGATCTTCATGATTAGCAATACGGGATACGATCAACATCGCATGCGGTGGTTCTTGATCTGCATCAGCAACTGTTCGAACGATTAAAAGTGTTTCGTCAATAAGAGAATTTAAATTATACGATGAAAATCTACGAATATGTGTAAAACGATTTCGATGATAACTATGTGAGATGTTATCGAACGATGATGCTGATGTTAAGCTCGTTCGATTTTGTGATCGTTGCTGTTGTTCCTGAACACAAGTACTACAATTGCCCATTAGAGATTATCTACAAAGAAAAAAAAATGATAATAAGATAATTTAATTTTGAATACATGCAAACTCACGCACGCACACATACATATACACAGAAGTACATATCCTCATACTCACTTTTGTTGTGTGTAAAATTGAATATATATATTCAAATAAAAAGAGAAAAGCTAATCATATAAACAAAACAAAACAAACGCACACATACATAATTGTTGAAATTAAAAAAAGAGAAAGAGAAACAGATATGAGCACCGGGTAAAGCAATAATTAAAAATACAGATCTTAAAGAAAGGACGGTGATACGATTCGTAATTCGTGTATAAGCATTAATTTTAGATAATTTCTCTCCCTGTAGTTCATTTTATACATATATATATCTTTTTTCTATTTAAACTGATATAGCTTTGATATGTTTATGGACAATAAATACAAAAACAAAAAACAAGCAAAGCACCGATTATAATAGATATTTATCATTAATCTGAGTTAGCTGCTTTTTCAACTTGAACTGCTAGACGACGAGCTGAATTTCTATAATGATTGCCTGATGTTTTAACAGAAAGAGCATCCGCTGAATCTGATCGTGTATATTTGGATGTTGATACTGTTGCTGCTGTTGTTGGTGTCGTTGTTGGTTCTCGTCGTTTAACATTTCTTGATCGAAATATTGTGCGCTTTGCTTTAATCGGTGTTTCACCTGGACGAACAAATTGTCCTTCAATTGGTTTATTTGTTGTATTGAACAATGATACACGTGGTGGTATGGGCGGTGGAGATTCGAATTTTTGAGGTTCATCATTAACTGATGATGATTTTGATGATGGTGCATAAATCTCGGATGATGAAACTGTTGAAGAAGGATTATTACTAGTACTGATACCGTTTGTTAAACGTCGACCGAGAGGCGGATTACCTAATTTTATTTGACATGATCCTGATGGACGACGTGTAGAAGATGATGTACTGGACGGAGAATATGATTTCGTTGTAGATAGCACATTCACTACAAAAAAATAGACTGCAACGATAAGATTATTCTCTAGAGGGATCGTTAGTAGTTGAAGAGTACACGTAATATACTTGGAACTGTCAATTTAAAGAGAATTTTAGTTCGATTGAAGTCGAACTTTCAATAATTATATTATAATCTCGAAGGTAGATACAAACAAGCCATTAGAAAATCTATAAAACACACGTAACAAATCAGAATAAAGCCTCTATTTTGTATTATACAACGTTTCGTATCAACTGTTTATGTCAAAGCTGTATTTTAAATCATAAAACATGATGAATTACTTCTGAGTACATGTCGGTCTGAAGAGAAAGAAGAAATGTCGATTGGTACTATTCAACATATTCTTGAATATAAAAAAGAAACAGATAAGAATACGAACGCTTGTTGGTTATCTTTCAATTGTTTCAGTCAATTATATAACATGTTTCTCATTCACGCTCTTTATTCTATATTTATCGCTTCGCTAAAGTGCTGATCCAGATGATTATTGTTAGATTGTGGGTCGTATGAGAAAGATAAAAAGAACATTCGCTTGCTGGTAGTCGCGCCTTCATCATTACACTCACATTCTTGTTAAACAAATTCAATTAGTGATCCATCTACAGTCTATTTGCATAGATTCACTTCTTCTTAATTCATTTATCACGTGTCATTCCTCGAAATGATAATAAAATTGTCAAAACGTCGACTTCAATAAATCTGAAATTACTCAGTACGATTCCCATGAAAAAGTATACTGTTTATATAAGAATTGAAATATTTGCTTTCGGAAATGACATATTTTCTTACTTGATTATATCAATCAAATCGATATGGGAACGACATCGTTAAAACAATATATAAAAATATTTTCCTCTTACATGGCTGATTTTCATCGCTACTTGCCGATGAACATAATGAAACATTTCCATTTGCTTTCATCATAAATACAAACATTTTATACACAAATAAATATTGTTTCTAGAAAAATGCAATCTTATCTTAAATAATGTGAAAACTATTTATTCGCTTACAATAGTTTGAATCAGTGCTATTCGAAATTGACGAATATGCGTAGCTATTTCATATACAGGATAAGGTTGATACTTTTTACTTAATAATAAACGCTAAATAAACAAACTAATTCATGTAAAATCTACACTCAAGAAATGTTCCAATCAAATATTCACTTATTTATCAATCGATAAAAGAAAACTGACTACAATTAAACCTAGTCAGTTAGATTTACTGGTGGAAAAATAAGTGAACATTTCTATTGAAATATAATCTAACCTCATCACGAATTAAAAAACGACATAAATCAATAGCAATAATACTTCCAGTTCTACCACAACCAGCACTGAAAAGAAAAATATTATTATTTCCAAAGAACAGACTGCTATCGTTTTTTCGGACCTGCAATGTACAAGAATAGGTGTGTCAGGCGAAAGATTTCGATCATCGTATAATCTCAATAGTAAATCAAGTATTGGTGCTTCATCATTGGGTACATCATGATCCAGCCAATGTAGAAAATGATAAAGTAATATATGTCGTCGATTTTCTCCTTGACTTATTATCAATGGACGAATTTCATAGTGTTCGCAACTGAATGCTTTATCACTTGTTTCGTCCTAGTTTTAATTTCAATAAAAGAAACTGCAATAAATGATACAACCATCGAAATGCATACTTTGCTAACACGATAGGATCCAAATTGAACGGAATTGTCATCATCAGGCCAATAACGACGAAATTTTAACTGAAGAAAAAGACTAAATTTCTTGATTAGAATTAAAAAGAATAAATTCATACTCGTCCAGCTTCAATTTCATTTGCTGTACATATAACAGATGTTATTTGAAATTCCCAAATCATTCGAAGAAAATCTGATATCGATTGATCAATTGGTCCTTGTGCTGCGATATATCGACGGTTACCAGAAAAATCCTTTATGAAAAAAAAATTAACTTAAATAAAAATATTTCTTTTTAATTTACTTCAATAAATGATGCATTTATATAATCTGAATTATTATCCTGTTCAAGTATTACTCGATGTGTATCATCTAAACAAAAATGAATAATTCAATATTTTGTACAACATTTTCTGTTTGAATTTACATGGCAGAACATCTTTATAACGATTTTTTAAACGGTTTAGAGGCTTAGCGCCTTCAGTACTTGAAAGTTTCTCTTTAGTTTCCATCATTTTTTGTTGTAATTGCTATAAACAAAAAGAAAACTATCGATTTAAAAACAAAAGTCTTTTTGGTATTTTTCCTTACAGCAAACTGTCGGCCAATTACAGTTGAGTCAGGATCATGTGTTTGTTCAAATTCATTAATAAGTCGTTCAGTTCGACTACAAATACTATCATCGTCAGGATTCTTCGTCATCTATCTAGAAGTAAAAAAAACACAGAACAGAAATATGTTTTCTCTAAATTATTCTTCTTTCATATGATGAGAATAGGGATCAACTCCATTGCCTCCCGATACTCCTCCCACGCCGTTAATTATTCCCTTTTGTTGTTGTAAATGTTTCGAAATGGTTTGTATTATTTTCGGTTGTATTAAATCATCGATTTCATAATCCGATGAAAGTTCATAAATATCCATTATACTTGTATCGAAGATTTGTAAACCAAGTTGATTGAGAATTCGAATGCAATTACTTAAACGTACAATTGTTTTTCGAACATCAATACTAACAGATTCAATATTTTTCACATAACCACCTGTATCAACAGAGTTGGTGTCTGACGCTGTTGATGCCGGTGGACATATCCATATGGAACCATTACAACCACGAATAACCGATGCACCACAGGGTAAGCTATGAAAATGATTTTTTGTACGTTTGACAAGCGATGAACGAACATGTACTAAGATTCCTTCACCTAATTTTCCATAACGTAAATTACGAGTTTGAAGTGCTAAAGTGCCATCTTGATAGATTTGTTGAATTTCAGCAGAAAATAAATCACCTTCCTATGCAGAAAAAAGAATATCAAATTAATATTTCATGAGACACTATACATTGAAACAACGGGTGACGAATAAATAATGAGATGATTCGGTAGTCATAAAATGGTCTATGCATGTTTCAAAAAGCAATTATCTGATTGAATTACACGTGTATGCAGGCAGTCCAACAAGAAGAAACTAGAGAACTAATAGATTTACTAAATAAATATTCATTCGAAGTGGTAATTTATGTTCTATATGAAAAATGGATGGTGAAGTTATCAAATTAGCATATATTGAGTATTAGTTTGAAGATAGTTGAGCATTGATAATTTACAACAGTAAACTTTTTTTTTCTAGAGAATTATATTTTCTCTCTTCCTCTCTCGATTACGTAAGAGATATTTAAAAAAAAAAGAAATGCTTAGGTACGCTATATTTTTAATGACTACTCATTGATAATGGGTGGAGAGTAGAGCAGTGTCGTGCGAATACTTTGACTGAAGTATAATTATTAAGTTTTATCGAAATATTCTCAATGATGATGAATGTGCATACATATCAACGTTTCTTACTTATTATGATACACATATCGATTTATAGGGAGAAAATTGTATCTAGAAAACTTTTGTTCTTAGTTGATCATTATTCAAGTCAATTTTCTAAGTTTACATTCTCAATGATAGTCATCTTTTTTTGAAGATACCATGAATAATATAAAACAGTTCTTTCAAATTGCATGTCGTGTCAATAAAAGCTTATTTTATGAAGTCAAACTCTTTGTTTTCTAAACGCTTCGTTATTAAGTGAAATGTTCTCATAAGACTTACAGAGGATTGAAAGTTAAAATAGATATATTTACCTTTAAATATTGTCGCATATTTCTTTCATCATCCTCTATACGTCGTCGATTTTCTCCACCCGGTAAATTAACTGAAGCTAACGGTAAATAAGCATCTAAACGTGATTGTATATCAACAACCCACCGACTCTGATCGACTTTAAGTACACGTCCAATAACGACATGGCCAACTTCACCCAAATAACGTGTATTTTCAATTGGTTCAACACATAACAATCGATCAACTTTATTAACAACACCAGCAATCGAAGCTTTCAAATGATTCCTAGTCGTATCCGAATAAGTACCATGGCCTCTCATAAAATTTGATGTATCATTAGTTAAAACTGTACCAGGAACAACCAATTGTTTTTGAATGGACGGATCAATTATTGAACTAGCCATGAAAATAAGTATTTTGCGTACTTTTGTTTTTAATTAGATCAAATACTGAATCAAAATAAACTTCAGCACAAACATAGATTTACACAAACCGGAAAGCAAACCATACATGTGAGTTAGATAAGTAAATAAATCAACAAAAATTTCATTGGTTAGAAAAGATGATCAATGATATCTGAGGCTGGGCGAAAAATATTAAAATAAAATCTTCATCTATGATATTAAATGCTGTTTCAAAGTAAAAGCACATAATTAAAAATAGGTACAGTTATCAATACTTCTATGGGGATGTTGACTAATGACATCTATTATAGGCTGTGACACGCCAACTTAATTTTCTAGAATACCACGATCAAATCAGTCGAACGAGCAACTATGATCTAGAAATTCTTTATCAGTCTAATCGCAACTGGAGAAAAAATAATAAAACTGACATTAATTTAAAGTCAAGTACTTTCTCTTTCGGAATCACTTAAGAATAATATAAAATATTGATTCACTTCTAATATTTCAATAAACAATTAGTAATTGGCCTGAAATAACCAAGGTTGAAAGAAGAGGACGACGACAACGAGTGGGTGTCGCAATCATTTATAATGAGAGAATTTCTTTTCTTCGAAGAGAGTTTCAAGTCTGATTGGAAATAGGAAAAAATCTCCTCTGATTACAAGAATGAAACGTGATTTCCGCGATTCTGAAAAACTAAAATCTTCTCCTTAGATAAAATTCTTTTTGTACTGATATATAATATAATTTCTGCAATACTTGATTACCTCAATCTCAATGATAAAAATGTGTCAAAATAGATTTAAATGTTTTTTTTATCAAACAATCGACTAGACAGACGATTTCTAGCTAGACGCTCTATGTTGAGTCCGGAATCGGAACTAAAATTTTTTCTTACTGTTATTAATTAAAATAGCATTTCCGACTTCCGTTAGTTTTTAGAAATTTCGGAACTCTTACCAGGGTTCTATTTCAATCAACTTTCTGATCCAAGCATACAATTTATTGACGACCTTCTTCAACAACGAAAAATAAGAATAGCTATAATCATCACAAATAACAATAAACTATAAGTAAAACACATTAATTATTTATTTCCCTCAACAACAGATTTTATTAATGTATACTCTCAAAACAAATAAGATCTCTAATATCTTATATCTACGTTATTTTTCACATACGACGAGCTCTTTCATGTACCATCAAATAGCACAGCAAACACACACACGCACACACACACACACACACACACACATATATATATATCAAGCCTTTTTTTCAACTTAAAACAAACTATTATTTTTTTTTAAAAGAAAACAGATTCGGCACTCATAAATAGTATATATATATGTATATAATACAAGTTATTCATAAAAAAAACTAAACATTTTTCATAAATTAAAGTAAAAAATGAAGGCAAATGCACAATATTTTTGTTTAAAAATGTTCGCGTGGTACGATTACATTAGCAATTGGCATAGTTGAACGACCATTTCCTGTTGAACCGTAGGCTTAAATTAAAATAATGAAAATATGTAGAAATTTGAGTTATTATACGCAATAAATATTTACAGGTTGATCGTTTTTTTGGTTGAGTTCTTGTTGTACGATTATTTGCTGTTGAATAAAATGGATCTATAATATTAAATTAATAAATGCAAAAAAAAGTAAAAATCTCTTATATTTTACCGCTAGCAGCTGGCTCGGGAGAAAATGAATTCGTACGATGAAACTCAGTCGCTCGACTTTTAGATCCAGTTGGATCATTGATTGTCACAGTTTTTTTCGGTTTAACAGGAGTTATTTCGAGTCCAAATGCGCTAGCAGTGTTCTCTTTAGATATAACAGGCTCATTAGAAACTACCGAGCCTATATTTTACAATCAGAATAGCTTATATGCTCTTGTTTCAAATTTATCTTACCACTCCCTTCCATTAATTCTCTATGATGAAGATTGGCTCGCCGTTGTGCCGCTTTTGCAGCTATATCTTGCGTTTGTTTTCTTCGTTTCGATTTATTTTTCATAGGATCAGTTAAAACTGGTGTCAATGGTTCAATTGTAGGCTCATTGGACGGTGATGTTGCATGTAATTTACGACGTGTTGTATCATTTGCATTTATTGGCATATCTACACTTTCAGAACTTAAACTAATCATAGAATTTCCTTTAGTTAATTGTGTTTTTAATAATTGTTCAAAATTGAAATGAGAATATCCTGCAGATTTATTTGCTGCTTGTGTTAAATCTTGTCCTAAGTCATTATTATTGGTTTCATTATTAACACGAGTAAATAGATCATGATCAGACAGAGCACGATATGAACTTATAGTTGACAATGGTTGATTACTACGTCTACCTTGACTATTTGGTAAATGAAAACTAGTTACGGATGTCGAGGCGCTTGTTAGATCTTCTTCAGTTATTTGTGTAAGAAAAGGTAGTGTTGATATTGTTGGTGGCTTAACATTAGCACCTGTTACGGAACGTGGCGAATGATCTAGAAAAGAATAGTATTTATCAATGATCTAAAAAATCTCGCGGTTAATTATTCAATCATACTTTTAAGATCATGAATAAGTTGTCCTTCGTCAATATCCCGTGAATAAAGGTGATAAAGTTCTTCAAGGTCAGAAGGAACATGAATTTGATTATCTAGGATACAAGCAAAAAAAATGCATTATTGAATAATTAAAACTTCAAGAAAACTCTTAGCATCCATTAAAAAACCACTTTTTAAAAATTTTCTTCATATGTACAATTTTTTTTTGTACATATTTTATGTTATAAAAATAAATTTTCTCAAGTACATGTGCACCATATTCCGTCGTTTCTTTTTTTTTTGTTAAGTGCAAACTTGCTGGTGTTTTTTTTCTTTAAGAATCATCGGATTGTGGTACGTTTTCTTTAAACTCATAATTGAAACCAAAAAAATGATTTACTATTTTTTTACCTTGAATAAGCCGTCTTTGTTGATAGATTAATGTATCGCATAGACTACGATGTTGTGACATACGTAATAATTGTAAATCTTTATGCTTAATTGAATAATCACGAGCAAAAATATCAGCTTGTAATTCAATGGTTTTCATTTCATATTCAAAATTTTGAGATAGTAATTTTAATAGTTCACGTTGTTCTTGGTTACTCATTTTTTTGGTTACTTTCTAAAATTTGAAAAACATAGGTTTTAGTCTTTTAGACGTTAATTTTCTCTCTCTCTACAAACCTCAAGTAAACGGCGAGCATCAGATTTAGATGTTTCAAATTCTTTTAATTGAGTTTTACGTTGTTTTTCTAATTTGGATCGTTCTTGTTCAATTACACGTAACTCTGCACGAGCTCTTTGTACATTAGATTCTGATGTTATATTGTCAAGATTTATTTCTTCAGGTGTTTTTTTACTATTTCGTGGACTATTTTCTTTATTGGATTCATGACTACAGAATAACAAATGACATTGTTTTATATCTTTTTTACATCTATCACAATTCATTTCATCTTACTATTCAATAACTGATTCATTACGTGTATATTCATGCAGAAGATCCATAAGACCATTATCGATGTGTAATAATGCTCGTCGAGCATCAATTTGTTTACGATAAGTTTGAAGAATATTTTCTTTTAATTTTAAGCCTTCTTCAACACGGAGACGTTCATTTGTATTGCTATCTATTTAATCAAATAATGAGTAAATATATATATATACACACATAGTTAGCGTCCGGAAAAAGAAAAACAGACTTGTTAGTTTAAAAAAGCAATTTAAAATTCTTTCTAAATAGCTAAGCAGGACAAGTTGTTTTTCTAGACAAATTTCTACCTCGATTTATGTCTGTGTGCTATCTCCAGGGTAAAAAAATAATTGAAAAAAACAAACATGATAATAGAAAAAACGTTATAAACCGAGACGTGATTATTAATGATGCTATAATTTATGAGCATGGGTTCTTTGTCTAATTCTTTTGATTTTAAAATAATAGAAAAACTACTGAATAAACTTTATTTAACCTTCAGTCAGCAATGAATATTTTCAATTCAATTCAATTCAAGAAATATGATTTAAAGAATAAATTCAAACATACCGCTTAGTCGACTAAATCGAGCTTCATTTGTTGTTGTTAAACGCATTTCAAGTTCCTCTCTTTGATCACGTAGCAATTGAACTTGATTGCGTAGATCTTGTATTATTTGTTGATATTGTGCTATATGATACGATACATCAATAACATTTCGACGTATCTAAATAACAAAATTATAATTAGTTAAGAAAAATCAATAGATAGACAAACTTTTGTTTTAATATATTTTGCTCGATCAGCATAATTAAGCGTATTACGGGATTCTTCAAAATGTACCGATGCAGGTGATATATGCGCAATCATAACTGTACGAGAATTTCCTCCAAGAGAATCTTTTAATATACGTGTTAATTTACTATCACGGTAGTTCACATATTTTGTATTTCCTTTTTCACCTAAATTTAATATTGATTTTAGATTTTGTAATGAGAAAACAAAATTTTCTAAACATACTTAAGGCATTGATACAATTGCCCAAAGCGAGTAGTGAACGATTGATATGAGCACCTTTAAAATGAACAAAAAAATTTTTTTTTTTAATTTTTTATTAAAGCAAAATTATTAATTTCTTTTTATTTGTTTTCATAATAAAAATAGAAAAGTAATTTTTATTTATTGATTTTTAATTAAAAACTAAAGTAAAATTTGCCTCGAAAAAAAAAGATTATTATTTCTTTGCTTTGCTTTTCTTTTCTGTGTATCCAAATAAATCGTACTTGTTAGGTTTCAAAATAAATGCATACCTTCCATCATTCGTCTACCCGTATTTTGAGTTTGTGCTGCTCGTTCTGATCCAGCTAAGTCAATCATATAAAGTTTTGCTTAAAAATAAAATAAACATTGTTCTTTATTCAAAAACTAAAATAATCGAAATTTTTTAATTATACCAAATCGCACTTGTTCTGTATGTGATCTCGTAACATCACGTTGTTTAATATTAACTTGTAGTACAGCATGTGATCGTGATGAAGTTTTATTAGCTTTAGTTGGCTCTTGTGTACGTGCACGATTGCCTTTATGTAACATGTCCATAACTTCTTCGGGGGTTTTAGCAATGATTTCACTAAGGCCAGCAACTTGTATTGTTCCTTTAGCATCTTCGCGTAATTCGAGAAAAGTCGAAGAAGAAGGTGTAAGTAAATCACGTATTAATTCATTATAGATTTCTAAGTATGACATTGACACTTGATACTCTCGTTGACCTTCAAATTTTTTTATTTCAACAAACAAGTCATGCAACGTACGATACATAACTCCAGGATTATTTTCTGTACCTAACATAGTATAAGTTTTTCCAGCTCCTATATAAAGCATAAATAGCAAGAAGAAAAAATTTATTTACATATTCATGTTTTGAAATCTCTATACCGACCTGTAGCTCCATAAGCAAATACAGTTGCATTATAACCTTCTAGAACGCTGCTCAAAAGAACTTGAGCTGTAGATGAATATACATCGTGTTGTCCAGCGCGAGCATCAGACACAACGTCAAACATATATTTACGTTCACGAGATCGATTAGCACGTAAAATATCATCATGATCTTCGTCTGGATCAAGCAAAACGACCATCTAGAAAATGAATTCACTTTTGAAAAACAATTAAAAACTAAAATTTCTATACATACATTATCTTCAGCTACTTTATGAGCAATGATAGTTGCACCTTGAAGAATTTCATCTTCTGTCATGGGTCGAATACGGCATGCAACCTAGATAAAAGCAAAGAAGCAAACATTCAAGCAATCTAATCGAAAAATAAGTTCAGAATAATTACAGCAATTTGTTGTTCACCAGTGGGTAACAGTGGTAAAGGTGTTCCACCATTTCCAGTTTCTTTTAATAAACTAGTCATTATCTAATTCTACACGTTAATTAGCCTGTATCCAATATCATGTGAAGAAAAAGAAAACAAATTCTTATTCTAAAACAAAAACAAAAAAATGGTACAGAACTCTTTGTTTGTTTTTATACATCTGAATATATCTATAGAGATTTATCAATATGAATCAAATTTCCACATAAATTCGTAATCTTTCTATATCATAAATACGCGTCATAGGCATGTATTTATGACGAAGAGTTTATAGAATTAATAATAAAATGATGATGTTCGTCATGAACGTAAAATCTATCATCAAGCACTCATTCGCATTCTTGCTAGCTTACTACTGTTTTTACCTTATCTTCTTCATTTTTGTTCCGTTCGGTTCTCAGGAGTCTAGTGCAAGATCCAAATTAGAAAAACAACGTAAAACTCAATTAAAAGAATTTGAAACATCTAAATCTGATGCTCGCCGTTTACTTGAGGTTTGTAGAGAGAGAGAGAGAGAGAGAGAAAAAGAAAATGAAAAAAAAAGTAGAGCGAGAGAGAACTTTCTTTTCAACCCAGACAAATTCACGCACGGAAAAACAATTAAATTGAAAAAAAAGAAAAAAAATCAAAAGAAAAGAAAAAGTGCCATTCTCATACGTCATTGGAATATTCTTTTTCTTTTACTTTCGAACATAAGAACCGCTATTATTGCAATGTTGGGAAATTGAAGAGAGAGAAGAAAAAAGAAAGAGTTTTGTAATATGCTTATTGTCACCTTATTGCCGTCGGTAACGTGGACGACACTATAAGAGCATTAAAAGGAAAAAAAGAGAATTGAAAGAGAAACGACAACTAACTATGCCAACAACAACGATTTTGATTACATCTTAATTCGAAACAAATAGAAAAGAATTTCTATGGATTCGTATGTTGTGTGTTGACTATTACGGCGTCAATGTTTTTTTTCTTCGATGACAAGTGAAAAATCATCCGTCAAAAAAAAACAAGTATATAAATTGATCAGTTTTGTAAACAATATACTTACAATTTGATTTGATTTTCAACGTTCTTATTTTCATTTGTGTGTTTCTTTTTCTATATTATTTTTCGAATATACTCAACAATCCACAACAATATTATGAAAAGGATAGTTTTATTTAAAAAAAAGATCTACCGTACTGAGGATTGTTTGTTGACAATCAAAGCATAAGAAGAAAATAAAACTGTAGTTATATGATGTTAGTAATTATGAATGCAATATGTGTACTACATAAAAAAAATAGAAACCTTCATCGGAGTTCTCGTTTGTAAACACATCTTTGATTTTCGAACGTCCTTGAACATAATTTTAATTATGTAATGGCGAACTCTACGGACAAATAAATAAAATGAACTGAAAGAAAACATGACACATGACAGCTACTTCTCCATAAATGAATAATTCATCTATTTTCAATGTTTATAAAAAAATTAAAATAAGCCAGCAAAAGAAAAAAAAGAGAGTCATTGTGCAACCATAAACATGATTTACATTATTTCGGTTATAAAACAAATGCAACATTATTTGTGCAAGATAAGACAAGAGCAAGTTTTTTTCATCATTCTAGGCTTTAAACGTCAACACAACAACAAAAAGATAATAATATACAATGAGACTTTTTATTCAATTCTATAGTACTACTTTCACTACGGATATTTCCACTTAAAAATTTTTCGGAACAGAGAAAATTAAAAACTTCAAAAATTTTAGTAGCCGCCGTCAAAACTTAAAATACTCTTACTATTGTCGTTGCCAATCAACACAACGATTTACATCCCTATTTATAAACCTATTTCAATATAAATATAGTCTTTTCCATACTATAGAAAAATTAACTTCAATAAGAAGTTAAGAGTCTTACTCAATTTGCAATTGAATGAACGCAGAACATGTAAAAAAAATTGACACGATCTTGTAAAACGGTTGATTAGTTCAATTTCATGAAGTGCGATCCGGTATGAAAATAGTCGTTCACTATTGATAAAAATAATCTAACATGATTTGTATCGATTGTTATATATAAAATGTTCGTTGTAAGGTTACTTTTGTTTTATTTTGAAAATTAATCCGGCTTTTGCTGACGTGTACATAAACTAAATACACATTGGATATTTCATCATCGTGTTTCACTGTAAACATTAATGATGAATAATACTCGCGATCGTTATAGAACTTTTAATGCTTAAAGTTCAACAAAGAAAATTGCAATTCATCAAGCAAATAAAATAATATTATTTACTGATTTTTTTAATTTACCTGGGAGAAACAGCAATAGTTTCCGAGCTGAGTTTCAGTTTAAACTAAGTTCTATTTTCGCTCGTTGACAAATACAAAATATATTCGATCGAAATTCAGAATTTTTGAAATATCGGTTAAAAATACCCGTTAGCAATAAAAAAAAAAGGAATGAATGACGTTAGACAACTTACATCAATTGAAGTATCATCAATAGAATGTCAAATTCAGTTGTAAAACAGGTCGTTTTGTCTTTTCAAACTTCAAAAAAGAACCGATTACGTTTTTTCCTTTTTTTTTTCAAATCAATTTCAAACATACGAATATTTTATTTTCTATGCATAAGAACAAACAAAATAAAATTATAACACAAGAACACATTTAAACAAGTTTATCTAATCTATGCAAAAATCACACAAAACAACAGTATTTAAGATTATAGATTTGATCGATATTCAATTTTACCAAGAATATTTGTATATGCTGTAGGTCGAGGTGGAACAGGTGGTGGAACTTGCATTGATGAGGCTTTTATTGGACTATATGATAGACGTTTTGCTTCAATCTTTGTTGTTTCAATAAAATCATTCTCAGCAAGAGGTAATGAATGTCCTCGACGTAAATGATTTACACGTTTACACCAATACCACATGCCAATACTAACAAGAAATATGACAAAAACCGAGCCCAATGCAAATAGAATGATAAAATTCCAACCGAAGTCAACTGTAAAACTATTTTTATTTGATGACGATGAAATATATGAGACCAACGAGGATCCATTTGTTGAACTGAAAGCATAAACAAACAAAAAAATAGTTCGTTTGTTAAGTTTTTAGTTCTGCATACTTTGTATTATTATTATTTTCAAATGATACATTTAATGGCATTAAATTTGTATCAATATCCATAATTAATGACGTATTTAATATCGGAAAATTTTGTTCTTCATTAACGCTTTCTCGAATAAAACGCATCGTTTTTCTTCCTAGAATGAAATGTTATGGCTATGGCGAATTTAAAAGATAAAACGTAAACGATTGCAACAATCACGTGGTGATTATATATATCATTTGGATTGTGTTCTCTGCTTGTGTCGCGTCATAACACACATGATCGATGGTTAAATCGCCATAGCATATTCTTTATTTCTTACTTCGATGTATATTGAACACGTTTCGTAAAAATGAATTCTTTAAATAGATATAAAAGAGAAAAACAACAACACTAGAACATGCAACATTTTAGCAAATTTTTTATATCACCCGATTAGATTCAACCTATAGTACTTTCGTGTGAGTTTCATCATCGGTGATTCTAACTATCGACCAGGCACATAATTATTTATACTTTTCGTTTCACATCATTTCAAACATTTTTTATGTATTCGCAAAGTATTAAAACAAGACCAGAAATGTTCTTTTTATTGGGTGTCATAATTGTATGAGAATTTCATTATCTTTTCGCAATCGGTCATTACTGCTTAAACTATTAAGATAATGCGTATTAGTTGTTGTTGATTAAATAGTGAAGACTTACCAATGTATATATATTCACTAAATGGTGAATGTGTTATATGTCTATGAAAATATCAAATAATCGTTCAAGATTCATCTTTTGATCAAAATCAATGTGTATTGTTTAGTCATCATCAGTAGACATGATAGTATTGCCTAAAATAAACGCTTTCCACAACTGCTTTTTTTATATAGAATCAATAAACAGCATCTATTCAATTCTAACAATACAGAAATAGCTTTTTATCGGCGACAACATTTTAAATTTTGCTTTTAATAGAGCAAACATTTTTAGTCACGAATAATGATGACCTTTACATTTTTTTTAGACGACTAAAGTCACTCATAATTGTGTACAACGAACATGTTAGAAAATGAAAAAATATCTATAACGAAAAGTAGTTTTTATGACATTGTATGGAATAAAAGTCTCTTACAATTTTTAACCACAACAACAAATTATATGGTCAAGATACTTTTTTTTCATTAACCAATAATTTGATGATGTCTTGAAGATTTAAATTGATTTTTATTTAGTTCAAATTCTATAAAAAAAAGTCTATTCGCTAGAGAAATGCTGATACAAGACGCTGATATAGTGTTTTATTTAAGGTACTTATAAAATTCAATTTTAATGCGAATAAAAAAAGAACTATTTTACAGTATCGATGAGCTAATTATAAAACAGTGCTAGAAATAGAAAAGCCAGTAATTCTAGGAAATAATTTTTTTTTCATTCATACGACGTGTCAACAAATGTTTTTAATGGGTCTGCGTTATCAACACATTCAGTAAGTCCTTGAGTTTTATCAATTGAGTAGAGTCAATATCTCTAAAGCGAACGGACGATATAGGGGTGTACATTCTCAATCTTAAATCAGATCCATTTTTCCTCTTTGAATTATTAGTTTTATTCCATGGGAAAGAGCACAAAATTCTGCATCGGCTCATATAAAAATATAGTTCGTAACTAAAAAATAGTTGAGCAATCAGCGGTATAAAGTCGAAAAACGGATTTAATATTCGCAGCATTTTCTATTTCTCAATAATTTTGGACAAACAAATTGTACAGTTAAAATCAGCATAAAATGTTGATCATAATTCACTATCTTCTTGCTCAGTTCGATGAAAACGTTTTTTTTCGAAAAAATTTCGCTGTGGTCCCTCACAGGGATTTTTAAATATCAACATTTTTAATTTAGTCAAAAATATGTTGAAAATACGCATTCGCCACAATTTAAGTAGAGTGATTCATTTTATTTGTCGCAGTAAGTTTCGATCATTCCAAAATCAATTGTTGAGGGATCAACTGGTCAAAAACTTCAAAGCGTCTACAGTTGGCTACTTCATAAATTCACTAGTTTAGACTGTTTTCTCAAGTGTCTGTGGTTTCCTAAACAAAAAGAACCATCATATCTGCGATCCCCGCTTCGGATCTTCTATCAATCAAAACTGTTTTGACTAAATTAAAAATGCTGATATTTAAAAATCCCTGTGGGGGACCCAAGCGAAAAGTTTTTCGAAAGAAAAAAACTTTTTCATCGAATTGAACAAGAAGATAATGAACTATGATCAAAATTTTATGCTGATTTTAATCATATAATTTATTTTTCCAAAATTATAGAGAAGTCGAAAATGCTGTCAATATTAAATCCGTTTTTCTTGAAACATAAAAAACAGAAAATATGCTTCTGTGACTTTTCTTCTCATCTTTTCTAGTTGAACTGCTAGTATGTTGTAGAGAAAACAATTCTGAAGATCTTTGCCAACGGAAGTTTCATTGAATTTTGATTTTGATCTATGGTAAACGAACAAAATACTGAATCAAGGTGATTCAGGAGATTCAATCCGACGATTTCCTAACTAACGGATCCCGGTTCGGTTTCCGCCGGAAAAATTCCGTGAAGTTCCGCAAATTTTCGACCCGGAATTCGTCAGAAATCGACGGAATCGATCGGAAATGATTCGACCAAATCTGGACCGGAATCCGTTAGTTAGGAAATCGTCGGAATTCAACGGAACCGATCGGTTCTGACCGATTCCGACGTACCCTGATTCTCCTGGGGAATCTCCAGCTAAAATAGCTGGACCATTCGCTTTATGTGTAATGCATATAAAGCGAAAGGAAACTTTTTTTTTAATTTCATTTATAATAAGTTAAAATCAATTTCAATTAAGCTGAACCGCTAGAATATGATAGCGCTTAATGAGACGAATCGAATGATATCATTTTCAAGAAAATTAATTGAAGTTTTCGGACAGGAGCGACGGAATAGTTTACGTTTTTTATAGTTTGCTTGTTTTTCAATGGGAATTGACGGAAAAGGCAGAAAATAAAAACGCCGAAGAGGAAAATGTCGAAAAAAAAGGAAAACGTCGAAACTCGAAATTGCAGAAGGTAAAAACGTCGAAGAGGAAAACGTCGAAAGGAAAACGTCGAATGGAAAAAGCATGGGGGAAAAAGCCCATTCGGAGCCATTCGAATGGCTGCGATGGGCTGGGAATGGATCGGAATGGCAGTACGTTGATATAGTTCGAACTATGCAAGAACATTTTAATTAATTCAACAGATGATTATCGCTATTGTCGAAATGCTCTGCATTAAGGAAGTCTGCTGAAAATAGTTATAATCATTTTCCAATATGTATCAGATATTTTTCGTCTTCAATACACATTTTGCTGTTGTTGAAGCGCATAAAAATTTTGTCATATTCATGATCGCAAGCACTTACTAAGAAAGGGATTCATCATTATGTTGACAGTTTAATATTTTGATAGGATCAACTGAGTATTTTTACAAAACTAAACAAATGCAATTTTATAACAAAAATGTATCTTTTCGATTTGATATGCATTTATACATCGATTATTGTGAGGAGTCAAATAGCTGAATTGGCTAGAAAAGTTACTGATAGCATAAAGCAAAACAAATAACTAAATAAGTTGACAGGTCACATGCACGAGAATGGATGTCCGGCCGTAATGAATAGCCTCATACAAACAAGCGTTTTTATCGGTTAGATGACTATATAAAAAAATACAGCTCAAATACGTATTTTATTTTCAAAATAAAAGGGTGCCATTCAACTCAAACAAATCTAAAATATTCAACTAGTTCGTACATGCAGAAGATGAAAGTGGATCTGAGGATTCAGAAGCAGAAAATGAATGTGAAACATCTACAAAAGATGGTTATAACAGTATGAGAATTTTTTCTAGCATTTGTGATAAAGAAAAATATAAATTCTTCGAAGTTGAAATCAATGGCAAATTAAAGTACATTCATAAACAAACAGCTGCGTGGTATTTAACCAGCAAAAATAATAAATTATCTTCAGACAGATTAGTTCGTGTTCACAAAATGAACAAACAATAAATTAGATTAAGTTACTTGATGCTCATGTTTGAACCAAAATAATATGCTAACTCTCGTCGTCACTATTAGCATGTATATTAGATTAGCAATCATTATTTCATTTTTTTTTTATAAAAACATTTTTGTCATTTATGAACAAATTAATTTTTTTCTGAATACCCTGTGAATATTTGAATTGTCAAAAGTAGAAAGTTAAGGAAATTTCCTGAACATACTAAATCGCTTTCTTAGATTATTCGGATTCGAAATTACGCTAATTATTCTCGTTCAAGAACACTGTTGGTTAAACAACCTTTGTCGATTCACTAGGAAGTGACTGTATTTACTGTTGTATTTCTTCAATAAATATTTGTAATTGTAACTCATTGTGAACGATAAAGTCAGCATATATTTCATAAACATGTCTAAACTTTCTTATTCTGATAACTGTTTTGAGCAAAATTGAACAAGCTGATATAATCGAGTATTTGCGACATTAGTTGTTAACATACAATATCTTTTATTTTCATCATTGTAATATTTCACCATGACAAAAAACGAATAGTCTTCTCTGATACACTATAATTGATCTGATGTTAACGGCATTCTATTCACTGTTATCGACAGCTAAATTGTATGTGTGTAATTTTTTTATTCTTCAAGGTCACTTGAATATTTTAGAAAATCATTTATTAATTGTGAACAAAACATATGATGTAAAATAATAAGGAATCATGGGTATTCCAGACCACCTAGATTATATGAAAACAAGCCCATTCACATAACACATTGATTTAAGGATTCTTACTAAAATTAGCCCAACTTCAGAAGCATTTAGAATTTTTTTAGAACTTGATCTGCAAAACAATAAGATGACTTTCCTCAAGAAAAACAATAATCTTCGAAATCTTTAGATCAATCTCCTGCTGCCCTTTCATAATACAAGTACTATAAATTTCTAAATGAATTTTCTCAGTCATATTGATGTTTCATGTACTTAAAATATGAATATAGCGTGGTTTTCAATTAATGAAAACCTGTTGATTTTTACTGATTGGTATCGCTACTTGTGAATATGCGGTAGCTAAGTTCAACATTATGTAAATCGATTTGATGAAAAATGTTAACGTTTGGAAATAGCTAGCTTCTAAAAACAGATATTGTAATTTATAAAAAAATGACACAATAGATTAGAAATGGACCATCTACATTAACTTAAAATTAAGTGTAATCTCATAAATTCACGAATAATATTAAGTGTTAAACATTTAGAAGAAAATAGAATACCTATTATTTAATGGTAGATAAGATCACTTAAATAATGCTAATAATTACGTTTCGACAAGTATAATGATTCATCCCTATACCAGAGAGTGTCTCGTGATATCTGGGATTGGCTCGGAATGGCTGGGAATGCCCCAATGAGCTTTTTCCCCCTTGGGAAAAAGTATAATTAATAACAGTGTCGAAGAAAAACTGCCAGAGAAAAAAAGTAGAAGAATTTTGAAAAGGAAAACGTAGAATGAAAAAGATGCCTATAGATAACGAAAACTTTTTCTTTTGATTTGGTAATCAATGCAAAGCAATTATTGAAGGGATTAGCATTACTACTTGGATCACACAAAAAAAAGAAAATTATACTGATAAACTTAGTTTTCTTTTTTTTATTATATTTTATCATATGATCGAATAAATTTTTATTTTTCGTTAAAATTATCAAAAAACGCAATTTTCGACATTTACCTTTCGACGTTTTCCTTTTTCTAATTTTTTCTATCGACGTTTAGAATTTCTGCATTTTCCCCTTCTATGTTTTCCTTTTCGCCATTTTCCTTTTTTTTCGACGTTTCCCCTTTCTGCCTTTTCCACCAAACCCTTTCAATGGACCGTTCGCTTTATGAACATGTACGTAAAGCGAACGTTTTGACTTTTTTCGACTTTATACCGCTGATTGCTCGACTATTTTTTAAGCTACGAACTATATTTTTATATGAGCCGGTGCAGAATTTTGTGCTCGCTCCCATGGAATAAAAATAATAATTTAAAGATGAAAAATGGGTCTGATTTACGATTCAGAATGAGCATCCGTATATCGTCCGTTCGCTTTAGGGACATTGGCTCTAAGAAAACATTTACAACAATAAATGGTGACTTTAAAGTATAATGAGATGAGCAAAATCTTTTTGCAACCATTTCTTTCTATGAAGTAAGAAGTCTAGTGCAATATCAGATTATTATTTTCAAATAGCTAACGAGGTGTTTCTGAAATCAAATCAGGTGATGCTGTGTTTTTATCAGTCTCCTACAAAAAAAATCAGAAAGATGGAATATTGGCTTGAAATGCATCAGATAGATACTTCTTGATTTGAACTAGGTGATTTATATTTTAGAAAAATAGTTCATTCTTTGGACTTTTCCCAACCATCTTATAGAATTGTATCTTGTAATAGGTCATCAACATGCTTAATAGATGCGACTAAAATTAATCATTAATTATTTACAAAACAAAAAGAAGCTAATGATTTTTCACGTCTTGTATTCTATCTCGACTAATGATAGTAAATTTTAATGGTTTTGATTTGGAAAGTATAAATGATCCATATGGTAATTGAATGATGATAAAGTTCAGTGATATTGGTAATAGAAGAAATGGTACTGGCATTTTACTATCACCGGTTTTAGTCAATTGAAAAACAATTTCAATAGCATCACGTGCAATACATTCACATGCATAATTATCTAATATACTTATACTGGCATACTGTTTTATGTCTACGACAAAGTATCGGAGAGTTCAAATGAATGGCATATGACCAAATGGATCATAAATATTAGTAATAATTTGCTAAATCATCAGGTTCTTCTTCTCATTCATTAACTTACTCTCACGTTAGTAGAAAATAAATGATTAGTATATTGAAAGTCTTTATACAAAATTAAATATTTATCAAGTATTAAACGTAAGCTTTACTTTAAAGTATAATATAAAATCTCAAATAAGAGAAAACTAACGATAACAGAACTTTTTTTTCTTTTTGAAATAGACAAAAAGAATAAGTAAACATCACACATTATCTTGAACATGTTTTCATAAGCATGAATCTCGTTTAACGATATATAAAGCTAAACTAAAACATTGGTTTTAATTTGTACGTTGTCGTTTAATTGTTGATGTTGATGTATCAAAAATGTCCTGTCGACAAATAGGACATTTAGTTAAACGTTCTTCTTGTTTAGCAATGCAATCGTTACATAAACATGTATGACCACATGGTAATAAGCTCACTGAACTGTTGTTTGTCAAGCAAATACAACAGACATCACCACCGGAGCTAGTAGCACGCGTTGCATCGCCAGCAATTACATCGGATAGTCGTCGTACAAGTTCTTCTGTTTTCAAATTTCCTTTAATACTATGTTTTTTTGCTAAAGTTTGTAGATCTCGACGAGGTAATTCGTCCAATGAAGGTATTGTTTTCTTTATTATAGTAGTAATAGTAGTAGGCATAGTGACAGTAGTAACAGATGCAGATGCAGATGTAGCTTCAATGGGTGGCAGTGTTAGAAGGTTTTCATTCAAAGGTATGTCATCCTGTTGAGCAATATCCGTTAAATGTTTGTATTCTTCCTCGTCCAATGATTTGTCATTAATGGCGGTCATTTCCTTTTTAAAATATTCTACTAAACTTGGATATTGTCGACGCATTGACTGATATTCATCGATAACATCCGGTGTAGCTGATGCTTGACGTAATTTCAAATAACGTTTCATAAACGATGTATAACGTACCAGTAGAATAGATTTGCGTATACCCGAATGTGTAAATGAATCAACATCATTTGAAAATTCGAATTCTTTTTCATTGCTCTGTCGTATGCCTGAAACTGTATCCCACGAGGTGGTGATTTTAAAATTTTCATTGACTTCATCCTTTTTCATATCAATTATTTTAAATAAAAGGCATCCACCACGTACTTCGTTTTTATCATTCATTGGCGATGGAAACTCAGTAATTATTTTAATTGATTGACGAGTATCTATTTTATCTTGTAACTGATGTATCTCAGGTGAACCATATCCTTGTTCCATTGTATAACGTTCTCCTGCTATTGATAATTCAATGTTAAAGCCAATCGGTGTAACTGTATAATGAAATTCAGTATTCATCAATTCATCAAACGTTCGAGCACTGCGAACATTACAATAATTACAACCGATTGTTCGTGATACTGATTGAATAACTTCAGCACCTAAGTCAAGTCCAACACCAACGACTGTTGACCAAATCGTATGTTTTTCTGCATTATCTTTAATATGTTTTAGAAAAGTTTCCCCATCGGTCGTTGATACTTCCATATCAGTTAGAAAAAATATTCGACGACTGATCATATTGTTATCATCTTTCATACCCTTCTGATCTGCAGTCGAATTATATAATTCACTGGCAACTTCAATGGCCCGAGCGATAGTGGTACCACCGCTGGCACGTAGTTTAAGAATATTTTCTTCTAGTTTTTTTTTATCAATTGATGATATTCTTTCAATCGGCTGTAAAACTGTTGCACTGTGATTAAAAAGTACAATGCCAAGTGCATCATCAGGTCCAAGTTGTTTAAGCAGTGTTAACAATGATTGTTGTGCTATTTGTAATTTCGTTTTACCTGGCTCACCTTCGAATCTGTCTGACATCGAGCCAGATATATCAAGTGTTATAACAAGATGAAGTCGAGCACGATGTGTACGAATACCTGCGCCATCGAGACAACTATTAAAATTAACACTTAGCCAATGTTCAATATTTTGATTTCCATTCTCTAGTGGATCGACTATCGTAGCAATACCATATGATGGCATGAATAGATCTGTTGTTGTTGGTTGTGCCGTAAAATGATGAGCATAAAATGAACTTTCATAACTCACATCATATGTTACATCGGCAGGTGCTGTGGCTTCAAGTTCGGCTTCGGTTACTTCTGCTTTACCTTGTTGTTTAGCTTGAACTTGTTTTCGTTTAGCATACGTTTGAAACACAGCAGATTTTCGAGGTGCTTTGCCGCCTACTGATTTCCGAGCTGTTTGTTTGGTGCGAGCCATCGAGAACGAAGTAAAATACGAATGAAACGAGACATGGGTAAAATGCGATCTATTTATCTATCTGACGAGGTGTACTTTTTCTTTCATGGCATGTAATTGCAACATATTTGATCAACATGAACAACGAGAAAGAAATAAAAGAGTAATATAGTAAAACTGGCCAAGCAAAATAACGGATTCTCCACCTGTCGTTTATGGAGGCTACCCATTGACAACAACAGAAACGTAAAAATAGGAGAGTAAGCACGTATGACAATATTGATTAGCGAGAATGTGAGTCATTCAATACCAACCAAACGTTTTTAGGCGTTCGTAGTCACATGTGAGACTCGGGTGACACGGTGCAAAAAGAAATAAAATGATTCAACAGTATCGACTATGACTCACTGCATGTAGTGATATAAGTTGAAGTTAAATTTTGGGGACTAGCTTTGATCTAACTCATTCGTTCACATTGCATTCATTTTTATCGTTTTGAAAAACTTAGACGATAAAATATTCTCAAAATTACTAAATAATAACATAGCCAGATGTATGGTGTGAGCTTGAATTCTATTAATTGAAAGAGTATTTCAAGAGTGTACGCAATAATTGTGTTGCGGTCGAAATAACATACACCGCATTCTAACATCTTCACGCTTAACTTTCAACAGTATGAAAGTACTCCGTTACACGTAAGTGTGGGCCATATTAATGAAAATATTTGGACACCAAGTTAATCTTCATGCACCCATAATCTTTCGAATCGCTTACTTTTATATTAATTTACACGCATACTATTGCACGTCACACGCTCTCGTATTCATGATGTCTCGTAGTATCATCACGAACTGAAACCAGCCACAGTTCGGATAGGTTTCTTCCATATCCATCGATCGTATAACAAATCACTGCGTACGTTAACAACAAAAAAGAAATTGTTTTGAAAAAAACACAGAACGAAAGATAATAAAAATCTGTGTTGAAATATTTTCGTCGTGTTTGGTTTGTTTTTGGCAACGAAAAAATAACAATACATGTATAAATTTTCTTTCTTCGATTGGTTGTTCTGATTGATGAAATTTATTTCTGGTTTACCGTTTTCAGCTGATGATTGATTCGAGTTCGAAAACGAAATAAAGCTCGAAAGAAAAATACTTTCCACGTTGAAATAACAAAAGGATTTACAAATCCGATGAAGTAAGAATATCCAAGCAGCGCTGGAAAATTCAACCTGTTTATGTTGATCTATGAATGATTGAAATTAGAGTTTGCATCATTACTTTGTACACAGCTGAAATCTTTATGTATGCGACCAGATTCATTTGTTGCATTATCTATCTGACGATAAGTTATGATCAAAGTTTGAGAATCCGATTAGCATTATCTTCGGTTTTATTTGATTTACACGGCGTAGACTTGAATAAAGTATGATAACATATTACCTAAAACATTTTGATTGATTATCCTAGCATCCTAATGTATATCTGTCGCATCTGTAGTAACGCTTCTAAAATTTCTACTTCTGTCTGTTGTGCTTCGTATGATACTTTTCGCCCCTTATGTGGTTACTTCAGACTCATAGATATGAGCGATCGTCGTCAGATTCTTAGCAATGATAATACAAGAATACTTATGATTCTTTACTTTTTCTACTTTTCTTCTTGTTAAGGATGTGTCTTCGAAATGAGAGCCATTTTTTCCAATATTTTACTTTCATTTGAACTTGATTTTGGTAAATCGCAAACGTTTTCTTCATTAGTCTCTCTTTCAGGTAAGTGAAGCACAGTATGGAGAGAAGACAAAAACAATCCTCGAACTACACATTAGCTGCTGCTGCTGCTGCTGCTGCTGCTGCTACATCAATATCAGAGAAATCCACAACTAGATTAAAACCACCAGCACTAGCTCATGATTTTGTTATTCAAAATTTCTTGCTAGTTTGGCTCGATAGACACATTAATGACGTTAAGAACGCTGATTATTTGAATACTATTTCAAAATTAAAAGAACTGGCAGATAAAGTCTATAAATTTCACGATGCCGATGATTTTGTCAGTTTCATCAGTGATAACAAACGAGAAAAAATATGCATAATCACATCTGCAGAAATGGGTGAAATAATAGTTCCCGTCATACACAACATGAAACAAATCAGTGCTATTTACATTTTGAGCGGAGATCAAGCTCAACATCATGTATGGATCGACGGTTGGTCAAAAATAAAAGGCATCTTCACAGACATTGAATCTATATGCAAAGCTCTTCAACAAGCATTACAAAATCTAGATCAAAATTCGGTCACAATTAGTTTTGTCTCTCCTAGCAGTGATATTAGAAAGCAAAATCTTGATCACTTAGATTCATCTTTTATTTACACTCAAATATTAAAAGAAATTATTTTAAGTATTGATTTCGATCAACAGCATATTGACGAATTTATTTTATACTGTCGTCAACTCTTCGCTGAGAATCCAATAGAGCTAAAAAATGTCAATAAACTTGCACATGAATACAAAGAACATCTACCGATCTGGTGGTATACCTATCATTGTTTTCTTTATTCGATGCTGAATCGAGCCCTACGAACAATGCAAGTAAATCTCATTATTGGCATGGGATTTTTTATTCAAGGACTTCATAACCATATTGTCGCACTTCATCAGGAACAATTTATTGAACATTCACAAACGAAACTATTAACTGTATTTCGTGGTCAAAGTTTGTGTCAGAAAGATTTTGATCGGTTGGTACAAACACAATATGGACTTATCTCATTTAATAATTTTATATCGACTAGTACAAATCGTGATGTGTCGCTCAAATTTTTACGTAACATTATTGAAACTACAGACCTAATGGGCATAATATTTGTAATAAAAATCGATACCTCTATCTCTTCAACACCATTTGCTAATATTCGTGAGATCAGTTATTTCAAAAGAGAAGAAGAAATTCTCTTCTCGATGCATTCTATTTTTCGTATTGGCGACGTCAAACAATTGGACAAAGATCGACTTTGGCAAGTAGATTTGACATTAACAAATGATGATGACCGTGAACGGAATGCTTTGATTGAACAGCTACGAAAAGAGACCTACCCTCGCAAGAAAGGATGGAATCGACTGGGTATGTTGCTGATTAAACTTGGTAAGTTCAACAAAGCTGAAGAAGTCTACGATATCTTGATCGATCAAGCTATAACTAATCAAGAAAAAGCACATATTTATCATCAACTTGGATGGACCACGGATGCACAAGGAAAATATGCCGATGCAATTGCATTCTATACACAAGCAATTGAAATCAAACAAGTCATTTTCTCTCCTAATGACGCTGGTTTGGCTGCTTCTTATACTGGAATTGGCTTAGCCTATGACAAGATGGACGACTATTTGAATGCGCTCTCATCGCATCAAAAAGCAATAGAAATCTACGAACAATCTTCTCCTTCAAATAATCCTCATCTAGCTACTTCTTACGATAATATTGGTGTGGTATACTCCAAGATAGGTGATCATTCGAATGCACTTCTATTTCATCAAAAGGCATTGAAAATTCGCCAAAAAATACTTCCAAACAATCACCCTGATTTCGCCGATTCTTACAACAATATTGGCTTGTTGTACGATAACATGGGTGACTATGCAAGTGCACTTACATTCCATCGAAAAGCGCTCGAAATCTATCAAAAAACTCTCCCTTCCGATCATCCTAATCTTGGTACTTCTCATAACAACATTGGTTTGGTATACTTCAAAATGAATGACCACCCGAATGCTCTTTCGTTTTATGAACGTGCTCTTGACATTCAACTATGTTCATTATCGAAAAACCATCCTAATATTCGTAGTTTGCGAAAGAATATTGAACTTATAAAGAAGAAAATATGATCTAGTATTAAACATATGATTAAATCACAAATATTTACTTAATAATGTTATTAACTCAACAAAAAATGAACTATAGCTTTAACCTGCAGTTATCGTTGTGAACTTGTTTAGTGCTTGAAACAATCAAAAACTTCTTTAGAATTTTTTATGAAGATATTTTCCTTTTAAAGCCTCTTTAGTGTAAATTACAACGTTTTTGATTTTGTTCTATGCTCATCAATTAACACAAAGCGTTGAAACATAGATAGCCTAGTTTTCAATATTATCACTCTTTTTGTGTACTCAAAAAGTGAGTACACTCTAGAATCGGTCAGTGTGTCCGGCCGACCGTAGGCACGATAACTTTCGAAATGAGAGTCAGATCGTGATGAAATTTTCCAGACAGTTCAATCTCATGAATATCTCGGTCGAGTTTGAAGATGAAAAGGATCCCTCAAGAAATGGTTGAGTTATCGAAAAAATTGTCATTTTTGACCAGACCACCCCTGAGGAGGGGTACAGGGATTTTCTTTTTAAAAAACAAATTTTCCTCAGAAGTATTCACAACATATATAAATCGACTCAGTTCTTAACGCTGATTCCGAATCTGATATTAGTTTTGAACTAAATCGTAGCTTTCTAACGAAACATCGCCTGAAAAACGTCTCAAAATGCACAAAAACTGCATCCAGAAATCAAATTGCCTAGTTTCTCATGATAATTTTGGTGTTCAGACATTCTAGAATGACTCATATGCCCCATGTACTTTTTGCAGTACACATAACTCTCGGATGAAATCCGAAATTTGCACATTTTTTCTAATCTTTTCATTTTCAAAAACCACTACACGACTAAATTCTACAGTATCACTCATGGGTGCAATCATGTGAACAGATTTAGATTGCAGTCTCTCGTTAGTACGAGTAAAGTCTATATTATAACTAAAAGTTCTGTGTACTATCCTCGTTGAAAATGAAGTTAATTACTTGTATGTTCAATATAAATACAAGATTTAAAATAATTTGTTCGTACATAAAGGTATGAACATTCATTTTTTAAAATTCTCTGATGTCTTTTGTCCATATGAACTGACAGCAAAGTTCAACTGGTCACATCAACTAAATTATCTTTGCGTTCGATGTTAAATAGATTAAGAAATAAATAGTCATCAAAATCACTTGCTAAATTATCACGAAAAGAATCTCGGACAATGAACAAACAATGAGATGATATCGATCTAGCGAAAAGTTGCTATTCAAGACATAGAACTGAGAGTTTCGTAATACAACTAGAATAATCTTTTTATTTCAATATTTGATTGGAATATCAAAATAATAAACAAATAATTAGAGATTTTTGAAAGATAGGAATTAGTATGGGTTAAAATTCGGTTCAAAACAACGGTGTGCCGTAGAAAGACCGAAAGGGAAAATGTCGAAAATTTGCACTAAGATGTTTTTATTCTTGAAATCATAATAGCATNAGAAATAGCCTTCAAGTTTATTACGTAGATCAAGATTATTTTTATCAAATAATTTTTCTGCCAAACAATCCATCGTCGAAGCTAAAAATAGATCTTCTTCCACTGTTTAGCAGCTTAGTTTCTTGGTGGATTTCTTCTTTTTTGTTTATGAATGACGTCAAACAAGTAATGATGTATATGCATATTCGTTAGTGATGTAATTGTTAGAGATTTTTGAAAGATAGGAATTAATATGGGTTAAAATTCGGTTCAAAACAACGGTGTGCCGTAGAAAGACCGAAAGGGAAAATGTCGAAAATTTGCACTAAGATGTTTTCATTCTTGAAATCATAATAGCATCATAGCATAAATCATAGATAAATAAGAGTTATAAAGAAAAATACACATATCCAATATTTACTAGTTGTTGTTATTTTATTCAGTTTGAAAATATATTTATCTGATACAAGGAAAGGTTTTCCTTTTTGAGACTGAATAAATGAAATAACTGGAGTTGGCGGATGATTCTCACCAGATAAAAATGAGCAAGCTGTAGTCATCACAAAATTATCATGATTGAATTTTAATCGTTGTATACTATTTTACGCCTATTTTAGCTAGTTTTCATTAAGATATTACTTATCAATAGTATCAATGATTAACAGTGTCAAACCAATGGAAAAATCAGATTAATAACAATGAACAATAAACTCTTAGAACCTTCATTTAGTAGAGACGTCGCTTTCTTCTATCTTTTCTGTTTTCGATATTTTTCCTTTCGGCCTTTCTACGGCCAACCAAAACAACATATGGTCTCTCATTAACGCTGATTATTATTAACTAGATTTCTTTCCATAGAGATTTTTATCGGATTAACAGATTATTTTGAGATTAAACATAATAGAGCACTCGATGTGACTCTTTTTTTTCACTCACAACCAATATAAATTCAATTAAAAAGTCTTCTTGGATAATATTTCAGCTGATTAAAATTTATGGTAATGTAGAATTCTTATCTTTAAAAATAACTCAAATATTATAACATCCATATAGAAGAGCCTTTTTTCGTTAAATAAAATATCTTATACTTCACATTTAATAAGAAATGTATTATAATGAATTATTAATAACGGAGATTCAATTAAAATCGTTCTTTGATAAAAGATTCATGATGAACTTAGTTGAACAGCAAATTTGCTTATTTGGATGTTTCTTTTGAACATTTCGATTGTATTCATCGTTGATTCACAATGTGAACAATAGAATATTAATTGAATGAATAAGTTCCACCGTCTATTATTGTGTTACTTTTTTTATCTTCTTATCTTTCTATTTTTATGGATAAAAAATTCACGCGAAATGCTCAGATTAGATAAGTACAATAAAACAATAGCTCAAATAGAATTTTTTAAATCCTACAGTATTTAAATACATGTGATATCTTGTTTTTTTTTCAAAATACTAATGATAAATTTATGATGTAAGAAATAGCCTTCAAGTTTATTACGTAGATCAAGATTATTTTTATCAAATAATTTTTCTGCCAAACAATCCATCGTCGAAGCTAAAAATAGATCTTCTTCCACTGTTTAGCAGCTTAGTTTTTTGGTGGATTTCTTCTTTTTTGTTTATGAATGACGTCAAACAAGTAATGATGTATGTGCATATTCGTTAGTGATGTAATTGTATATGTGTTTCATTCGAATTAGCTGCTAGCCTGTTTGTTGTTATTTAACGAAATAGCGAGGGATGATAAGCAAACGAAAGACGCTTACATGTATTATATGCAACGTCAGATGAAGGATCAATGAATAGCAACGATCTTTCTTTTGGTATGAATGGTAAACAATGGAGAAAAATCGATCGGCGAAATCATCGTTTTTAAATGGAAAAAGCCTAAGAAAATATATACAATGCAAAGAATCAAAATGAATGACAATACAATTAGATGATTTTTTTTAGATTTTCATAAATCGAACTTGTACTCATTTTTTTTGATATTCCTTATTTGAACAACTGTTCTTATATAATAATTCAATAGGACATGTTATGCCTAATCCAATGTAAGAATGGTGAAAAGCGATTCTTTTTATGATCATTTGACTAACAGCTGATTGGTGTCTAATTTACATAAGTGCATCCATTTTTCTATTAAAAGAAGAGATTCGATACAATACCATAAATAAACACGGTTTTTTTTATGGCGGAACAAAAAATAAAAATTACATCAAAGCACGTCACTGACATTTTCTTGTTTTCATACAAATCTATTTACACCATATCTTCACTGATCTGCCCAATGCGTATTCGTTCGGCTAGTGGCGATGATTTGTAATGAAAATCTTCATCAGTATGCGTATAATCATTGGTTGAAATTCTTATACCATTTATATTTGTAAAATCATTACCACCGAGTAAAGCTTCATCATCTGATCTTATAAGTTGCAATTCTTTTGCCATAATTTCTTCAGCAGTTGGTCGACGACATCCTAATAAATAACCGATAAATCCAACAATACCTACTGTTAGAAATATAAGTGCAAAAACAATCAATACGATTGACCAAAATGGAAAAAATCCTAAAAACATAATATCAAAAACAGAAGTTTTAATTTTTTCATTTATACTAAAGTTGTGAAAAAAGAAAACAAGACCTCGAAGTAAATAATCGGGATTGACACGATGGAACATATCAGTTCGTCGACCTCCAGTTAAGTCGTAATGTGTTCGAGCTCCATGACTCAACTCCTGTTGGTCTCGTAATTGATCTGGTGTTAAAAATTGTCCATTCGAAATAACGACAAGAGCTATCAAAACTCCTAAATCAGAGATTCACTTTTAAAGTGGAATATGTCACATTAATCTATCGATCAAACCTGCTATGACCTTGATAGAAATCATATTCTGCTAGGAGACCATCAACGAATATATGCGTGTATGTAAGTGAATAGAACAAAAAAAATGAGACGAACGAGGAGCGGGTCACCAAATAAAGTCGTGAATACGTGCATCAAGAGGAAAGTAAAAAAGGAGAGAATAAAAAAAAATGTAGGAATGAATATTATGAGTTCAAATAAAAAAGAAAAAAAGTGTCTCTAAAAGAAAATGTGTCGTTTGTCGAAGGGAAAAAGAAACAGAACTGTCGGTTTTATTAAGAAGTTTTTGCTTGTTCTGTACTTGAGAATTGAATTTGTCCTTCATCATAAAAAGACATGATACACTATAATTTGATCAAGAAATGTTACATTCAAATAGAGCTTGCGTCACAAAATGAGTCTCTAAATTCAACTAGCAACTTTCATGAATATAAAAATATCATAAATAATTTTGTTCAAATTAGTTTTTCTTTAATCAAAAGATTTTTTTACACTATTAGCTAAAAAAATTAGTATAAAACGTAAAATCTATAGAAAGTACAATATTCAAGAAAAAAAACCGATTTTTTGAATCACCATTAGCATTCAACTAATATTTCAATATGTTATTGACTTTCTCTGATAAAAACAATGAATAAACATACATTCTAAGATTCCTAAAAAATTTGAATTCATTTTTGCTTGATTCAAGTAATTAAGATTAATTTTAATCTCCGATTACCAATAAAGAACAACTGGTTGATTCGTTTCTCAACAATTTTCGTTCTTTTCACACACATGCGGATACCCAAAATTTTAAAATCGAATCATCTTCATACAGATACACACAGAAAACAGATAAAGAAAAAAAATAATAAAATACTAAACAAAACACATATGCACGTAATGTGAAACATCCGCCTAAACTTAGGCATAAACGCGCACACCGATAATAATAATAGTAATAATGATAGTAATAATATTAGCAATGAAAAAAATGAGGTATGACAGAAAGAAAAATGACAAAGAAAAACAAACATTCAAGTTAGAAAAGAAGAAAAAAAACGAAATGTCTTATTGTTTTTCTACTCATAATGACAAGATACAAAGACAAACTCATGTATAATAAATACCGTTGAGAAAAAAAGCAAAAATGACCGGACAGAAAGACGAAAAGAAAATTTTGTACATTTAATTTAGAAAAAAAAGAAAGAACAAAAACAGGGCAGAGATAAGTATTCGAAAAGATCAGATATCATACAATTAATTATATATATGTATGATGCTTCGTTGTTCATCTACTTGATTAGCCATTATTTAACTAGGCGTAGAAACATATTTATTCATTCATTCCATGAATCATCAAACAAACTATTATCATCATTATTCGATTGTGATCGTGCTGACTGGGATATTGTTCCTGTTGCTGTCGGTGGTGTAACGAGATCATATAAAAAATTAATCTCACTATGAAGATCATAGTTTGTTCCAACTGATGAATTCGACGCGGACGATGTTGCTATAGATTTTGATTTCATTGATTTTAATCGGTCATTTGATGTATCTGTAAAATATTGTAACGTTGGTCTACGTTGATATTGATCAATATTGGTTGACATTTGATTATTATCAACTATTGTTCGATTATGTCGATATAAATTCGGATCGGTATCAACAGTTGGATGAAGAAGATGCATGTGAGAAAGACTGTTTGGTGTATAATCATCATTTTCATTTAGTGAAATATTATTAAGTTCATCATCGACTGCTGTTTGTGGTACCATTATAACGGAATTCGAAACAGGTGTAGTCGATGATAGCTGATCAAATTTATCAGTCTCCTGAGATTTACTGTCTTCCATATCGGTATCAATCGACGAAGTATTCGAATCAATATCGTTCTCTTTTGAAACTATAAAATAGGGAGAAAAAAGTATTAGAGCTCGAAGAGAAATAAATAATTTTTGAGTAAAATATCTATGATAGCACAATATATTCGTATATGGCGAATGAGTCTAGAACTCATTACCGTAACAAAAAATGACTAATAATAATAATAATAATAACACTAACAATATGTTCTATTTGAAACGAAAGCGTGCAAGAAATTAGAAGGATTACTACGGCGTGCAATGCATAAAAAAAACAAACGTAAATAAAATTATTATGTGCAAATATTAATCCATTTTTTTTTCTATACACGATATACATATGAAAATGGAGCGGTTAAAAAGTTGTTTCTTACTTGAATTACTTGGAGACGATGGTGCAGTGTTGGCAATCGTATGGATCATATTGGTTGTCGTAGATATCACTGCTTCCTGGCAATCGTCACGATATCTATCTGAACTTATGGAACTGTAATTTTTGTACGAAACTCCTTCTCTTCGATATTATTTTCTTATTAGGCTCAGAAAAAAAATATTATCTTCAATTTCTTTTATATCATCTGCCTTCTTTCATAGTTAGATATGAACTTACTTAGAAGCATCTCATTGATAAGATCGTCGACTTGTTTCGTGTCTTGATTGTAACGTGCAACAAGATCGACCATTAATCGAGCTATATTTTGTAATGGTGGTAATAATAATAATAATTCACCGAAGCGCCCACGCATTAATGGTCGTTGTTGATTAATATATGTTTCAAGATTAACTTGTATTCGTTTACGTAATTGTTTGACACTCGTTGGATTCGATAAAGATTTGTTATCTATAAAGCAAGAGAAAGAAAGATTCTTATATCAATGTATTTTAATTTTTATCATCATGACAAACCATTATCGAAAAAGACAATAGCTTTTAGACAAGCATATTCTTTTTCATCTAATTGATTATCTTTTAATGGTTTGACTATTTCATCAAGTATTCTTCCGGCTGCACGACTTAAGCCTGGATCAGATGCATTTCTTAGTATAACATAATGATTGCCCAATAATAAATAATCATCACAGTTTAATGAACGACATGCAACACCTAATATGAGATTTTCTCCTGTATGGCCACGCAACAGAGCAATCTAGAGGGAGGGAGAGAGACAGAAAAAATAAATAATAATATATTTAAAGAATAATTAAATATTATTACTTTATCCGTATCCGATAATTCAACAAAACCTTTCAAATCTTTTGCCCATTCAATCAGACTACGAAGTTGATAGTTCATTGATATACCGATTGTTTCTAATGTGGCTTGAACACGTTCTGTATTCGATGGTTGTCGATCTAGTCGAATTTGTCGGCCAATATACTATTTAAAACAAAAAATAATAAACTCTTTGACCTCGTTCTTATGTCATACTTCTTGAGCTGTTTTTTCGGCTTTTAATAAAGCTGTTACACTTAAATCATCTGCATCCTCGTCGAGACTACCAGTAAGATTTACGTTAGATTTTGTATTTGCAGTTCCGTAACCACAAACATGATTTCGTTGTCGTCCTAGACGATCTCGTTCTTTTTGTACGGCTAAAATAGTTATAATAACAATTGATAGAATAGAATTTTGAAAAACAAAATGGAGATATTTACCATCTTTTTTCATACCCATTCGAATACATTTTCTGTAAAACAAGAATAGACATGACCGTTAAAGTTTATAAGAATAATTACAATAAACAAACATACTTCCATCGACAATGTCGACATTGATTACGTTTGTCTTTATCAATAGTACAATTATTTTGATGTCGACATTCATATACAGGATTTTTACGAACACTTCGTCGAAAAAATCCTTTACATCCGTCACACGATATTGCTCCATAATGTTTACCTATAAAACCGAAGATGTTTTATGCATTGAAAAAAAGACATGAAAATCTTATAGCTAACCGGTTGCTCGATCACCACAGACAACGCAATCTAAACCATCGGTATTATTTACGAAGGTAGTGTTTGTCGCCGAATTGATACCTAGAGCCATGGCTGTCGATGCTGGTCCGATTCCATCATTTAAACCAACAATATCATCATCAATTTCACATTTAATTATAGTTAGTGGTTCGCTTATGCCCTCGTTGCCAACGGTATGTCGCACTAAACAAAATAGTAAAGTATAGAGTAAATAAGCAAGCAAAAATATTTTATAATAAACAAAGGAAAGTAATAAGAAAAATCTAAGATACATATTAGCACATCGTGCGATGCCATCATCGGAGCATGCGCGAAATGTGTGACACCTACTGCTGATTTGTTTTGATTGAGTACGTGCACGTAGAGAACAAAAATGGGAGCACGAGAAAGAAAATGAAAGATAAGAGAAACGAACGACGAAAGTGATACTCGCTTGAGAATAAAGTAGTAGCAGAATCAAATAAAAAAAGATTAACTATTCAGTTTGTCACTGAAATTAGACAGATAATAAATATTGAACGAACCTAGCATTCTTTTCAACATTGTTTTATAGTAACAAGTAATCGAGAAACGTGATAGTTGTCATTCGTATGTCTTCTTTCAAAATAGATCTGTATTTTCTCATTGCTTGGATAGAAATGCCCTTTTCTCACTTTCACATAACTGTTGACATCAACGTCTGCTACAATCGCACAAAAATAGTTTCTTTCGCCCGTGTGTTTAATTTATGGCCGTATCATACTGCTTTTTTTCCTCTTCGCTTTCAAGAACAAGGCGTATGCGCATCTATATATATACGTCTATATTGTTTTTCATCGATTAACAGATGAAATAATCAAAATAACAGAGAAAAAGAAAGTGTCGAATAAAAGAAGGCTATACTATAATGTCTACAGGTATACGTATGACTCGAAAATCAAGAAAGAAAAAAAGCCGAAAAATCACTAAAATTTTTATAGTTTATAATAGTAATCGAAGTAAAGTTAACATGACAAAAAGCCAACAGATTCTATTGATTTTATCTCACCTGATGAAGCCATTATTGACAGTATCTTCTAATTAAATCATAATCGAAAACCTAAACGAAAAATAAACACAGCAATAAACAAAAATATAAATGTTATGTCAATAAGAAAAAAGAAACATAGCGGTCATCGAAAAAATAAAATGTATGATTCTATGACTTGAGCGAAAAGAAATACAGTCAAACAATTTTTCTTTCTCTTTTCTTTTCAAAATATAGCACTCGAAAAACGACAGGAAAACAAATTTATCGTTCAAAAAGATTGAAAATAAAATGTCCTCAGGTTCGATCGACCTGATAGTATATAAAATTTAAATAAACACAGACAGAAACATTTCTTTTTCTCAAAAATAGCTGTCCGTAGATAATCTCAAAAAATCTGTTTCACTAAAAGGTTTATTTTCTTCTTCTTATAAATATCCACATAATTTCATTTGCACAGCAAAAAGAAATTATCATCAGACACAATGATATGGTTACCTCAAACCTTGTGCGACATCATGAACGGCTAATGCACCCAGCGTACAGAAGCACTGCTATATCATGTCACTAATATCATCTTAAATAATGGACGTTTTTGAAAATCAATTTTTATTTCAAGATTAATCTATTGTATCATGAATAATAGGCTTGGTTGAAGTTTTAAACTGGTGAAAACAATAAGTAGTCTCAAATACATAAACAACAATCTGTGCCTCCATTCGTAAATATCTAGCATAAATTGGGATATATTTTTTTACCTTGTAAAATACTTGTCTAGTGTTCTTTTTATTCGTCTAGACTTCATGTCGGTAACCGAAAAAATATTCTTTTCCGACCTTCAGATGCAGAAAAAAAACAAATTAATGAGATTTAGTCTAGCGTTCGTAAAATATGGAAGTTCACATTTTATTTTTCTTCTTCCATGATGTTCTACAAACTACAATATGTATCTGCAGTTCTTGAGTTTGCATGGCGAGCTGCAATTTCGAAGTTAGTCTATATGAATAAGAAAATATGACTTATGTGAAACAAATAGAGATGCCATACTTAACGGAACTTATTTTTTCAAGAGAAACTATGAAGTGGAACAATTAAAAAAACATTTTTTCTCATTAAAAGTCTTACACGTATTCATTTCTCAGCAATGAAAAGATCAAAGTCAATCACTCATATCCAATGCTCCTACAAATAGTTACTCGGACATTAATTTGAGCTGTAATATCGCTATAGGAAACTAATCCACTAATGAGATATATATATATAAGATTACGTTATCAGTCATCTCATTAATTTCAGATAAGAAGAAATTCTTCTCTTAGTGGAATTACTTAAAAGCGGATACAAATTGTGTCCTCTCAAAAAAATAAACAGAACAAATAAGGAGTCATCGTAATAATAAGATGAGAGTTTTCTAGAATTATATTGAAGTAGTTTGACGGAGAAAATAAAACCAAAGCAAGCAATTCACCTAAATAAATGAAAATGCCTAGATTTTTGTTGGTTTTCTTTTCATACAATTATCATAAGTCTATATGAAAGTACGAAAAATTCGACTAATACCACTTGAAGAGCATATTCTCCTTAACCACTAAATACAGGAAAACAATCATGTCTGAATTGAAATGTTCAATAAATCAGTTGCTTCAAATTAAAAAAAAAACGATATAATAATATTTTTAATTCTGATGAAAATCTGCCGTTACATAATATTAAAAAAAGTCCTTGGCAAGTGACTGTAAGTATTTATTTGGCATGATTCTGCTTGCATTAATCTCAAAGTTTTAAGTTTAATCAGATAGAAAAATAATTATATTATTCAAGTACAAGAGAAAAAAGAAACAAATGAATCATAGAAAATATTTCGTTTATCCTTAATTGTTCTCATTAACTTGCGAAGGAAATCGAGTCCCCAAGGTGAATATTATATAGGCACTTATATTGACTCCGTTTATTTTTTTCTTACCTTGACATACAACACAGAAATAATTTGTAGATAGTCATAAAACAGAGAAATGTTTCTTTATTTCGTAACAAAACAGAACAAACAAAGGGGAAAATAAAATAATTTACACGTGTAACCACCAATAAAAATATTGTACTGATTTAGACTACTCAAAAAACAATATTGTCTATATAAATTGATTACTGTTGGTTATCTACACTATTATTAATATTGTTTATTTTTCATTAGTGCCATCTATCATAAAAAGAATATTGAATCAGAGAAAAAAAAATAAGTAATACATTTTCAAAAAATCATTTACAATCATATTATTATTCAATTCAATTTATTTACTTTTTCAAAAATTTACTCCATTCATAACTTATTGGTACCTTTTTATTGATGTGCCTTTGTTTACTAATGTTCCATCAATACTATCATTGAAATTTATTTTATTTTCAACTTTCTTCCGGCTTGATTAAAAATAAAAATTTTTTTCATATCAGAAATCTCAAGTTTTGTTGTAAATTCAAAATGACAACAAATTGTCCATCGTTTGTTCGACATCAATCACTTGAAGCTACCCAAGTAATACCATTATTTGATTCCACAACAACAACATTTACTTCGACACCGCCATTTAAACCTAAAGCTGGCGAAGTCTATGTTATGAAATTAGATATTGGTCATGAAAGTAAGTTTCAATTCCGATGTATACCTTTGTTCATCCGGTGGAAAATTCTTATGAATAAAATCTGGAATCCTCTTGGAAAAAAACAAAGGTATATCACGGATAGTTTATATATTTTTTGTTTATTATAGATGATTGGCGTAGTGATGGTTATCGTTGGGTTCAAATAGCTGCTAGACGTTTGCCAACACATAATCCTGTTATTAAAAAGTGTTATTTTCATGCTGGACAAAAAAATAAAAAGAAGAGCAAAGACTTTGAAAAACAAGCATTTGTATCGCTTGTTGATCCATCCAAAGTCGTTGTACAATATCTTGGTGATGAAAATGTAGCTGAAGAATTTCCTCATGGAAATTCAAAGAAAAATACTAAACCATTTTTTCGTACGCGTCCATCATTACTCAATAAACTCATATCGGAAGCAGCCACAAATGCTGAAACAGCACAAATATTTAAACAATATACATCTAATAATTCTCATGAACATGATGACGATGATAACGATGATGATGATGAAGAAGAATCACCAGCCAATAATTCTATGGAAGCAGATGAAACAGTCGACGATAGCGATCAAAAGAAATCTTCTATGATTAAACATGAACTAAAAAAAACAAAAGTTGGACCTGAAGTTTTATCTCAACCGCGTAATATTGAACAAATAAGAAATGTTAAACGACGTTTAGCACGTCGTCTTGTTGCATCAGCTGACGAAATATCAGAATTGTATCGATTTGCACGTGAAACACCCAATTACATTGTTCGTTTTACTTTAATACCAAATATTGTTGCTATTGCATTTTCCAATGAATCTATGCATGAATTTAATTTACTATTAGATCATCCGGATCTTTTATCACAACAACAAGTTCTTATTACATTTGATTCAGCCTATACAATTAATGCATTTCATGTTACATGTGTGTTCTATCGTCATATCGCCATGAAAGAAGAACCGTGTATTTTACTTGGTAAGTTTTCATTAAAATCTTGATCAATAGGATTTTATTTTTCACACACTTCCTAGGAAGGTAGCAACATCATAGATCTGAAATATTCTTTTAATTCAATAGACAAAAATATTTTATGGAAGCTATTTTCAGACTGAGATTATTAAATTCTTCCTTGAGCTACTGAACTAGCTATGTGTTTAAGCGGATTTAAGATAGTCTACGATTCACTTTCTATTTTAAGGTTGTGCATTACACAATCGTCGTTCTGATGATGTGTATGAATATATTCTAACACATTTAAAACAACAGTGTCCAAATATCGAATCACGTTGTTTATTTATAATTGACAGTGAAGGTAATACATTAAAAAACAACTATCTCTCAATATTTTTGCCACATCTACGCGTAATTCATACATGGAATTATGTTTTTTCACAACTACGCGCATGGCTATTGCAAAATGGTCGTACACAAGCTGATTATCAATTTTATAATGCTGAACTTAAATCATTACTATTATGTGCTGATATGTTAACATTCACACGATTGTACGATCGTTGCAAATCAAATTGGACACAAGAATTTCGAACGTATTTCGAACAAATTATTTTACCATTAGTCGACACAGATCTCGGATCATGGGTACTAAAAAAATATGATCTATTCGATGCTTATTCCGGTATTAAAGGACTTGTTTGTGATCCGATGCAAGCTGTGGTATGTCAAACTAACGTGTTTCATAATTTCAAAAAAATAATCGCATTTTTCCTCGTCAAATTTAGGCTGTTCAATTACGTGATTGGCGTGAGTCTCGTTTCGATAGTGGAGCGATGGCTTTTTATTGGTTGCAAATGTATTTTGTTCAGCAAATACGAAAGTCATATTCACGTCTCGGTGGTATATACACCTTAAAACAAGGTCTATATGAAAAATGGGCTATGGCAGCTGTGGCGGCGATTGCTTCTCACGAGCCAGTAAAAGCATTAGTACCAGAAAAAATTGTTGAACACGTTCGAGCTAAAGTTATTATATCTTCTGTACATCATCCACATTTACAAGCTAAACGAAGTAATGAACAACAAATTTTAACATTATCACCCATCAAACGACTTAAAACGACGACGACGTACGATAATTCACATCATCATCATCAGCCATGTATCATTGCAACAACGACGACAACACCACATCATGTAACGACGGCTGATTTAAAAGCAACATTACTTGCTGCTGCAGCTGCACAACAACCACGAACGATGACAGTAAGTTTATTACTCATAATTTCTCGAGTGCAAGCCCAAAAAGATTTCAGTGATATGCATATCTTATATGTATAGAATTCCCTAGTTCGTTCGATCTTAAGACATCAACTAATGAGTGTATCTAGAGCGTTATTTTGCTTTATAGAAATATATTTTTCCATTGTTTACCAGCATATATCTCGTAACCGATAGACTGCCTAGACGAATTTCATTTCAAGAATACTTATTTCTGCAGCTGCGGCGTCGATTGTGTTATGATTAAACAATCATAGCAAACGAAGATCGACAAGTCCTGAATATCTAAAATAAGACTGCACCATCTTGCCATTTCTATGTGTAAGAGCTGTTTGTTAGACATTTCATCTTGTAAAAAAAGTATTGATTCAAAAGAACAGAAATTCCAACGGACTGCTTCTTAATGGTAAATCATCCTCTGGACCATTCTCAATGCTATCTGCATTAGCAAAGCTTAACTAAATTTATGAATAGAAAACTTTTTTAAAATTCTAATTCGCCATCTGCAATCAATATTTAGACATTTTTTTCTTTAGATACGACGAATAGCTACAACAACAAGTCCGCAACAACAACAACAACAAACGACATTTCGTCTTACAACAACTCCCTCTGCTTCCTCGTCACAGCAACCACAACAATTCATAATAACAACAGCTGGCACCGCGTTACCCCTCTCGCAAACGACAACAACTACAGGACTAGTTGATGACTCATCGATGTATGACGATGGTACAGCTGATTTAAGTGGCTGCTTAGTAACAACATCTTCGCAATCATCGAACACATCAACATCTCAAACACGTTCATCGTTTGTTCGTCCTGCTCTACCGACCAATGTACTTCGATTAACAGTCGTACGCAAATAAGAATAACAATAAAGTGTTCGCTTTTTCTTTTCTTTTCGTTGATCATTGCATGTCTGTATCTTGATGTACAGGTTTACTATGTTATTCTGTACATAGGATCAGCTTTACTGTTATTGTTTTCTTTTATATAAATAAGATAAAAACAAAAAACAAATTCGATTTGATTAACTATCTGATAGAAACTTATGTTAGATGATGATTGCATCGTTTACTATTTTACTCCGATGAAAATGCTGATGAAGAAAATTAATGAACATAAATTTCCTTCTTTTCTTTTTTGTTCTGATATCCTTGCTTTGTTTTGATTGCTTATGTATAATAAATATTAGAATCTTGTTGGTGATAATGATCAACAAAACACATCGGTGTGAACGATATATTAGCAAATTTTTCCTATTAAATAATGTATTAGTAGTTTTAAGCTTGAGAGAAAATTTGTGAAAAAAAAATCGATCGAATTCACAATCATACAAAAATAAATGTTTGGAATTCCGTATTTAGTTTTCATTTGTTCAAACTTATTAATGATTAAAGTGAATCTATCTATGTCTATGTGTATGTCGTGGTTGAAGGATTCTTGATAATATCAAATCATAAAGTACAATAACGATAATTGCATGATTGTGGTTCAGGTAGTAAATAGACATAGAAATTTAAGCAATTCGTCACTGATATTGTAGCACAAGAACTGCAAGTATTTGTTGCATAGTAAAAGCAGACAATACTTGTAGCCGTAGTAAAAACTGGTGATGGATATTGTCCTGCATACCATCCAGTGACAACTGTACCACAGTAATTTGGTGATACAGGAGAACTGGCCAGCAATGTTCCTGCTGGTTCTTGAAAACGAATCCATACAGATGTGGTATTAGAGAACGGTGCTACATCATCACAATAATTAATCGATGATGTGTAACCAATGTTTCGTGTTGCATCAGTGTTGAGCGTGTAACTTAAGCATTGAGGGGGAGTAACAGTCGTATATTGAAAATATGTAGCCGGTGACGGTGAACATTGGGGTGGTGTAGTTGCTGTTGTATTAGTATAGAATAAATAAATGAGTTATAGGAAAACTGGATATTTATATAAGAATAAGATCTCAAGAATCTTCTCCAAAAAGTATAATAAGTTGTATTGAAGAAAATTAGAAGTAGAAGATTTTTATTGACATACTAATATGATATTTGGGATCTTATCTTTTACTCGTACAAATTTTATCATCTTTCTTTCTGAATGGGATAGAAAAATCCTGCTACGCGACAAACGTTTTGATGCCACCCTCTGCAAAATGGTAGGGTAGAGCGAAGAAAACTGCTCTGTGATGTGCTCTGGTAGAAACTTCAAGTGCATGCAGTAAACGGAACTAGTAAGTACCAGTTAATTTTTTCAAAATTTATATATTTTTTTACGTGTGGAAAAGCGAACTTAAAATCAATACATACCAGAAGTAGATGCGACTGTTGTTGTCGAAATTGAGTTCGTACTTTCACTCTTGCTTAACACAAGTGCGCAGATCGCCATAATAAATCCAGCGAGGGATATCAAAATAATAATGATAAACACGACAATAAAAAGTATCAAAAGTCGTCGGCTTCGTGTATTGTCTGGCTCTGATAGTGTTTCATCACCGAAGTTATGCGATGGTCTATGATAAAAGCTATTTAACTTTATTCAAGATGATACGCTGCAAGCGTTGCATTTTAGTCTTTCATTTATAAATTTTTCAAGTTCATACATTATAGAATGAGGAACAAATGCTGTTGGTTTTTTTCCTGATTTTATACTTACATATGTTCTTCTCTGTGCAACGTCGTAATATCATCGACATCTAAATTGACTGTCGAAATCGACATCGGTTGTTGTCTTTGTTGACTACGTGCCATTTGTTTTCTTGTATTAATGAGGTAAATGTGTGAGATTGAGTTTTCAATGAAGACAAAATTGATAATATAAAATTATTCAAGGATTCACTGAAGAATAGAATGTAATGTTTCACTACTGATCACTATTAAACACTATATGAGTTTGAGTTTTTAGATTATTGTTAAGGTAAAACTAAATTTTATGTTATGTTTTCAGTCAATACCACGGACACGAGGAAAACTAATTTCCGAATTCTGATATAAAATGTGGCATAAAGATAGACATCAAGAAGACTCGTTGATTGTGATAGTTTCAGATCGTTTCATGACTGCTATCCTGAAATATGAACTTGATAAAAATGTGTCATCGTATGAGAATCTTCTCATTTCAGGAGAGAAGCAAAGCTAAACAATTGAAAATTTCACAATCAACTATGTTCAATGATTTATGTAATATCATGAAACTATCGGAGGCAGAATATCGATTATAAAAAAATAGTTGTAAATACACACACACACATACCTGTTTATTTCAAATAAGAATAATTTGATTTTTTTGAAATGTTCTTGAAGAGTGAATTGTATTCAAATTGACTGTTATGTCTGCTGATTATACGTATGTAAGAAGAAGCCAATGCAATCATTCGGATTTCTATACTCTGTTTAGACATGAATGATAATCAAATAAAGTATTAACTATCATAATTGAGTGTAAAATAGAGCAAACAAAAAGAAACTTGTATTTATTTGAACATGTTTTTTTCATTGTTCAAGGTTATACATACAAATCGATTGTTAACTGTGAAGTCAAGTTAACTAGCCGATTCATCAGGCTAAAGTCATGTTAAGTTTTTGTTTTATTCTGCTATTAATTGAAGCGCTCACTAAAAAATGAAGAAAAATAACATGAGCCTTCTGTTGTCGAAATGGAACAACAAGCTTCCCCCGTTGGGAATTGGTCTTTTAAAAGACTGTTTCTGAAAATATTACGATACACTACCTAACAAATATCAATCTTGTTTACAGAAGAAAATAGTAACTTAACTGACTGAATTAAAAAAAGTCCATAGACTAAAATGCAAAAAACCAAAAGGAAAATATCTTGCGTAAACATCAATAACTTGCTCATAGAAACGAGCTGCAAAGTGAGCTTATTTTGATATTCAGCTTTTATTGTGTAGTGTATTTTGAAAAAAAAGAAACAAATAATCTATCAAATTTTAAGAGGTAGACTTATATTTGAGGATGCATTGCACTGCAAAGTAAAATTTGGAATATATATATAGTTACCTTCAAGCCGCATTGTACTTATCTTTAATACGTTTCTACATCATTCAATGGGGTTTAATACGTTGATACCAAAAATAACATTGAGTTTTAATCGAATAGTTTTTGAAAGCAAAGAGAACTACACTTTCATTTTGTTAGATATCAAATTATTGAGGATATGCATTCGATTGTCTTGCTGTGAATCTGTGTGATGCTGAATTCGTTTTTTTGTATTCTACTTTGATGCATGCCCACACTCGCACACATAACGCTACGAGAAAAACGCCAGTGAAAAAGAAATAATCGGTTATTCTGTTATTTTTATCTAGTAGTAAAATGACTTAATGATCATAGGTACAATTGTATTAGTGCGATCATATCATGATGTGTGTTGTATATGAGGTGTATTATTACCATGTTTGAAAAAAAAACTAAATGCAAGGAAAGAATTTAGATATCGTAGGGAAGTAGTTAAACCTTTGCTGAAGCAAAGTCCAACCAATCAAAATGAAGAATGTAGCTTAATGCATTTACTAATTTCTAAAAGGCAAACGTGATAAACCCAGAACGGATATTGTCACTTTCTAAAATAATAATCCGAGAAACTTCCTGGATTTTTTGTCGTCTACACTTTCTTGATGAGATGATTTGTATGGATAGCCTAATGTTTTATCGATAATAGTCAAGGGGGAAACATCGTACTTTGACTCCTCAAAGTACATCAAAGTATCCCGAAGTACTTGGAAGTACCTCGAAGTATTTTAAAGTACTTTAAAGTATCACGAAGTACCTCAAAATACTTCAAAGTACCTAGAAGTACTTCAAATTATTTCAAAGTACAAAAGTATGATGTTTCCCCCTTGCAATGATTTAATAAACACGATCGTTATCGGTCAGAACGCCGAATGGAATAAGATGATTTATGCATCACATTCCATACGATTCTAGGTTCTGCTAAAAGTAGACTAGAAAATTATCAACATCTTGACGAATCAGTAGAACCGCTTCAGAGAGTTATGCATGCACGGTTGAACCTTTTATGAAAATATTTTTCTCTTAAATATATATTTATGCTTTCAAAAAACAGTAGTACCAGAAAAAAAAAGTCAAGTCAGAATATGTATATTTTTATTGAAAAGCAACATTATTCTAAACGAATATTATCAATAGCCCAATAAATATCCTTGACTACACGTTCAACTTGTGTCCATCGAAATCGAACCCCACCAATGTTTCTTGTTTGAGTTATAGCCATCATATCAGAAGGTAGTGTTATATTAAAAAATTGTGCACGCTCTTGATTGTACATTGTAATTAGACGTGACCATGAAATACCTTCATCATATGTCCACTCAAGAACTACTGTTATATTATTTGTAGTTGTTATACAATTATTTTTTGCCATTACATGAAATGCAAATGATATTGTTCTAATAATAAAACACAAATTCAAATTCTGATGATTTGATAGTAAACAAAAGAAAAACATACATTGCTTGAGTAATATTCAGCTCACGTGTAATTGCTTCTACACCGCCACATCCACAATCAGCACCAAAATGAAGTGCTTGTCCACTGAAATAATTATTCGTATGATTATTAACATTTGCATAGCAAACATGACGAATATGTCCATCGCCATTTAATCGAATCCAATTATTTGAATTAGATCCACTAACACCAACAGCAGATAAATCATCAAAAGTCTCATTGAACCATGTTTGTATAGGTTGTTTACCAACATATTTCTCACAATAGGTACCTAATATTGAACAATATAAACTTCAACAGTATAGAATATCTAAGCGAGTAGTGAAATCAATAGTCACTATCTCCGTAATCAGAACAAAATAACATCAAGAGAGTTTTTTATTAATCAGAAAATGATATTCAGATATATAATATATGTTAGTAACAATTTTTAAATTCTGACAATCTCACATATCTTCCGTTACCTGCATAACCCATAGAACATTGACAGCCTGACACTGTACATAAACCTCGATCATTGCAATATTCTGCACATTCACCAACAAATAAACTATTCATTGACCAACGTACATCTTCAGCTTGTATTCCAGTCCAGCGAAATTGTGTACCGCTAAATGAAGTTAAAAAAAAACCTTCACGGATTAAAAACAATTTTCATATTCTTCATCCTATAGAGTGCGGCAATAGTCATTCTCGTGTGTTTCTCCCAATAGAATTTTTCTCCTCCCGGTATCTAAGGTGATATGACTCCTCATGGAGAGACAAAACATGAATGAAATTGTATCGCAGTCAAGAAGAAAAAAAGACAGAACTAAAAAAAAAGCACTCTTACTATTGCTTTCATTACTCATGCACATTTACGTTAAATAACACAAAGAAAAAATGCTAACTGCTTCACAAGATATTGACAATTTTATCGAACGTCAAAAATATAAACTTAACACACCAAGTACTCGACAACCGCCTCCACCACCACCTCCTCCTCCTCCTCAGCAACCAATGCCACAAAATCGAGTACAAGATCGGCTAGATTTCAAAGTTGCTCGAATTCTAGATGATCAACCACCTCGTATTCAATCACAACAACCTTATTATCCTTCTTCTCCATCATCGTTTCATGAACAACAAGAAAATTTCTTTCCTCAACAGCTACCCCCACAGCAACAACAACAACAACAATATTCGAATCGTCTATCAACGGACAATGGTGACGATAATCCAGTTGCTTTCTTCAATAAATTTGGTACTTATGATGATAAGCGTAGTCAGTTAAAAGATGATTTAAAACGTGAATATAATGAATATTTACAAGCGAAAAAAAACATTCCAAAAAGTAAATCAACTTCACAATTAACAGCAGCTCCTCAAAATACCAATAAACGTGTGCAATTTCCACAAAAAACAGGAAAAGTTGTTGCACCATGGGAAAAGAATGATAACAAAACAACAAAAACTAATCAAAGTATGAATGATTTACCATCAGCATCAATATCAAACGAATATACAGAGAATCGTTCACGACAACCAATGTCTCGTAATTACGATGAACAATACATTCGAGATCGTGAAGAATATGTATCAGAATTACATGGACAAATACGAGAATTAGAAGCAAGAAGAAAACAACTTGAAGTTGGTATGTTACTAATTGTTTTCTTTGGTATAGCGATATGCTATGTTTGTTGTTTCTTATATCATAGAAAGTAGTAGATTATCAGCCGGTGGTGCATCCAATTTGAATCGTGCTCATTATACAGAAGATTTAAATGCTTTAAATTCTTTACTTGCCGAACGATTGGATCAACGCAATGCAGTCGACAGTGAACTTGCTCATATTCTTAATCGTCCACCTGTTTCTGCTAGTCCAACACGTATTAGTTCCGGTGGAATGCCAAATTTAAACATGCCAATGGAACGTCCACCTCAAGGAAACTATCAACAACAAAATGTACGCCAAGCACAGCCGTATCGTAATGACAATCGTTCGCGTGCAATTAATGATAATTTTCAAATTGGTCAAGAAATCGATAAAGACTCTGAACAAGCAGCCAAGAAACGTTATCAACAAGAACTTCAAGCTCAAATGCGTGAAGCACAAATGCGCAAAGCACAAGATAAAAAAGCTAAAGATGAATATGATCGAAAATTAGATGAAGAAATTCAACGTTACAATTATTTTGGTCGAAGTGGTGGCGGGGGTGGTGCACCTATGCGTGATAAAGATGGAAATGTTGTAGCTAATCTAGCTGATGCCAGAAACCCACAACCACCATCTCAACAACAACAGCAGCCCCAACATCATCAGCCGCAGCAACAACAATATTTTCCACCTGACAATAAAGTGTATTCATTAGGTGATGGATTCAGTTCTATAGGAAATGCACCATTTTATAATGGAGAACAGCAACCACAACAACAATCTTCAGCGAATTCGGTACGTTAAAGTTTTGAATATTTTTAGATCATCAGATACAATTGACCAACTTTTACAAAGCACTTTACTTCTTCATCGTATTTTTTTATGCATAGCTCATATCCCACTGAATAGAACTTCATAGAAATTGCCTAGGAGTCAATTAATAGTCTCTATTTATTGATTTTTATAGGAGCGTCCTGGTTCACCGAATCATGCACGAGGTGCAGTTAGTAATGGAATATTTGGCGCAGCTAAAACTGAAGCGCAATTCGTACGAGAAGAAAAATATAAACTAGAATTAAAGCAACAAATAGAAGAAAAACGTCAACGAGGAGCTGAAGAACTAGCTAGACGTCGAGCCGAAGAAGAACGTGAAATTGCTAAACATTTAGAATGGCAACAACAAGTGGAAAAACAAACGGCTGACGACGCAATACGAAAACAGGAAAAAGAACAACAAGAGCGTCAGCATCATCAACAATTACAAGAAGAACTTGAACGACAGAAAAAACAAGAAGAATCGGGTGCAAAACGAAGTAAAGATTCCTTTTCAAAACAAAACAAGATAAGTTATCTCTTTTATTTTTTCTAGAACCTAAACGACAAGAAAAACCAGCAACACCAAAACGAGAAGAAACTAATCATGATGATAATCATGGTAATAACAATAGACAGGATAGCTTTCATGAACAAGAACAAGAACAACAATCAGAAGCTCCCTATCGAAGTTCATCACCTCCAATACCTACATTAAAAAATAAAGGTAAAAAACAAAAAGCAACTACCAAAAATGCTCCACGTCGACCATCATTGGATGATGATAATCTTCCACCACCACCACCACCACAACAACAACAACAAAAAGCTTTTAAAAACGGTCGACGACAACCACCACCTGAAGATGATAATCATCAACAACAGCAGCAGCCTCTAAAAAACGGTCGACGGCAGCCATCATTTGATGATGGCAACCAACAACAACAAGCTTTCAAAAACGTTCGACGACAACCTTCATATGATGATTTTTATCAACAACAATCACCATCACCACCACCATTACCGCCTTTACACACCAATGATGATTACATGCAACCGCCTATTGATGATGCAAATGATAAAGGTCGGCATACATATCGAAAACCACCAACACCCCGACAGCCAGGTTTGTTAAATGCTCTCCTTGAATATTCGTTAGTTTTACCTGTACTTTTCTAGATGTTTCATCCGCACGCAAAAAACCACCACGTAAGTTTCATTTTAATTATTGCCAACAAGTCAACAATTTAGGCATGAATTCTGTTGTTTAGAAACTTTTCGACCCCGACCACGAGCTGATTCTAATGCTGGTATGCCAATGCGTACGATTTCAACAACATCTCTTCGATCCGATGGTTCCGACTCTGAAGTTCTCAATCGCCTTGAACATTTAAAACGACAATTAAAAGATAAAGAAGCTCGCCTTCAAGAACATGTTACTCTTCATCAAAACGACAGTAATAATCAATCATCACAGATGCAACACCAATCAAAATCCAGTTATCAACCACCAGCTCAACCACCAGTACAACGAAAATCAAGTCCACAATTTTTAATGAATGCAGCACGTGTTCATCATCATCGCGATTCGCCAACAACAAACGATAAGATGCATCGTCTCATTCACACAGATGATGATGTCGAATTCAAGCCAGGTTATTTTCGTGACGATGCTGTTCTCATGGGTGGTAATCATGGACATAATGATAATGACTATTATTCACCGCCGAAACGTGTTGATTCAGGCAATCGAATGTTCATGACAAATATTGAAAAAGAAGCTAGTCGAAGAAGATATGGAGCTGATCCAACTGGTTTCTATGATGAAGATGATCCGAGTACTGTGGCAAATTATGAATTAAATGTAAGTTAAAATTCATAATAAATGGAATTTAAAAAAAAGGAACATTCTGTCCATTGTAGAGAATTGCCGCACAAAATGAGCAAAGATTAAAAAAATTACGCGATCTTGAGAATGATGATGCATCGTTAATAGATAGTAATGAAGTATTGGAACGTTTTCAACAAAAACAACGTATGCAACGGGGTGGCAGCCAAACAACTCTACAAGATGATGCTTGGCTTAAATAAAAATACTTTTCGTTTTAGTTTGTAAATTTTACAAAAACAAACACTTCTTTTTTTCTTTCTTCTCACAGAAGACCGATTGAACTAGAGATTTTTCTGTGCTGTGAAGGGATCTATTATAAGCTTTATTGTTGTCTGCCTTTTGTTTTTTTCGATCGACAATAAAAAAATTACATTAGATGATAATATTTAGCCAAAAGATTCACGAAAGATGGTCTCTATTTTATATTGAACGATCAAGAGCTGCATCGAAATATCAACAATGTATTTCTAAGGATAGTTTCGTGTTAATATCTTCGAAAGAGTAATCTGCATAAAATACTATTCAAATATTTTCTTCCGTTATGTTTGATTCAGATTTTCTACTGTTAAACAGCGAATTTGATTATTCTTGATATATTAGTAGTTTTCAATCGAAAAAAGACAAAATATGATGTTAATGCTCACATTATGTGTATTTCAAATCAACACGGAAAATATTAGATACATATGTACTTGGCAACTTTATATCCTTATGTTGTTGGCGTAGCGATAAAGTACATTAGTCATCCGAAGTCGTGCTATCCGATGAAAAATATCTGAATAATCATATTAGACAATATTCTAATTTAGTTATTCATTACCGGATAAGCTTCGAGATGATTGTGTCATATATTTGCATTTATCTAGCCTACCTTGAATATGTCTCCGATGGTAATTTGATTGTATGTAGATTAAAATAGCCTCCATTAATTAAACTCGTTCGACAAGCTAAATCAGCCATGTCAACAAGTTGTATCCATTTCGATGATAGATCAGTTCGATATTCAATTATACTAGTTAAATTACGACATTGTAATGGCTTCGTATTGCCATTTCGATCACATTTTGCATTAAACTATTCAAAATAAGACTTTTTTCTAAAGTATCGACTAAAAAAATGAACCGACTTGAAAAACAAGAACATAGAATTCTTGTATTAGAATTGGTATAGTGGTAACTGAAAATGAATCATCGTGAAAAATCAAAGCTGGTATATTGTTATTGCATTGATCAGGTTGAGCGAGAAGAGCACCATCAATTGACTCCCAATTTGAACGTGACGATGAGAGAGTATAGAAATAATCAGTTAAAAAGTAACTATTGATTGATTTGACTTTTAGAAGAACAAAATTTTAAAAAGCACAACTATTTTGAATGTAAAATTTACCTGATATTATTCTTGAAAGACCCCATGTTACATTTTGACATGTTGACGACAACGGTTGAAACCATCGAAATTGTCCCAGATTATGTTTAGCAGTAATCTTTTCCAGTTCGACGAATAATTCAACAGTTTTATTCCATGCTATTTGATTCTTTATTGGTAGATCGAACTGATGAAGAATCGACCATGTTAGTGTACCATCTGTTGATATTAATAAATATATTGAAGTATGGCATGTTTTTGATACATTTTCAAAAGTATATGCCCATTTAATAGCGCTAAGAGAACAACAAGAAGAAATTAAGCAATAAATTGATTGTTCTTTTTACCGCATAGGTCTTAAATCAATCGGTCGAGTAATAGCTTGTCGATTTGTTGTTGTCCATAGGATTTTATTTGTTGAATGTTGATACGATTCTAATTGTAACCAATTCGCAGAATTGAAATCTTTATCGAATGTTTCTCGGAAATCAACCTATGCAATAGAAAATTAGATCAATGCTCGAAAATTCAATAGTACTCACAGCAAAGAAATGCGTATGTAGACAAGTCATAGTTTATAGTAAAAAATTTATGATGAACTTACTAAAGGAATTTGTACAGACGTTGTTTGACATTCGTTATTGAAACAACGCGTGTTACCAAAACAATTCATTGAACATTTATTTCCTATGTGAATGTATTTAAGATGATCGTCTGCGCAATTCGATGAAAATTTCAATCGAAATCGAATAGAATTATTTTGAATTGAAAATAAACTAAATGGAATAGTTAGACGATAGATTGTGTTATTTTCATAATTGAATTTAATGGGTATAATTTGTAATTCGTCTTCATTGGGAATTTCCAGCCAGGTTAAACCAAGATTGATCGAATATTCAAGAATATTCTTTGTAAAATTAATGCAATTAAATTCAATTTGAAGAATATAATCGAGATTAAAATAAACATCCTTGATTTCATGAATGATTTGATCGGTTGAATGTGTTTTTGTGAGAAATGTGGAATTCCATTGAGTAGCATTTTTATCTTCTAATGCAAACCATTGTAATTGAGAATGAATATGAAATATATGAAATTTTTCTATTGACCAGAGTGGTCGACTTCCACTAGGAGAATCTTGAACGAGTCGAAGTTGAAGAATATATACAGGTAATAGTTTTATAATACTGATAAAATAAAAAATAAACAAATTTTTAACAGGAATAATTATTTTATAAATGTGAACAATTCCTCAAATTCGATCAAAACATCGACGGGGAAGTAAACTAACTGTTGACTGCTCAATATTGCGAATAGCTCTTCGCAGATGACTTATTTATTCGGGTTATAGAATAAGAGCGAAGTAGTTAACAGGTCATATATATACGTATATATGAATTAAGATTGAATTTATTAAATGAGTACTCTATTGTCATAGTACTCGACTGTCAAATTTATCACTGATGAACTCAACTTGAGACCAGTAAAATTCAACAGTTACAGAACTAAAACTGCGTTTGGACTGTGCATATAATACAACAAAACCTTTGCCAAATAATATAGCTACCAGCACTTACTTTAACTGATGATCTTTAAATATATGTAATGTAATCCATTCATGTGAATTTATTTCACGATACTGAAGACGTATCCAGCCATCGCCATTTTTTCGAATGTTTGCTTTCGACATACATTGATCATGAAGTTCAATGTGAACATAAGTATGTTCATGATTTATATCGATATAATTTGTTTGAAGTTCTCGTTTGCAAGTCTAGTCATAGAAAAGTTAATTGAAGGAACGCTTTAACAAAAGAAACATCTTTTTCATAGAATTCCTACACTATTAAAAATTGTACCACATTTCGCATTGTATGCTGCACCGTAACTTGTATAATAAACATGGTCAAGAATATTAATTTCATTCGGAAAACGTATTAATGATAGACCACAGTCACTGTTTGTCCAACCTGTGTCACATCTAAATATAATGATATAAAGTGTGTTTCGTTCCTCTTATAGAAATATGTACCGGCATCGCCCATTGCCAAGACACATTCCATGGCCATTACATGCATTGATACAATTCGAACCCATGTAAAGTTCTGATATACCTATGATAAGCTGTTCTTCATCGGATGACATTTGTTCGTCGTCGAAACCAATACGAAAACGAACTTGATTCGATCTATTTCAGTTCAAAGAAACTACTACTGTAATGTAATTATTCAACAAGATTTCCACTTTTCATAGTCTCAGATTCACACATAGAACAATCAATAAATGCTGTCAAGCAATTGAAGAAAAAAACATGCAAGAATAATAGTTATTGTGGATATTCTATTTTTTAAATTTAGCATTCAACGAACTAAGAAAGATTTCCTATTCTTTATTGTCTGGATGATTTAATCACACAGATTATCTCACCCAATCATCATCGATGTTGATTTCCAAGTAAAGATTTTCAATCGTTCAGAGTGACTTTCATCAAAAAGTAATATATCATTCAGATCAATCGATTGCCAAGTACATCCATAATCAGACGAAAATGAAAATTTAACATCTAATTATTACATGGAAATAATTTTTAGCTATAAAACAAATTCAAACATTCTCCTACTTATGCAACGATTAAACAAAAGTGGAGCGATAACTAATTGAATGTAAAATGTATTCTCGAAAATATTTATATCATCAGTGATAATTTCATTGGCTGACGCGTTTGATTTATCTAGAAAAAAGCAATAAAACATGCGAGTTTTATCACCAGGCTCTCTTAAATACGTATAGTAAATTACTTGTTCTTGGAAATATCAAATATGTTTCATTAAATATTCCATCACCAAATGAAACGAATGAATTCGGATTAAAATTTTGCAATTGATCAAATTTTCCATAGATTACTTCTTCTAGAGTAATCGAACCAGTAACAATAATCTATTCGACACAAAGAAAAAAGGATGATCATAATTTTTAAATTCTTAATTTTTTACCTGTTCTAATTTTAAACAACTTGAATTATTCGATAGAAAAGCAAATCGAATAAGAACATAATCAAATCTCATTTCATCTAATAGATCTTCATGCACAATATTAGATTGATTTGCATTTAAAATAACATATTTTAAAAGCTGCCAACTTAAACCCATATTGCGAGAATATTCTAAGGAGATGACTTGAACATTTGGTTGGCAATCCATTTGAATATAAAATTCGATGAACCTAAATTACAATAGAAATTGCTGATTGATCCAATTCGTCTCTGTTTACCTAGTTGACGCAAGATTTAAGAGTGGTAAAACAAGAAGATCTGATAAAAGTGGTGAAGTATTATTAAATCGTTCGAAAAACGTTGCTTTTCTTAATGATGATGAACAATTATTTTGTCCCGGACAACGACATTTTCCATTGCAGAAATCTAACTCACATAAAACTTTACATTCAGATCGAGTAGTAACATTAGTTATCTGCCAACGAGTTGCAATTGTTGAATTGGCCGCTAGCCAGCGTATACGAATAAATCTAAAGATAGAAAGTTTGATTTCATATCCTGGATAATATTTTTATATAAAATTTTGTCCGGAAATCTTTAAACTTAAACCAGAAGTAAACTAATCAATCAGTCAATAACAATTAGAGTCCAAATAAACAGATATCTTCTGGATTTTTTATTTCGAAAAGTATCACCAAACGATATGCCAACGACTTAAATGTGTGAAATTTATATTCGTAGATTAATACATGAGATTTTAAAGATACTTGGTAAACAAATGTAGATATGGAAAGAGCATCACAAGTTTCAGTTTGACTATTTTCCATTGACTTATTCAATGGAAGACGTATGCGAAAACTTCATGAATGTACTCAAATATAATTATACCTGAACAGAATTCCAATTCAAAATTTAATGGAAAACTATCCGATCGAAAATCGAGTTCCATTTCTGCTTAGAAGAATTCAGAATTGGATCGTGCTGCGGTTTTGATTCAAACGCATATTTACTTTGATAAAGGTCGATAGGCATGTAGTGGTAAGAAGAAAGTATTTTTAATTGCCCGGAGTGGTTGATTTATGATTATTTCATTCGTCCTAGAAGCAATTGTTGATGGCCGGTCGATAGATGACCAAGTTTGACCATAATCAATGGAGAATTCCAGGTGAAATTGTGAACGATTCGATGTTACTGGAGAACCGGCCATACAAGGACTCGAGTCTAACTAAAAACAATTCAAAAGATGAAACATTTAAATTTACGTTTAAATAAATCTCTTACTTGAAAAGTTAAAAAGAGTGTTTCATTTAATTCAATATCGATTGTTGAATGCATCTCACGAGGAAATATATAATTTCTAAAATAATAAATCAATGCAATACAATATTCATAGGCAAAGAAAGAGACTCTTTATGAATAGCATCTCGCTTTCATATTTAAACTTTTCTGAAAGATTACCCAGAAAGCTCCGTCTCAAAATTGATCGAATAAAAAGGTTTCCTCTGCGATTGCCCAGAAGAACTAGATCGTGTGTTTTCTAGTTTTATCACTTATAAGTTATCTACATACTTGTAATTACAAATATTTGCTGATAATGTACCATCACCAATCAATTGTCTAGGTAATTGTTCTGGTATCATTTCAAATTTATTAAGTATCCAATTCGATGTCCATTCTAAAGTTTAATTTAGAGGTAAAAAAAAACGGATTCATGATTAATGATCATACTTGTTGTGACTCGTTGAAACAGCCGAACGCGAACTAAATAAAGTCGCATGGCTTCATCGGTTGGTATTTCAATGAGCCAAGGTTTCTGCGGTGACTCTCGACGATAGATTATAGTTATTAAATTATTCCATAAAATTCCATTGTTAGTGGAAATTTGAACATGTATTGGATCGTTAAATGTTTGCGTTCGATTAAAACACGTATCCAATTCAATACGAATATATTTTATACCAACGAGAGACAATTCTGAACTGATTAAACCACGAGTGTCTGTCTAATATAAAGAAAAATTAATAAGAATAAATTTTAAGAAAAAACAGAGCTCATTTTCTAATATATACTTTCGAAAAGACATATCTTTCGTCATTCGATGAACATTTTTCATGTCCCCATACATCTGACCAGCTAGATAAATTAGCATTGAGTTGCATTGGTAATATTTCGCCTTGTAAAACCATCGAAGGGTCCGGTGAACAATATGGTAGAATATAACCACGGTGACATCTAATATTTTATTTTATTTCAATTCATATTTAGTCTAGTTCTATGTATATATTATTATTCTACTTACTGACATCCATTTGATTGGCATAGACCATGACCAGAACAAAACCACGGGCACTCAGCTCCAACATAAACTTTATTAATCATAAATCGTGCATCTTCTTGACTTGTTGTCCACCGAAAACGAACTTCTTGATTGCTAGTTAATATAAATATATAGCAAATGAATCTTTTTCTAGTTATGATTTTCACTTACACATAGTTATCTGGTATAGGAATAGTAACGTTTCGTTGCTGCTGATATAATTGAGCGAGAAATGAAGAGCCGGTCAACGCTATTTTATCTTCACAATATAAAATCGTTTGATTACACGAAGGTATTAGAGATACCCAATTTGACCATCCATACATAACATTTGAACTTATTTCAAGTAATAGAGACCAATTAGTATCGTTGAGGTTTTTCAACGGAAACATTTGTAAATCAAATTGTATTATTGAACTTGATTGAGTCAATGGAAACTCCCATGTTTGAACCTCATAATTACTTCCATTGGTTTCTTTTACATGTAGATTATTTTCAAACCATAGATTTCCGTCGTTTTTCGTTCGAACACTAATTGAACGTAGATTCCACATTAAACATGAGACTTCTTTTGTTTTGTTTTTAATAAAACGAAAAACAAAATTAGAAAGGTTAAAAAAAGAAAAGAAAAATCTATTACCATTTTCTTCAATCCATCTCAAGTAAATATTCATGTTTATTAATAAATCATCAAACCGTTCGTAAATATTATTGGTTTCATCTAAAATTTTCTTTGTATGCCATTGAATCCCATTATCATATGAATATTGAAATAATATTTGATTTGAGCAATTCGTTAAGCTAATGTATTGTAAACCAAATTTAAATATAACATATCTAAAAGAAGAATGGCTGTTAAAACGTAAAGATATATAAATACGAGGCGATACTTTAGAGTTTTAAATGGACCAATGATAGCATAACTTTGTTGAGTATAATTATTAGGTAAAAAACATAAATAGGGTGTTGTTTTGCTTAGTCGATTATAACATCGATGTGTCAATTGAACATGAGATGGCATGGACCATATTGAATAGTTTATTTTATTTTCAAACGTTTCATATAAACTTGGTAAGAGTAAATCATTTCGTAAGCAATTTGCTTCTAGATTTTTGAAATAGAATTATTTATCGATTTAAAATAGCAAAAAAAGTATACGTGATGTTTTGTTATTATCACATTGGCAAATGGCTTGTTCGCTTTTCCAAATGCATTTTCCATAGCCATAACAATTAGCTGGACACGACGGACCAAGATAAATATGGTTTAAATTAAATGAACTATCACTTTGAATTCTTATGAGAATTGAACTAGAATATGTAATGGTTGTTTTCATTGTCAAGCACTCGAAATAACGCATGAAAATTACTTATAGATTCAATTTTTTCGAGAAAATAAAGGCACTCATCTGACTACAAACTTTAAGGGGTTGAGAATAATTATTCATAGAAATAATATCAAGCGAATCTAGCATGAGAAGGAAACGAATAGAGTTAAATTCAATGATTCTGCAAGGCACTCTATCGTATTTCAAAAGATTATCCTTCACTAATTGCTCTCATATCGATATTCAAAGATATCGCATACTCAATCGTTTCTTTATTTTCTAGTATGCTGATTTAAATGATTAACTTTAGAACATCTAAACTTCTCCAGGTAAGTCTTGCTAATAGTTTCAACAAACCGCCGACGAATTGTGGTTGGAATCTGTCGTCCAAAACGATTCATTGGTCGTTCAAAATTGTTTGTATCAATCAATTCATGCCAAGTGACATTATCCAGTGAATAATCAATGTGTAAACGTGTATGATTCATATTTGAATTCGTCTATAAAAGCAAAATAGTCATTTTTCTTTAATTGAACTAGTAAGCAAATGTACATCAAGCATAATAACATAATTATCTTGTTTGAGAGTGATCGCTGTTGAGATCACTTGATATATTATTTTGTTTTTTGAAATATTTCGAATTTTATTTGTATATAATCCTGAAGAATTTACTGAATATATTGGATAAAGCCATTTCGATGAATCCATTTTCTGAAAACCAAGAAACCGTGCTTTCAATATAATAGAAAGCTACTTTGATTTTCTTACTTTCAATTCGTCCATAAAGTAATGCTGAGTTTGTGACTTAACAAATGCTATATTTAATATTTGAATAGATGAATTTTTCCAGCGAAACAACGCGAGTTTTTCTTGGCAGGAGGAAGGTAAGGGTACATAATGATCTCTAGAGAAACAAAAATCGAGAATTTGTTGTGTTAATAAACGATTTTATTTTCTCGTACTTTAATGAAGTATCTTTTTCTCTTGTCCATATTCCAATTTCAAACCATTTTACACCACCGTTCGGAGAACATTCCAGTAGAAGATTATTTTTAATTGCGGTGCTTGCCATCGTTTGAAAATGTACCGCTGATAGATCAGTTGAATCAATAAATGGTAAAAGTAGTTCATTGTTAACCTTAAAAGATCAGATTTTAAAGTTTTCTTTTAGATATTTTTGATATAATACGAGTTTATATAAATATCAATTAGAACTATTTGAAAAATATCGCTATTTAGTATAGTTTAAGAAAAGTCTATCTAGTTTTCTAACTCCAATATCTCATAGATGACTTCAACATCCTTACTCACAGATTTGAATCTCGTGAAATGTTTTATTACTTGAACTTTATTAGAATAATAAACAAAATTTCATCGAGTCGCATCTCGTTCAAAAACAAAATACGTGAGAACGAACGGAATTCCTCTTCTATACAAACGATTTTCACTCACCACATTTATTTTATTTTTCATCAGATCGTATTCATTAAACGATAAATGTGTGATCTGGTTGAATAATTTTTGTTGTTCAGATCTATAGAAAATATTTCAAAATATAAAAGTTCAACGAGAAGTTTCTATCTTACAAACACATTCCTTCTAAACAAATGCCATTCAGCCAACAATTATTTTCACATTGCACACCAAGATGAATTAAATTTAAAGTAAACTTTTTCGTTGCTATCATCGTTAAATTAACAATGACATTTTTATACCAGAATAATTTTGGAATCGGAACAATTAATGTGAACGTTGCATTTTCTGAATGATAAGAAAATATTTCCATATGCTGTGAAAGATCAATTTCACTTGAATTTATTTGAAGTTGAATCTTAAATTCATCAAAAGCATATTTTAATTCTAAAGAAAATTAAAGACGGACTTACATCATCTAAATCAAATAATAATTTTGATGATTCTTTGCGATTTACAAATTCCAATCGAAAATTAAGAACATATCCAGGCCGAATATAAGTTAATTTTGATTGAAAATTTTTAACAGGCACGCTCTTTTTGATTAATGTTTTTGATATTACATCTCGAATAGTGATATCATCAATAGCCCAAACATCTTGATTCTCTCCACTATGAGTCATTTGTCTCCATTCAATAAGACAATTTTCACTTTCGACTTTTTCTTCAAATAATATTCGACTCATTGTTCTGTGAAACGAAAAAGAAACAAAGTCCGCTGATGAAAAAAAAACGAATGAAATCAATCAACTAAACCGAAAATCTCGAACAACAATATCTGATGCACGAAAAAGATCAACAATAGTCCAATGAACACCATTTGAACACGATGATAATAATAATATAGATTTTAAATCACGATCAAGATCATTTTTACTTGTACCAAAACATTGAGGATTAGCATTGCCAAGGCGAAGTGTAAATTCAACTAATCTATAAAAACAAAAGCGAAGAAGTATTCCATAGGAAATATTTTATTTCATATAATTTAAATGATTTACTTTGGTGAACTGCCATTGATTTGTGATATTCGTAAAAATCGAACACCAGCTTTAGAAAACACCAATGCTTTTCCTCGAGAGATTAGATCGCATTTGTAATTGAATCGACCCCCTAAAAATTGATGAAAATATAAATCAAACGCTACGAAGTCTTGAGATTAAACTATACCTTGATAAGTCATTAGATCTGTTTGATTATCATGGTTATCCATGAGAAATGAAACTCGATTGAGTAGTGTTCCATTGCTTATTTCACAAAATTCACCAAGAAATCCAATATCGCATCTTAAATAAAATAATAAAGCTTAACAATTTGATGAAATCGGCACAATGATTTTAGAATCCTATAAATCTAAAAATTTTAAGTTAACATTTTTTCAATTCGATTCGCTTGTGACTAAATAGATTATGTGTCGCGAACGATAGGAGAACTTATAGAATAGAATGTTTTATTTTTCATTCGAGCCAATTTCTTTCCCTTCAATAAATCAATAGCATTAGTGTTACACATACCTGCACGAGTTATATTGACACCATCCATGTCCACTACATGCTCGAGGGCATTTTCCAATAAAAACTAAAAAAGAAATTGAAAATGGCCTCTCGAAAACTTTCATTGAATACCTTTATCAATAGCCCAAACATTATTTATAGAATAAGCCGACATAGTATACGCTCCGCTATTTACGCGAAAACGTATATACTTTTGTTGTAATGTTGCTATGGGCAAAGGTAATGTTATCCGATGCCAGCCGCTGGGTGTGAGAAAAAGCAGTAGATTTATAATATCGAACTAGACTTTCGTTTAAATTCTTACGATAATGGTAGTGTAATGCTCGATGAATAAACATGTCGTACATCATGTGAGCAACCTGTATCACGAAAGCATGGATTCATTAATAGATGCCAAGTTTTCCCGAAATCAAATGAATATTCAACATTAATACTAAAAGCATAGATTTAAGATTTTGATATTCTACTAAATTATTCGTCTTACGTTTGACTTGATGTGCCTCCTGTTGGTGCATTTGCTGCTTGTTCCTGTGAATTACACCGTGTATTTAAACCCAATTGAATGTAATGTGTAATATTCGATTGTAATAGAGGTAGAGCCGTAAAATCTCTTACACTCCATACATCAACATTTTTTCCCGCTGATTGATGATATTGTGATAAACAAATACGACCAAATGACGTTGTACTATGACGTAATTCATCCAAACGGATATGAAACGTTTTATAACGCTGCTAAACATATTTATATGTCATTAAAAAGAAAAAAGTCTTCGTCTATTTTTCAACAAACCGATATTTCTCGTAATAATATTCGACGTATTGTTCTCGAATAAGCAACAGTTGAACCATTATAAATAACAGAAAGAAATATGACTGCACTCGGTGTTGAAATATATTTATTTCGTTTCGTACATGGCTCTTTAAAAACAAAAAGCAAGTCTACGTATAAAATTTTTGTCAATGAAATTTCACCTGTTGAAAGTGTAAATCGAACACTATCAATTCGACTAAGTTCAATAATAGGCGAACATAATTGTCGATAGTTTTCCTCATTGAACGTAATAGTATCGTCATCAGTACATGTTTTATTTAAATCCATAAAACCTGTAGCATTCCATCTGAAAAAGAACGTTTCGTTATAATAAAAAAAAGGATATTGAAAATGTTTTTACTTCGACCAATCGATTGAGATATTTTTTGAAAGATGAAAAACAACATCTCGATTATAATCAATTATTCCCGATAGAGAAAAATCAATAGTTGTAGCACCTATTTCTGTGCGAATATCAGCATGAGGTTCAAAAACCATACTTATTCGTCCATCACATGTCTAAATATTCATGCGAGTAGTACACAAGATTTACAAACGATACAAGTTACCTTTAATTGACCACCAACTAAGCGATACCAATTTGTTGATCGCATCGTTTGAAATGTCTCAAAGAAATATTCTGCTTGTTGTCGCGATCGAATAATTAATAAATCATCAATAAACCAAGAGCCACTACCAGCAAATTTCTCTCCCGCTTGCTGTATTTTCAAACATACAGTTGACGAATTTGTTAGATTAGTTAATGATAATGGAACAGTCACGTGTTCAATCCCTGGTGAAATTCTAAAGTTTAGAATAATATTAAATTTAGAAAAGCTGATTTCTTTTATTTAACTGTTGTGAATAAGCTACAAGCCAATTTGAATAATTTAAACAATCTGTTGTTATTAGCAATTGAAATGGTGGATCGGTAGGTGCTGGTGGTGGACATGTTCCACTGCCAAGACGCATATACAGTAATGATATATTGGATACATCAATCGGACGAGAAATCTATTTTGGAAACAATAGAAACATAATTTAAGACAACCAAGATTGTTTTTTACAAGTATTCGTTTGCCTCTTGGATTGTTAAACATAGCTGCACGGCCATCTTCTGCAGCATCACATTCACGACTTAATCGCATACCTTCATGCGTATGCCTAAATTTAAGAAAATCAAAATCAAATGTTTAATCCTGCCAAAGAATATTAACGTTTAATACCAAATTTCTTGAACATGTGGTCCAAAAATTAACCAACTAAATTAAAAATATAAATAAGTAAACTATGAAGAGAAAACTAATCGATGTCTACTTGAAATTATCGAGCAGTGCTATTTCAGTTGTATTAATTGTTCGCATATAAGATTGTATATCATATTTATCATCATTATCAAATATTTTATCTAAATTTACATCATTTTATTTCTTAATATAAGAGATTTTCCTTCAATACCTGCACTATTATTAGTACACAAATAAGCTATTTTAATTTCCATTGAATATATGTAGCTACGTAGTCTAGAAAAATAAAGCGAAGAAAAAAATCGATTCAATTGCTAACTCAAAATTTTACTTCAATTGAATACATTTTGTTTTGGTGGAATTTTTTTCAAATTTTAATATATATTTTGTTTTATAAATATATGATGAAGATGATTCGTTTGTTGGTAGACAACAAGAATCATTAGTTATATTTGATATTGTATCGATATATTCGATATCAAGTGTTACATGAGATAATAAAAATGTATCATTCGACGAAAGAATAACTGTCCAAAAGAAAAAAAGAAACCCATTGTTTACTGTTAATCAGTGAAGTATTTACTCACTTGTATAAGGTACATTTAATTCAAATGTTGTTGGAATATTTTGAATGATTAGCTCATCAGATGATGGTAATTTACAAAAAACATTGTCCAAAATAGTATTTACTTGTAGAACAGTACCAAAAAGTAGTATTAAAGAGAAAATCATTATCATATGTGCTATTGGAGTGTCCTATGAATGCTTGTGAATAGTGCCATATGTACATTCTTCTGACAATTGGATAGACAGCAGCCGTTAATATAGATTGTATAAACATTGCTTATATTATGCCCGTTATGTACTCTTACTTTCTTTTATGAGATTATTTTTCCTTCTGTAATTTGATAGACAATAATGTATCGAAACATTACTGATAGATATTAGCGATTGATATACATATAACGATGGTCGCTGATTTCCTTTTTTTTGAAACAGTTTTTAAATATGAACAACTAAATCATATTTTTACTAAATTGAATAATAAAGAAATATCATCAAGAATATGCCTCAATGAGCGTTATAGAATAGTCAACTAAACAACGGATATTGTAGCTCATTTATACAATGGAAAGTATTGCTTCGTTCAGTGTTTGTAGAGTATATATGATTGCTGTGCAAATGTAACGAAGGTTATCGATCCTAAGAAATCCTAATTTACAATCAATTTAGCGAATTTTTGTATTTCGATAGCGTGAGTCGAGGTGTGAATTAGACATGATTCAACAGAAGACATTCACATTCAACAGAGCTATTTCGTTTTGTGCGCTTGAATCCTCTTGCTTTTTCTTGGATTCGCTTGTGCACCTATCAGAATAACACGCGAAAGCATAGAGTCGAACGAAATTTGCTAATCCCACAAAAATATGTCATACTGTCAATCGACTATATTCCTCATTTTTGTTTAAACTCGAGTGAAGAATTTATCCTCAAAAATCATTCAAAACGAATATTCCGATGGAGCAAGAACATTTGTAGATCGAGTTTCAACAGAATGATTTATCAACACAACACTGATCTTCGCTTTGTATAGACAACATGCAAAAAATATAGTAACAACACACATCAATGCAATCACTGACATAGGTTAGATGTTATCCGACAGTTCTTTGAAGTTTGATAGATGTCTGACCGATTCAAAGGTGGAAATCGAAATTGAAATTATTATATTAATATCAATCGATTAAAAGAAAAACAAATTATCACAGCCAAACAACTGATTTTGTATTTGTCTACTTTTATTTTCAATACATATTTTAACTCTAGTGTCTATTGAACTTATAATACCGTCAAGTTACGCTACTTACTGTTTGCTGATGATTTTATCCGATATTGGAATTGATTTATTACCCTCAAGTTTTGAATTTTCTGAAACGCAAGACGGATTCTTCTAGGTTAATCCGTTTTTATATTCTCCTTTTCGCTCGATCAATGTGAATGAAAAATCATCATTAGTGCTGATATTCTAGTCAATAAAATGAATATTTATTTTATTTTCATTTTATTACGACCAGGGATCGATTATTCAACATCAAAATTTGAAACTATGTTATTAAACTTGTTTTTTTTCTTTTTACTGATACGAGATAGACAAGTCTATATCTGATTACTTTATTTAACGACATTCTCCATACACTTGATCTTTAGAAAGAGAAACCGAATTGAATCGTAAAGACAAATGTCAATGTGATTGCACTCACTTTTTCTCTCCGATTTCATTCTTTTTTATCATTGCTCTTCATACTTGATCGGCTTTGGTAATACACAGTTAATCTCTCTCTCTCTCTCTCTCTAGCTGTTCTACTCTTCATGTTTGTTTTGCCGAGGCGTTCGGTACGATATTTTCGCATACGTAAATATTGTAAGATGGCAAACAATGAGCAAAGCTATTGTCTTAGACTTATAGTAAACGTTTGAGCTGCATTGTTTAGATTAACAAGATAAAGAAAATATTTTCTATGTTGTCACCATTTGCAAAGACTCTCGAAGACCTTTCACCAGAAGATCCATATTATCAAAAGGGATATGCTGTTTACTTGTCATTGATTACTATGCGTGACATGCATGCCTACTTTATCGACAATATTCACAAATATGTTTCGGATACAATTGGCCCTTGGCGCTTGCTATCTGTCGGTTGTGGAAATGGTCAATTGGATTTAGATCTACTCGATATAATTTCTCAACGGTTTCCCCTACTTGATATTGAGTACGTTGGTCTTGAACCAAACCGATGCCGGTTGGATTTATTTAAAAAAAATATTTCCTTATATCCATCTGTATCTCGTTACCATTTTCAATTGGAACAGATTGATCTTGACGGCTATGAAAATAGAAAAAACAGTGAGAAATTCAATCTGATTTTATGCGTACGCGTTCTATATTATATGTATGACAAGCTTGAATCGACGTTTATGCGCCTTATTAACAGATTAACAGTAAAAGGAAAGCTTCTCGCTGTTCACCAATCTCCAAGTGGCATTGTTCAAATCATTCATGCTGCAGGACTCGAACAACAATCACCAATTCAAAGCTGCAATACTTTTCATTTACGACAAGCTTTGGAGAAACTCGTTTCTCAGATGCCTTCCTTACATTTTAGCATAACCTATCTCGACAATTACGTGGACATAAGTTGCCTAAAAAATATCAATTCGAACGATGAATCTGAACGCGAGAACGCATTGAGCTTGTTTAGCTTCTTTTTGAACAAGAAGCTGACAGGAATTGATCGAGAACTGGTGGAAAAGACTGCTATCGAATGTATTCTGTCACTAGTTGCTTTTCGCAAAGCAGGCAATACGGACTCATGCTTGATGTTTCAACCGATCGGTATCGTTTCGCTAGAACTTCAATCTTAATATGCACAAAAATTTTACCCCCAGCATGTTTCATTATTGAAGTATGATACTTTTAACTACTCTTACTTTTCACTTGTTCCTATGAAATCTCTTGTTCATATTGAGAATTAAGTATTGAATAAATCACCACCAATCGTGTATGTAGTTAACCGTCACATGGCTATCTATCAATCTGTTGATTCTGAACAGCAATATAAAAATTTATTCTACAAAGAAAAATTTTGATTCCAACAATCTAAATATTCTTTGGTAATCAATGGATAGCGCCATTATGGGCTCATTTTGACGAAGAATTAACAAAACGCCTGTCACTTAATCTCGAAATAAACTGAAGGACGAATTTTCATCTGTTTTTCTCCATTAGGAAAACTTATTGTCCTCATCAGAGGCAATAGCGAGAATAAAAGGCAGCAGGTTGTAAAATGATTAAACCTTTTCAGATACGAAAGTGTTCAAAGAAGGAACCTATCAAAGTTATTCATCTATCTATTTGTTTATAGTTGAGAGAGCTGTGAATGCAACTAAAGATACATAATTTCTAGGCATATACTTTTTAGGCGTACCGTCTATCTTGTTACTTGAAAAGTATTCGAAACACAATTAGTCGTTTTTAATGCGATGCGAAGCATGAAGCATTTCTGTCGTCCGTCGCGAGTTTACTTGTTTTCTTTTACTTTATCGACGTACGCATCACGAGTTGTCATTTTGTGACTCGATGATCTCGAGAACCAAAAATCATAGAAAAGTGGTTAAAACGTGAGATCGAACTTAGAACATTTGTTTCTAATCTTCAATCTGAAGTTCTGTTCACTCACAAATGTGGTTCCAAAATGACGAAAATAAAAGAAATTTGTTGCGAGATAATTAAAGTGACGCCATGAACATATGTTAGCCACTATAGTCTATTCATTTGCAGCTGATCTAAGATAATGAATCATGGAGATAATTAATTTGATCAATCGAAATCGACCCTTAAGAATGTATCGCTAAGTAAGAATAGAGTTTTCTCGGTGATGAATTTCATCATGTTCTCTGAATTGAAGATTTTTCGTGAAGATCCGATTCGAGCTTCGCATCGCATTCGTATTCGAGTGAAACCTAAATACCATCTAGTTTTTCAAAGTCGAATAGTTTGCATAGTCGACGCCAGCTCTTCACACCAATATCTCTCATTGATAAATGCGCTAAACTGTTATCTCTTTTTTTAGTCATAAGCATTTTAGTTTATCAAACAAATGTTTGCTTATGTAAATTACGTATATAAGTTTCGAAATAGAAAACATAGCCGAGTTTAAAAAATCATTCTGATAATTTTTCGATATCTTTATCTCGAACGTTTTGATTAAGAATAAAATATTGAAAATAGCTTGATGCAGCATCTATTTTATTGTTTTAAAGCCATTATTCATTGAACGAAGAAGGCAGTGTTTTCAATGATGATTATATCTTTCAACAATTCAAAGTCATTTGTTGTGTATAATGAATTCATGGGTGCACCACTGCTTTCTATATGATATGCATTAGAGAGCTCAGCACGCTCGCTACGAAACGAGCATTTTATGTGGATTTGGACGCTTTGGGTGAAGTATTTATTTTGAATTATATTCAATATGAAATTTATCAACCAGATAACTTCTGACAGAAAAGCATCAATCATAACCAAGTCTATTTTGTGGCTGTAACTTTGACTTCTCGTTCTAACAATATATCATTTTTTTATAAGTCTAGTGTGAGCTCTACTTTCATAGGAAAAACCTTTGGACTCTCTCTCTCTCTCTCTACTCGATTACATCAAACATCAACGTATGAGTTTATGAAAAGAATTTTGATCCCTTTATCTCCACCTTCACGATATAGATAATAGAATCAAGGTATGTAGAAGTAGACACATCATCTCGTTTTTGTAATATAGTCAAAAGAATTTGTTCTTGAGACAATAAAATGTCCTATCGCACGCGCCAGTTTTTCGTAGACAATCTACAGAGATATATGAGTATACTTCTATTCATTTGTGTCATCATAACTATAATCGAATTATAACAGCGAGAAAAGACTGTATCTCAGTATTCGGTGGTTTATTTTTCATGAATTTCGTATGTCTAGCTGTTTTTTCGTAAAAATGTATGCTTATTATTGTGTTCTGTACGTACTACGAACTTGTGTTAGGCTTCCAGAAGACCAAATAATGAAAATTTTGTCATAAATTTGAACGAAACCGCATCCTATATCCGTTAAATAAATCAAAAAATAAACAAAAGATTTCATATGATAACAAAATGTTTGAAATAGAAAATGTTTAACTTATGTTCAGCTGTTGTAACTGAAGTTACTCTAGGTATATGATACTAACTGATGTTTAAAAAAATTCAATGAGACACGAGCTCATTTTAACAATTTAAAATGGTCTGAAAGGTGACTTTTTGCGATAAGAAATCAATTCTTCTGAGAAGATAAGAAGCGCATAATTTTCAATACCTAAAAACTACTCTTGTTTATTATTTTATTTAACTGAAATGTACCTTTTCGTATATGCTCTAAACGGTAACGTCCAATGATAATACAGGACAAATAAATGATTTCAGAATGTAGAATAAGATAACAGTGGCGAGAAGGAAAACAACATTTTTACAATGTACTCTCGCTTGACCCGCATGATATCGTTGCAACAATAAGTACCATGAGACAAAAAGTAGACATCAATGCATATCAGAGAAAAGTAAAAACCAAGATTTTGAAAGAACACTTTTTCATAGGTCACTAACAGGTAACTATTGAATTATGGATGACATACCCGACAACCAAGTAAACACAACGCATACATTAAACAAGGTTATTTCAGGAGATTGAACTAACTTTATCAACTAATTTTTGATACTATTAGACTGTCTCAAATGTTGTCGCTGGTCGATTTAAAGATAAAACAGCAATTGTAACAGGAGCTGGATCGGGTATTGGTCGAGCTATTGTTCTACGACTTGTAGCTGAAGGTGCCTCCGTCTTTGCTATTGATATTAATGAAACCGGACTTCAAGAAACAGTAAATTTATCGTCGAATCCCGACGGCGTATCAATTGCTGTAGTATCCATTACAGATGAACAACAAGTTACCGAGAAAATCAATGAATATGTTGCTCGTCAAGGACATCTCGATGTTCTCATTAATATGGCTGCTATTCTTCGATCATCTCTATCAATAGATACGACAGTTGAAGAATTCAAAGCTATTATCGATACTAATTTAATTGGTACATTTATTTTATGTCGTGTTTGCCTTCCGCATTTGGTAGTCACCAAAGGCAATATTGTTAATGCAGCTTCAGTAGCAGGTCTACATGGCCATGCTTATATGGCAGCGTATTCAGCAAGTAAAGGAGCGGTCATTGCACTGACAAAATCTCTTGCAAGAGAATTCAGTATTCAAGGAGTACGTGTCAACGCCGTAGCACCAGGTGGTACTCTTACACCATTGCTTACATCTCTTCAGTTGCCAGAAGGAATTAATCTGTCTTTACTAGACAATATACAACAGCCTGGCCAACGACTCGGTCTACCAGAAGAGATAGCTGCTGTGGTAGCTATGCTTGCCTCTCAAGATGGATCTTTTATTAATGGAGAAGTGATCCGTATCGATGGGGGTCTTCATACTTAACTGACTCTTTTTGTGTTCAAGAATTACAATGAATTAATCATTTAGTCTTCTTTTTCATATTAGTGATTGATCTTTTTCTTTAAATATTATTTTGTTCTATGACATAAAATATATTGATTAGTATAGAGCAACGCAATATTAAGACTTAGATACGGTTATATTTCATCAAATCACGTTTGTCTAAAGTTTATTTGAATGAATTCATATATTCTTTTTATTAAGCTCAAACTTCGTTTTAATACTCAAGTTATACTAATAGAGATCATTGCATACACCTTATTTTCTTTCATGCAATTCAGTTTGATCGAAAATTAAAATCGACGAATTAAAATAAGCACCATTTTTGTATCTGTTCACATATGAATCCTTGCTTTCGTTTTCTTTTAATGTGAAACAAAAAACAAGGGACGATTGTAAAAAGAGACAAAAAAATTCAAGACAACACCAATAATGAAAAATGTATCCTATGAATCAAACACTTGTTATGGGTTTGAATCGTTCTGCACGCTTAGCCTTTTGTTCCTAAAACAAAAATTTTTGTTAACTATAACTATCGTCAGAAAAAAAAACACCATTTTACTTACATCCGTTGCGTTTGCTTTAGCGACGGCTGAAATATCACCAAAACGTTCAGCTCGCTTTTTAATTGCATCAGTTAACACTGGGGTCGCTGGTGAAGATTGTGCATTGACTTTTTTCTTTGTTGACGTAGACTTGAAAAGAATATTTTTGGAAATGGATAATTAATATTTCAAACTTCTCTTACTGTCAATGGTGTAACAACACCGAAACGATTGATACGTTTTTGCTTTGTTTCGTCGTCTATTGGTACTGTCGGACTATTTACATTGAAACGTTCAGCTCGTTGACGCTTTTTATCTTGTGCATTTTCCTAAATTAGATATTGAGGACTTTGTTTTCTTTCTATTCAATGAACACTTACTGCTGAATCGACTACGACACCAAATCTTTCTAATCGTCGTTTTTTAGTCTGAGGGTCGATGGGCTCCTGAAAAAGAAAAGTAATCATCTGTATTGATTATCCATCGATTAAACTCATCCTTTACAGTCGTTGTACCAAAACGTAATGCACGTGAAAGTTTTTTTGCTGCAGGTGCTATTGTTCCAAAACGTTCAAGACGTTGTTGAAATCGCTAGAATAAAATAAAATAAAAATCCATATAAATGAATATTAAATCAACTACTTACATCGCCTGTTGCTAAATCTCCATTTTCAGTATCGACATTGACACTAATAAAAGTCAATAGAAAATTTCAAAACGAGATAATAAACAAAAGATTGAAACATAATGATTATTTACTTACGCTAATGTTTCAGATTGTTCTATTGGTTTCTCTTCTAAATCTTCAATTATATCTGTTTCAACAACTGCAGTTGATGCCATTTTATGGAATACTTAACAAGAATATGATGCTCGTTAAACGAAATTATTAATCGTTAGAAAGAAAGGCATGAACGATAACGTCAATATACACCAATGAGAATATTCTATTAAAGGAAATGATTTGCTTGTTCTTGACCAATCGATAACGAAACATTATATTGGAAGAAATTAATTAATTAAAAATTGCTAACTACTTATTGAATATAGAAAAATGAGTTGAAAATTGTTATAATAATTATTTTTTTAAATAGTTTTTAATTTTGATAAAATACCAAATCATTTTATTCAAATAAATAAAAACATCCGTCCGGACTCTGATTCAGTCGTAGTCTGCAAAAGCAGCATGTATATTATTCAGTTGTAAATCTTGTCAAACAGAACATCAACACAGTCACCTCAGCCTCAAAGCTTCACTAAAGTTGATTGAAGAGTCCTTATTCTGTGAGTCTCTATCAGATCAACTGCTTCTTTTCTTTCTATTTATGGAAAAATCTAAATCAAGTCCGATAGTTTTATGCATCTTCAAAAGATCATGAATCATAATATCAATGTTCAGTTTTTTTCACCGTATACCTACGTTACGTAAAGCATCGCATTGTTCGATGTAGAATAGAAATGGACAAGTATTGAAATATGTAGTAACGAATGGTTTGCCAACAAAAAAACTATCTGAGTCATAATTGTCTTTTCAATCTAACGAATTAATTGTTGTTAGTGTTATGCGAACTCTTCAATATTCAACGGTTAATAGTTGTTTTGAAATTCATACTATAATTATGGAAATGATCCAGTCTATGAAAAAACACTCCTTCTCCTTCGAACAATCCGAGGCATTTAAATGGCTCAGAATAGGAGTTCTCGGAAATCTAACATCTTAAGAGACAAATATACTTGAAACATATCGATCCTTAAATTAACAGATGAATTTCGCGAATAGTTAAATCAGTTTTTCATTTTATTTTATTCTCACTAAATTTCCATTTGAGATCGTCAACGTACGGCAGAAAGTAAGAATATCTTTTTGTGAATTCATGATTTGTTTACTTCCAACCAATCGACATTAGAGAAATATTTTATGGGCAAAAATTGGATGGCTGACTGGTCTGATGTTCTTTTCAGTCTAGAGTAAACTAAAAACAATGAAAAAACGACACAAATCTAAAGCAGCTCAATTGGCAGCAGAACGTGATATTGAACTTTACATTCGTTTGTTAGTTTCATCAGTAGATTTACTTTAGTTTATTTTTAATACAATTATAGAGACATCGAAGATCAAATTGTTGTTGAAGAACATGTTCTGAGAAATGCAATCGGTCGAGCGATTAATATACTTTTCGGCGAGGTTTTTACCTTTTAAAAAGTTTGATTTAAATTAAAGATCTCAACTGTCTTTTTCTATAAGATTGGTAGTCAATCGATTCACGTCGAACTTATTTCATTTCGATATGGCACAGGAACAATTAGGACGAAAACCAAGTAAATTCATTTCTAGAATTTTTATTTCTAATAAACAATAAACTAACTTTTAGAATGTTAAATCAAGTTCGTTGTGCTTTAACATTTTATGGTCTACATGATAAACGTGAATGTGCTTTTCGTATTGATACAAAATCAGAAGAAAATGATAAAGATGATGATGAAGACGATCGCACACTTTCAATGTCGATGGACTGATATTATTTTGTTACTTTTGCTTTTAGATAATAGAAATGTGGAAACATTTCAAATTTGATCCTCGTACAATTAATTTTTCTTATGATACAGATGACAAACTAAGTGATGTAAGATTTTTTTATTTATATCAAAGTTGAAAAAAGTATCATTCGTTTGTTAGTTCGATGTACTATTACATTCCGCATGGGATCGCGCTGTTGCCGAAGGTCAATTTAAATATAAAATTGATCAAAATATTAAAAAACGAATACTTGACGGTGATCTTCATTATGTCATTGAAGTAAGTGTCTCTTTCTTTCGTAATAAAACTATATTTATATGATGGTATACAGTTAAATCCTAGTCGATTTGACAAACGTCGATTACCGGATCCATTTGAACGTGTGGATACACCATTTGATAAAAACAGATTTAATTTTAATAAAATTAAAGACGAAGAAGTAAATACATTAAAAATGATCTGGTGTTTTCGTGATCAAGAATGATCTATGTATAGATACTGTTTTCTTTAGATGATGAACAACAAACTGATAAACATCTAGTAATAATTAATAATTCACCGGTTCGTCCATATCAAGTGTTACTTGTACCAAATCGTCAACTCGAACAGTCACAAGTAAAAAGCAAAGACGTTAACAATACAAAGAAAAAATAATCCATTGATTTCACATGTGTAGATTTTAACAGTCGATTGTATTTTATTTGGACTTCGTGTTGTTGCTTCAAGTGCTTATCCATTTATGTATGTTGGCTTTAATTCACTTTGTGGTTATGCATCAGTCAATCATGTAAGCAAAATTTTCTTTATTAAAATTAACTAAAAACTTAAATTTAGCTTCATCTCCATGGAATTTATATGCCGAATCGTTTATATATTCAAACTGTTGTAAGTTTTCGTTAAAATTTTATTTTGTTTTCGATAATGCTTGTAATTCCTATTTAGAAATGTTCACCATTTCATGTGAATTCTAATTGTTATCTTTTTGATCTATTCGATGTACAAGGATTTGCTTTTGAAATAAAACATGTCGACGAATTTGATAAAATTGCTCAGTAAGTATTTGATAAATTTTATATCAACATACAAAATTTACTATTGATTCAGGCGTATTAATACAGTAACAAATTATCTTGTTTCATCCGATGTTGCTCATAATATGACGATCATGAAAGGAGATTCATTTTCGTCATCACAACCAGCTCTACGTGTTTTCGTTTGGTTACGTCAATCGAATATAGGAGCGAAAACATTTCATCAATGGAATATTGGCTGTTTAGAATTGTCAGGTTATACATTTCTTCAATGTAAGTAAAAAAGCATTAGCCGCCTTTCGATTTAATAAATGATTTCGATTTAGATGAAGAGATATTTAATGATGCAAATGAAGCAAAATTTCGTGAATGTATTAATGGCGTAGCATTATCATCGGAAGTACAACAAAAAATCAGAGACGATGTGAAAAATTTATTAGACCAATAGGAAAAAATTGAATTTTGCTTAGTTTAATTAGTAAAAAGAATCTTTATTTGTGATATTACAGATGATCTCGTGTGTGTGTGTGTATTGAAACAAAACGTAGATTATATTTAGCAACTAAATAAAATATCGATTTGTAAAATTAGCCTTTCAAATTGCAAATCAGATAATTGCTCAGCATTTTTATTACAGATATGTCAATATCATTTCTTTTTCGTCGTGTGGCAATGTTGCAACAACCACACATTCATGCATTTTCTACTTCAGTTGTACTTTTTAAAGGTAAAAATACTGGTGGTGGTAAATTGAAAACGTCAAAACATATTTTATCCGATGCTGATTTATCTGCTTCATCGAGTGATTGGTTATCATTAAAAGCACAATATGATAAATTACTGATTGAACTTCATGAACTTTATTCAAAACAAATTCAATTACGAACATCATCATTAGCATTCGAAGAACTATCCGTTATACTTCCACCTAATAATAAGGCACATCAATTGAAAGAATTAACGCAAATAATTCAAAAATCACCGCAAATGTTTATGATCGATATGACACGACATGCTCAATATATACCAAATGTTCTCGAAGCAATTCATAAATCAGGTCTCAATGTTAATCCGCAACAAGATGGAACAACTCTTTATCTACCAACACCGAAAGTAACACGTGAACATCGTGAAGAATTAGCTAAGAATGCTAAGAAATTAGCTGATCAAATTGTTGTTAAAATGCGAGAAGCCTATTCAAAAGCACATCGAAATTTAAAAAAACAAGAAAAAAGTTTAAGTCACGATTTAATTGTTGATTTAGATGCTAATTTAAAACATCGTCTTGATGGTTACATTGCACAAGTAGAAAAAATTCGTTCAGAAAAACAAAAAGACTTGTTAGATTCAACTTTTCATAAATAAAGTTTCTCATAAAACATAGAAAATTTATAGCATTATAAGACAAAAATAAACAATCGATATTACAAAAAGTGAAATAATACAAACTAATCACTTCCCTGTGTACATCAATCTACATTGAAATAGTTCCCTTTGTTTTTATAATAAAAGCAACAAAAAAAATGAATGTAACTATTGTTATGAACCATGACTCAATTTTGTCACTATCAAAAGAGGTTCTCTGATAAAAGTTAATGTTGATCTCATGTAAGATTGACGACAGAGAATATGCACAGAAAACTCAAACAGCAGTTCATAGAAGTCTTCAATTTTGATTGACAGAATGATTCACTGGAATCGCACTGTTTTTCCGAAACAAGAACGTACTATCGTATGGATTTGTCGAAATCAAAGCTTTCCTATCAATGATAATCATCCGGTATAGTAAGTCATTCTTTGTATGAAAAAATAATTGATTTCGAAAAACAACTTGATCTTAACATATTGTGGCCGGACTTAGCGTAGTCACTTGAAGCCCCATGTCAGTATGTAAAAAACGAACTTGTTGCTAAAGAATGATTCAGGTCATCAAACTTTATTGGTTTTATTCTTGAGATACTGTCCATGTTCGATTGTTTGAAATTATCATGTGTAGTTTTTAGTGAAAGTCACATATCAAAATATGTTAACATTTAGTTAATATTATTAGAATATCCTTGGTAATCTTTTTTTTTTATACAGGTAACAGACAGTGCTAGTAGAATAGGAAGATCAAAATCGATTGAATTTTTAATAAAAATCTGTATACTGAACACATTGTACTATGCAATCATTGCCTATTATAGAAGAAGACAGACTTAATAGTATCATTGGACACCATTTTTTCGCTTCTGTCTATCGCATTTGGAGACTTTTTAAGCCTATCTACACCTATATTTTCGATAACAAATATTCTCATAGTCTATTCTTTTTCCGTTAGTATTTTTGATGCGCATAGCTTATCTTTTGTCGTGTTTAATGTCGCACGTTGCAAAGACGTAGAGATGATATTTCATGTCCTCAAATGTATTGTAAAAGATGCATTCATTACATCTTATAGTCCGATTTTTATTAAAAAAAACTTTATTGCATGTGATAGGATCAAAAATAGCTGCATCTACTGGACTGTTTCGAGTAGAGTTTTTCATAATCTTGAAAATTTTCAGTTTTTTGCAGCAAGTGTTTAATCTATTGTTAAGAACCTGCTGAATTTATTGGCTCTTATCTTCTATTCTGGGACTCTTTGGATACATCCGTTCATAGAATAATTAATCTTTTCTTGGTATGTAAAGGTAGACACTGACACACATGCACAAGACGAAGGATAAACCTTTTTCTTTATCCTCTTTTCTATTTGTCAAACATCAACGATGGGACAATAAATATTGTATGAAGTAAAAAATAACCCGTAATCCATCGTTATAAATCAGTTGTTTCGGCTCTCAAGAAGTAATTCACTCTATTTTATCTTTATACGAACATAATTACCGATCATTGTATTTATTTGATTGATAGAGAACAACATACATTTCAGAAACTTCAATGTCTTCGATCATTTCTGATGTCGAACTTAAATCACATATTGATCGAACCGTAGTCGACAATGATATTTCGAATGGAAGATTGGCTGCGAAAAAACTTCGTTCTCGTACCTATAAAAATTTAATAGTACTTTGTATAGCGTTTCTTCTTCAGTTTACTGCATTTGGTGCTATTGGTAATTTACAGAGTTCATTAAATACGGAAGCTAATGTTGGTGTTAATTCTTTATCAATCATTTATGCTTTTCTTATTTTTTCATCAATATTTTTACCACACCCATTAATAGCTTTATTGGGTCTTAAGTGGACAATTGTCGTGTCGCAAGTTCCGTATGTATTAAAATGACATCGAATGAATATTAAATTATATTGCCTTTCTTTTAGTTATCTTTTATATGTCGCAGCTAATTATTACCCCAAGGCATATCTTATGTATCCAGGTATGACACACCTTAATCTCTGTTAGTATTTGCCAATAATCCTTGTTTTTCTCTTGTTAAGCTGCTGCTCTCGTTGGGTTGGGAGCGGCACCATTGTGGACATCGAAATGTAGTTATTTAACTGATACAGGTACAATTTATGCCGAAACAAAAGGTGTCCATAAAGATGTTGTTGTCAATCGATTTTTCGGCATTTTCTTTATGTTTTTTCAATCAAGTTTGTTTTAGTGTATTTATTATTTAATATCAAGGATAATATCTGCTTCTTTATAGGTCAAATTTGGGGAAATTTAATATCATATCTCGTACTTAAACCAATCGAAAAAGAATATAATGATACATTGTATGAAGTAGAAAAATATACTAAATGTGGAGCTGATTTTAGTGAAAAAGAATATAAAGGTGCAGAAGTTATTAATCAAATTGATCGAAAAACAGTATTCATGAATCTTCTTCTTCTTGTTTTTTTGTTTTAATAAATATCTATTGTTTCGAATAGGTTGATATTCTATGTATCGTTTATATTTGTATATGTGCGTGTTCAATTTTAACCGTAGCTATATTTCTGAATCAACGCCGAAAATCAACGCGAGGTAAGCCAATTATTTTAACAAAATAAAAACATAGTATCACAAAATCATGATTATTATTATATAGATAAAATCCCTGTTATGCTTCGTGATTCATTTAAATTACTCATCTCAACGATTAAACATATGCGAAATGTAAATCAATTACTTCTTATACCATTAACAATTTGGTCCGGATTAGAACAATCATTTCTTGGAGCACAATTTACAAAAGTAGGTTAACATGTAGTTAACTATCGACAAAATTCAATAGGAAAGATTAGTTCATAATGAGAGTCAGCGCAGTTTATCAATGAAGTCTTAACATTTTTACATCGCGTTTAGAAAAGATTCTATAGATTATTTGTTCTTTTTTTGTCTCATAGGGTTTTGTATCTTGTACATTGAATGCAAAATATGTTGGTCTTGTTTTGATTGCCTATGGTGTTTGTGATTCTATAGGAAGTTTTAGTTTTGGTCAACTGGTAAAATATGTGGGTCGTTGGCCATGTTTTGTTATTGCTGCACTCATAAATTATTCATTAATTATCACTATGTTTACATGGAAACCATCAGAAGATCAAATCGCTGTCCTTTTTGTTTTAGCTGGCTTATGGGGTTTAGCTGATGCAGTTTGGCAAACGCAAATTAATGCATTTTATGGTGTTTTATTTTCTAATAATGATGAAGCTGCTTTTTCAAATTATCGTCTATGGGAATCTATTGGTTTTGTTATATTTTATATTATAACACCATATATTCGTATACGAATAGCATTGATTATTCTTCTAATATGTTTAACATTGGGTATGATTGGCTATGGTTTAACCGAATATTTGTGGAAATTTAAAAAAATCAAAAAAGTTCAAGTTGTACCATCATAAATGAATGATTTAAAGCAAAACTTTTATTGAGATTTATTACATAAATATAAAATTTAACTTTCTTTACCAATGAAATCGTTGAGGTGCTTTATATTTTGTTGTCTACATATGCATAATAAAAGTAAAAAAAGATATGAGTATTAACTGTATACATATAAATAAATAAATTATTTATTTTACTTCATTAAACTGACTAATTGACGATTCAGTTTATTGACTACGGGTGGACCAGAATAAGCTAAACTTGTATAAACTAAAACAAAGTAAAAACGATTAAAAAAATTCGAAAAATAATAGATCTTTTCTATCAACAAGATTAACTCATTATATAACTATTTGATCAAAGTTGAAAACAAGCATTGAGCCTTCTGTTTTTCTATTGATATTGAAAAGTCTATTGATTTTTGTTAACAAGAGTTCTGCCGATGTCGTATTCACCAATGAAAAGAAAATAAATCTCTTGATTATGGGTATTACTCAATCGTTCTTCTATCAAACGATGCATGTCGTCGTTCTTATGTTCAATAGAGGGAACTTTTATTGTAATATATTCGTTTTCGTTTCGTTTCTTTTCAAAATCAATATAATAATTCAATTAAATACGCACTGATAATTATATTCATGATATTCATTCAATATCGGATGCGTTTATGCTAGATTGAACTTTTCGGATTTAACAAAAAAAAGAAAAGAAACGAGTAACATGGAAATTTACTTTGTACAAGACTAGCGCCAGCTTTCATTCGTTCGACAATATCGTCTACTGTTTCGATACCGCCAACACCAATTAAAGGAACTTGACCTACGAAATAAATTTTGAATATTTAAAAACAAAAAACAAGAAGTAAAACCTTGAGTATGCTGTCGAAATAAACGAAGAGTTTGCAGTGCTTTCTCTTTCAATGGCCTACCGCTTAATCCACCAGTTTCATTTCGATGTTCACTTTTTAATGTGTCCATTCGAGCTATTGTTGTATTTGAAATGATTAAACCGTCGACTTTTGTATTTGACTGACGAATAATATTTGAAATTGATTTTATTTCGTTTTCATTGAGATCTGGTGCAATTTTAAGTAAAATCAACGGTGTTCGTGCTGTTTGATCTTGCTCATCTTTACATGATATTTTATTGCAAACTTTTCGAATAGAAGTTAAAAGTTTTTTTAGTTCGTTTTCATTTTGTAAATCTCGTAAACCAGGTGTATTAGGACTTGAAATATTAATAACAAGATAATCAGCGAGACACCCAAATTGTTCAATACCTAATGTGTAATCTTGTTCAACATCTGTTTTAGTATTTTTATTTCGGCCAATATTAACACCAATCAATATGTCTAGATTAGAAAATAATTGGATGTTAAAATGACTAACGAACAAAGTAATCAAAGAAGAAAAAAAACGAGATTAATCCTTGGTAGACTCAACCTTGTGTTTCGCCTAATAAAAAATTCGGTCAATATTTCATTCTTTATCGCTCATGGTCTTACTTCTCTTATGCTTACACTCGATTAATTCATTCGTGTTAGTATGTTCATCATCAGACAATAGACAAGCAGTAGAATGCCCGACTTAATCTTCGTTCAAATTTTCTATACGGCATATGTACATAGGTATTAACTGAGTCGCATCATTCGTATCTTTTTCAATTGAACATCGCTTAAGATTTCTCTTGTTTTTTTCCTGCTACATCGTATTCAATATTTAAACTACTAGATATCGAATCCCTTGCTGACTGTTGCAGTCACATCTACACTTGATCGAATTCCTTTGTATTTTTTTTCTTCTCTCTATTCTTTTTGTGTCTGTTTCTTTTCTTCTTCTTTTTGTTTTTGATTCAACAAATATATACTTCCATACATACAATGACCACTTTCTTTCCTTTTTCCCCCTCTCCATCTCTCGCTCTCTCGCTTCTTCCTATTGCTCATTGTTCTAATCAACATATGTCCGTCTGTGTCTAATCTATTTCTTGTAAAGAGTCCACACTCTCAAGATCCGCGCACACGTATGTATAAACTAATATTTTCAAAGAGTCTGTTGACAAATACATCTCAGGATATCATCGATGTCGTATTTAGTTGTACAAAATCGAATTTCATCGCTTTCTAACAACGATATGTCTTCGTCAAGTGCCTACTCCTTACAATTGCCATTCTTGGGTACAATACCATTGGGAAGATCACCACCAAATTTAGCTTCATTTCAAAAGCCTTTACGTGAACTTTATATACCTTACTATCGTCAACGACGTGAACGTCATCATGATGAACGTCGAATAATTATATCCGATCGTGATATATTAATATTTGAACCTGATGCGGTATCCAAAGGAAAACGTTCATTAATTTATGCAACTTTTGAATCAATTGTTGAGATACAAGCATTAGAGTTATATCTTATGTTCAATCACACAGAAACTCATCACTACAAACGCGTACGTGCTGCATTTTTACCGATTGGTAAGTTCACATCACAGATACATAAATATGCATATTCAGGGCGTAACCAGGAATGTCTAGGAGGGCTCAACCTCCCTCCCCTACAATTTTTTTCTGGTAACGCCTCTAATGTATATGTATATTAACTACTCAAGCATCATTTCTTTCTTTCTTTTATGACAACGAGTTACAACAGCTGGTTCTAAAGTGCTAGTTAGCCTTCAAAAAAAACAAACAGGACCATCTGATACATATTTCGTTTTCTGCTTTATTTTCTTTATCGGAAAGTTTTCGTTGTCTTTTGTCTTTCTCTCTCTCGATACTCTTCATTACGGTTAATATAATTACAGAGATAGACTGTCAATAGAACGAGAAAGATTGAGAGACGAGTTTAGCTATGTTCATTAAATCTGCTATTTGTTCACGGAAGAATACATGTGTTTATTTGTCGATCAGACAAGTTGACCTACTATTATTACATCATTTAAACAGAAATAATTACAGTCATAAATCTATTATTGACTTGTAATTTGATCTCTTATTAGTAAAAACTAGTTTAATAATTCATCAAAATTATTTTAGGTTGCGAACATCAAGAACGTTTTCGTTCTCTCTATTCAACGATTGATAAAACACAATTTAATCTTCTTTCAACTCCATCGTCGACATCTTGTCATCCTCCACTTTTATTATTTGTTATGAGAAAAAGTGGTACTACTGGTACCGGTTCTCTACTTGATTGTCACGTTTTTGCTGTACGACGTGAATCGACTGCATTTGATTTATGCGATATGATACGAAAATTAATTATCAAACGAACAATGAGTCCTATATCATCAACACAACAACAAGGACCACCGCCACCATTACAACCACCACCTTCACTTCCGCCACCATCATCATCATCATCAACAACAACAACAACAACATTATTACGTCTACGTGATAATTCTAAAGATGGAACAGATCAGCGACGCACAAAATATCTTGATCGAGATAGGCCTATTTCAGCTATGGAACATCGTCAAGCTGATATACCAATAAATATCGATATGAAAGTATGTTACAGATTATTTACAAGGTTTTATTAACAAAACAAAAGAACTATAGAATTTTATCATTTATCTCACCAGTAGTAGCCTTGATTTAAGTAAATGCCTAATAAATGTTATTTTTCAAGGTGGCGACATAGGGACAGTAGATACTTTATATTAAAAAAAGAAAAAGTATCCTCAATGAATGAAGCAATTAATCGAATATAATATAAAATCTGTTCAGGTCCACGTAAAGATCGTATTCACAAAGTTTACATACGTAGAAACATTTGAATAAGAATGATATTTTGAATAAAAGATAAATTAAACATAAAATCTCTGACTTCCATTAGACGCCTCTTTTTCTGCTGAACAACGAAACTAATAGAACAAAAACTCAAAATTCATCGAGTTCATTAATATTTAAATTCTTTCCTCTAGACGAATCGTTCAATATCAAATATTAATTTACATGATGCTATAAATTTATCATCAAACGGTCTCACTAATCCATTATCATCAACTTCATTTCCTCTTAATAATAATGATAATAATCAACAAACAAATCCTTATCATGATCCATCTCAAGTATTAAATGCAGACAACGATATTTATCGTATATCATCTTCACGTTCAACACCAGTACGTATGTTGTCAACAAAAACTCAACAGCAACAACAACGTCATTTTATCAAAGCATCTTCATCGTCATCATCGATAGTGGTCGATGAATCCGATGAAGTTGTCAATGACTTAATGAATATTGTTGATGTTGAAAAACTCAAAACTATCGATACAAACGTGGTTCAAGTTCCTATAAAACGTCACGCATCATTTGATCATACATCATCATCGTCATCAAATGATCCCAATGGTAATACAATGAATAAAAAACGTTATCAACATCCTAACAATAATAAAAAACGTTCTTTATTTGCCAATTCAATTCCATTACCAACAATAGTTTCAGCCAATAATACACCAGTAATATCACGAACAACAACTAATGTTGAACAACAACAACAACAACAACAACAACAACAACAATCAGCAACATCTATACTCGATAGTTATTTATTACGTCCGCAAGTTGTAATTAATCGTTATGGTGACATAGGAAATTATGTACCAAAATTATTACGTGAAAATATAACAACAACAGCAAGCATGCGTTCATCGGACAGTAATGAAAATATTTTCTTTCGTGCAACAAATGGACATATATTAAATGGTTTTCTTAATTTGGATTTTTCATCAAAATCACAAGTAAACACTAGAAATCCCAACCGTAATAATAATAACAATAATAGCAATGATAATAATTCTCATTATCAATCGTCACCATGTCTAAATGAAGAGGCTCAAGAACGAAGTGTACTATCAATTGTTAGACAATTGAAGACAAATCAAACGTAAATTAAGAAAACAATTTTATGAAACAGAATCAGGAATTTCTTTTGTCTTCTTTTTAGAAAATTGAATAGCCATGAACGAGATTCTTCAATGCCAAATCAAACAACTCGTATTGAAAATATTGAAAATAATCATTATGTTTCATCATGTCGAATCCCGCGTGCTCAAACTCAGTCTCAACAACCTACAAAACCAGTACCAGCTGCTATGGGTGGTATTCAAGTGTTACCTTTTGCACCGCCTAGTTCTTATTCTTCTCAACGTCCCTTAAAAACCTCTTATTCATCATCATCAGCAAAGCCAAGACGTGTAGCTTCATTTACAATCTCTGATACAGAATTACCAATTGATTATAGACAATATTTACGTCATACTGATAAAGGCGCTCAGCTTTATGGTCAAGAAAAACAACAATCCTCAGAAACACTCGAACATTCACTCGGATATTTACCTTAATATTTTGTTTGTTTCTCGTTTTTTTTTCTGTTAATTTTTAGGAAGAAATTAGTGAATTTGAAATACTTACTATCTTTATTAGCATTGTTACGTTGACGATAGTCAATAAGTCGAGCACGTACTGCGTCATAACCATCATTGTTAAACCCATAGCTGAACAAAGAAAAATTAGACATGAACAGGAAATTCGTTAGCTGTGTTGTTTTGTTCATACCGATTTATGACCGCTCGATCTTCAGTAAGACGAAACACTCGAGGCTTTTCATTGCCCGGCTGTGGTTGTGGGGTTATTGTTCCTAAACGTAAAATAACTTCGAAATATATTCAAACAATTAAAATTCACATACCAATTTCAATAAAGCCAAATCCAAATTTACCTAACCCATCAATGGCTTCGCCATTCTTATCGAAACCTGCTGCAAGACCAATGGGATTTTTGAATTGACGATTCCATACGGTTGAATGCTAAAATTATATGTTCAGCTAAATAGTTTTCTTTTATTTTGAGTCGAAACTAATACAGAGAAAAAAAGAATTAATGCCAATAAGACTTCTAGGAATTTTAAAATTTTGTGTTCTTATTACGTACACGTATAAACTAATGAAAATAGATTAGAAAACATAATGCAAAAAAAGTCCATGAATGAAGCCTATCATTCGATAAAGACCCGTGATAGAACTTATGCATAAACTCGAATCTAATGCTGGTCGTCAACCGGAAGATAACAACTCTGCTTCGATTAATCTTTTTTTTCTCAATATTTTTCGACTTTAAAATGATTATTTTCAAACCAGAATAGGATCATCAATCGATTTCATTCGTGGAACAAGTCCATATTTAGCCATTTGAATTGATAAATTATGAACTTTTTCTGCGTCGATATATCGCAACGTTGGCATGATGTATTCTTCATAAAAACGTTCACTACCGAAATAGATGTTTGCACCAACAAAGACAAAACATCCAGCGAAGCATCCTTTTAATGAACTACGTAAACGCGCCTGGCAAAAAATATTATGGCATAATGCATGTGATTGATATAGAAAATTTTCTACTGACTGATACAAAAAATCGTGGTACCATCTTGAAAAAAGGATTTCATACAAAAATAAAGTAAAAAAATTTCGTTTTTATAGACAAAAACAAGATTTTATTAAGTTTTTTAAATACAAAAATAAATAGAAATATACATTGTTTGATTGATTTCTCATATAAAAATAGAATTAAGTTGAAAGCAGAGAATTTGATTTGTCTGTTCCATTATTTTCATCTTCACCAAAATAATAAGCTCCTTGTAAGTTGAGTAAACATTCAGCTGCTTTATGCAGTTCTTCAAATGTGTTTGGATCTATTTGCAATAAATTTATCATAATCGATTTGATCATTATCAAAAAAATTTACCTATCAGAGCAAGTTCAGCAGCATCACCATCAATTAAACGACTATCAGGTATATGTAAATCTTCAAGTAGATTGTTCGATTCTGAAAGGAAAAAGAAACTTCAATGTAATTTTCATTATTCTTGATACAGATGTTATTTTATTTCTTTTAAAATTATTCTAATCAAGGCTGCACAGACACCTTTGAAGAAACAAGATCATTTTATTCTGCTTTTCATTAGCACTCTACACATTTCTTAAACGATTCACACAATTTTAGAACCTGAACCTCGATGGCATCTACGTTCGAAAGGCTATATACTCTTTCTCGATATTAATTCTACGTACCATCTATTGGAGAAGTTGATATTTCACCTAAACAAAAAACAACACAATTATTCCTTTTATATTCTAACTTCTGGCATAAACGTACATTCTTCTACTTGATGATTATCGTCATCGATAATTAATACTTGATTAATTAATTTATCTATAAAATATTTTTTTTGTAGAAACTCCTAAACTTTAAAATCTATAAAGTCTACTTTGTTCTTCAAGCGCTGCGCTATCAATCGTCCAATTCTTTTGATCAGTTTCTTTATTTTGTTGATGTCGATTAGTTTTAAAATGCTTCATTAAATTACTATATGATTTAAATTTTAATTCACATATATTACAAGTATACGGACGAGTATCAGCATGAAGGCGTACGTGTCGGCGTATATTGCGTATAGACCAACACCGGCAATTACACAAACTACACGTATAACTAAAAATAAAACAATTGATATTCATCAAGTTAACAGTTTTACCAACCTTATCGAATTATCTTGTTCATGTCGACTTTTACGAATAGTAATTTGGTCGTTTGGCACTGTTTCAATTTGTGGAATTGCAACAGGAGTAGGCGAAGGTACACGAATAATTGGTATTGGTGTGACTAATGGTTTATTTCTTTGTACAGAACTTGTAATTTTTCCATTAGTTATTGTTGTGCAACGAGAAGATGAAATTTTCATAGCTCGTTTTAAGTGCGACAAACGCTTTCCATGTTGATATAATGCACTCGAAGAACAAAATTTTCGTTGACATAGGTTACACCAAAACTGATTTGGATTCTATTAATAGTTAAATAAAAATATATTCTTTCACTCGAAATATTTCAATAAACCAAACGAACAGAATTTAATCTACGTAATTGAAAGCATTTTTCTTATGAAAGATAAGGCTGTTTCGAATAAATGGAAGATAGATATGTATAGTAATGATTGCAACTGAACCATATCGTTACCTTGTACTAAAGAGTACACAGTTACGATCGAAACTTTTTTTCGTCTACCATAAAACGAAGTGATTAATCTTCCGTGTGTTCGATTCAAATCAAGTCTTTCACTACTACATGACCAGGCGGCTTGTAATGAGCAATTTTTGATTTAAATATGTGAATCTTTAAAGTATCCATCATGTATAATTTGCATGAGAAAAAGACAATCTGCTCATTCAAATAGAAATTCAAACTCAGAGAACTTTTATAATAGCTTTTCAAAAACGTAAAGTGTTCTTTTTCTCTTGAAATTAAACTACCTTCATTGTATTTTTCGATAAGAAAAAGTGATTTATGTTGAGAGCTATGATTTATAAGTGCACTACATGAATTGTAAATATTCTTAGTATTCGAGGAGTCTCGTTGAGAGACGTTTAATTTTGTCTGCATAAATGCAAATTTATTTGCTGTACAATTGTTAACTTGGTTAGATAAAATACGCAAACAAAAAAATTCTTCAATACTAATGAGATGTAGTGGTCGTATAAATATTGAATAGCAAGTTACTGATATTGATGCAACGTAGAAATAATAACTCAATCAAAATATGACCTTTTGGTACAGATTTATTTGCATGTATCCATATATACCAACCAAAATGTACATCGCACTCATTTTAGGCATTGATAGTGTGGTGTATTTATCAAATTGAAGTTTACTCACATTCATCTGATTTGTTATTTACTGAAAATCAGCTTTTGCTGGTGAAATCAAAGTCTGCAAAAATTGTAATGAAACAAACAAATAAAAGCTTTTATTTTAATACTTACTGTATTCATATTGTATTGAACTGATTGATCATTTTTTTTTCATAGAACTCGTTTCTGAAGAAAAAGATTTTTTATCTTATAAGCTAGTTTTTATTAAGTTGAATAGTTTTTTTTGTTTATTTGTGTTTTTTTATTAATAGAAAAAACAACCTAGTACGTATGAAAGACGCAGAACAACAAAAACCAAAACAGTTCGTTTGCCTACACGAGAAATCAAACGGGAAAAGTCATTCAAAAAAACAACATAAACAACAAACTAACTAACTAATGCTTGATTACTCCAATTTAGCAAGGATATCAGCTTCTTTGAAAAGGAAATATTCCTTGTCTTCTAATTCAACTTTAGTGCCACCATATTCTGGTAATAAGACTTTATCACCAACTTGAACACTGACTGGAACATGAGTACCATCCTAAAAATAGAAATCACATTCAAAATTTTCACGGCGAAAAGCAAAAAATAATATAGATCGTATACCTTTTGTTTAAGACCTTTACCAACGGCAACAACAGTAGCATTAAGTACTTTGCCTAGTGCTTTTTCTGGAACATGAATTCCACCTTTGGTTACTTTTTCGGCAGCAAACCGTTGCACAAGTACCCGGTCGAATAATGGAATAATCGTTTTTAATACTTTAGCCTAATTTAATAAGAAAATAAACAAATTAGAACTTTCTTAAAACGTATTTCATATCATTCTTACCATTTAAGAAACGTATGAATTGATTTCTATAACGTACGAGAATAATCGAGAATATTTATAATTGATTTGACCTCTCATGTTTTTCTTTTTGTTTTCATTGGAAGATACGTTTCATCCATTCACAGTAGGGAGGTCCAGCAAGCTCAGGGAGGAGAAAAAACGAATGACTACACAACCTACTCTTTTCTATCCATTCATCCATCCAGGAGTCGAATTTCTTTTTTTTTGCACTCATTCACTTTCATCATCTATCTTTCTTTTTCAATTTTAGTTTTCATTCGTAATAATCATAAGAAATGTATCGTTTTGCTAAAACAATCTCGCGAACAGCTGCATCACCGTTGATTCAACATATTGTGCGCCGTTCATTGGCAAAAGACATAAAATTCGGTTCCGATGCTCGCGTACTCATGCTTCAAGGTGTTGACATCCTTGCTGATGCTGTTGCTGTTACAATGGGTCCTAAAGTTAGTTTTAGATCTCTTTTTTTTCGAGAAAATGAGAGAGAATTTCTTGATTTTTAGGGAAGAAATGTTATTCTTGAGCAAAGCTGGGGCTCACCAAAAATAACCAAAGATGGTGTTACAGTTGCTAAAGGAATTGAATTAAAAGATAAATTTCAAAACATCGGTGCTAAGCTTGTTCAAGATGTTGCCAATAATACAAATGAAGAAGCTGGTATGATTAAATTTCATTATAGAATCAAAGAACAATTTGTTCTTTTTTTTTCGTTTTCGCATTTTAGGTGACGGCACAACAGCTGCAACAATTCTTGCTCGAGCTATAGCTAAAGAAGGTTTCGATAGAATCTCACGTGGCGCAAATCCAATTGAGGTTCGTCGTGGCATTATGATTGGTGTAGCAGCAGTTGTCGATGAACTTAAACGTATGTCAAAAATGGTCACAACACCAGAAGAAATTGCCCAAGTTGCAACAATATCAGCTAACGGTGATGTATCTATCGGTCAGATAATATCGAATGCAATGAAAAAAGTGGGCAACAATGGTGTTATTACTGTTAAAGTAAATAGATAATTGAATGTAAATTTTAATTCAATTAATTCTCTATACTAGGACGGTAAAACATTATTGGATGAGCTTGAAATTATCGAAGGAATGAAATTCGACCGTGGTTATATTTCACCTTATTTCATTAATTCAACAAAAGGTGCAAAATGTGAATATCAAGACGCATTTATTTTAATAAGCGAAAAGAAATTATCATCTGTGCAAGAACTTATTCCGGCTTTGGAATTAGCTAATGCTCAACGTAAACCATTACTTATCATTGCTGAAGATATTGATGGTGAAGCACTTACTACACTTGTTCTTAACAGGTGAATATAGAAGAAACTATTTTTGGATAAGAGAACAATCAGTCAGCGTCCCAGCCATGACATGTTCATGGACAATATTGTATTAGATCATCTATTTAATATCCCGTTGGCTATGTTACGACATACATCTGCACAGGTGGATAGTTAATGTATACAGAGTCGATCTTCTGTAAAGAGTTATAGCTAGCATTAGCTGTCAGCATGATAGCAGAATGTTGAATATACCATACTATCCCAGAAAGGCTGTGATAATACTATTTCCTAACTGTTCGTTTAATCAGCAAATTCAGAAGTCATCAATGGAGATTTTATTTACATATATTTTTTTTCCATTCCTTATTCATAGACTAAAAGTTGGACTTCAAATATGTGCCATAAAAGCACCTGGTTTTGGTGATAATCGTAAGAACACACTACGTGATATAGCTGCCGCTTGTGGTGGTACTGTATTTGGTGATGAAGCAAATTTAAATAAACTTGAAAATATAACTGCACGAGATTTTGGCCGTGTCGGTGAAGTTATTGTTACGAAAGATGACACATTGTTAATGCGTGGTAAAGGTGATCCAGCAGCTTTAGAACAACGTATTAATTCAATAAAAGACGAACTCGATGAAGCTAAGTCAGAATATGATAAAGAAAAATTACAAGAACGTTTAGCAAAATTATCCAATGGTATTGCAGTATTAAAAGTTGGTGGTAGTAGTGAGGTCGAAGTGAATGAGAAAAAAGATCGTATTACTGATGCATTAAACGCAACACGTGCTGCTGTTGAAGAAGGTATTGTACCGGGTGGTGGTGTTGCTCTTTTAAGATGTCTCAAAGTATTGGACAACAATGCCGGTGCCATAAACGAAGATCAAAAAATTGGTAAATAAAAAACTACGCATACACTGTTTATTTCTATTTCAATATATTGAATTTTGTTTGTTTTTTCGTTTAGGTATTGAAATCGTACGAAAAGCCCTTCGTATGCCTTGTGCCACAATTGCTAAAAATGCAGGCAAAGATGGTAGTGTAATTGCTGAAAAAGTACTTTCGTCTTCATTTGAAATCGGTTATGATGCACAACGTGATGAATTCGTTGATATGATTAAAGCTGGTATTATTGATCCAACTAAAGTATGATATCTATTTTCCTATGCTATAGAAATTAACTATTATTTTTAGGTCGTTCGATCAGCATTACAAGATGCTAGTGGTGTTGCTTCATTGTTAACAACAGCAGAAGTTGTTGTTGTTGAAGCACCTAAAGCCGAAAAAGATGCTGCTCCAGGCATGGGAGGCAGTACGTACCCATGAAATATTCTTATGTATCATTCAATTACATTTATTTTTAGTGGGCGGCGGTATGGGAGGCATGGGTGGAATGGGCGGCATGGGCTTTTAAAGCAAGCAATGAATGTTCAAATAGCGATATAGGACCTTTTTGTTATAACTGTTTTTTCTTTGTTTTTTTTTTTATTTTTCTGTCGGCCGTTGTGCTTCTCTTAGGCAATGAAAAATAAAACCATGAATACTGATGACAGTGACTAAGGTAGAAAAACAAATACATTAAAGGACATCGAGCTCTATACACAAAGTCGAAACTATGGCTTTCTATTCTTTTGGAACTTTTTCTTAATTAGTCTGGAAATAAAATTGGTGATCACAAGGAAAAGTTGTAAATAGAAAGGAAGCCTATGACAAATTGATGAATTGAAACACGAAAAATATAGTTAGCAGTATAAAAACAAAGATCATAAGCACCCAAATAAGCTCATAAAAATGCGTCGTCGTACTGCGAAGTGTCGCGTTGTTAGAGTAAAAAATCTTCAACGAAATCATCGACATCACAGAGTAAGTCGTTTCAATGGACTGACTTTAGACTTTCCCCACCATGTAAAGAGCATATGTATATCGAAGATAGCGATAACAATAATATTCTAGTTTGTTAATTTTCATCGATAAAAATTATTCGAACTTTAATGAATCGATATTCTCCGTTCAACAATGACTTCGTTACATTGAAACCATTCAGTAGAAACTTCGCTCTTTATATATTCACGCTAAGCTATTTATGGAATAGTTCATGAGGAAAAAATACAGCTTTGCCTTAGATTCATCACTTCGGAAGATTACACGCTAATGTTTCAGTCAATCTTCAATATAAGTGAAAAATTGAATTGTTATTCTTGCATCATTCAATTACGTAGGTACGACAACTATTAAGCATAAACGAAAAGTCACCGAATCCAACAAGAACTCCAGCAGTTTGGAATACAGCTTCTCTCGTAGAGGATGTCGATTCATTACCGGTAACACCTAATTTGTCGCTTGGAGCACGGAAGCACTTGCCAAGTAGAACATCAATCATATGTGTTTCTCAAACGGAATGTCTGTCAACGAATACTGATACGATTGGTATCAATTTTCAAAATGAATCTTGGCAACATTCGAATTCGAACAGTACATATAATAGTGTGAGCAACTCAATGATCTCCTTCAATAGATTCGATCATGTAATTCTTAATTATTTTTTTGAATACAATTTGTTTTCTTTTTCTCTTTAGAATGTGCTTAACAATGCAAATCCTCTCAAGTATGCTCATTTGAAAAAGGTTCGATTCTAGTAAGCTCATTACCATATAATAAAGTTCGAATATTTTTAAGAGCATCTCATCCCGAAGTGATTTTGATTCTGTCAATTCAAAACAAAACCCAATAGAGACGAAAAATTCTCCAGATAACTTCTATAAAAGAACCAATGCTTTGTATGCATCAATAGCCTATCATAATCCTAATGATTCCACAATATATACCACCGATCGCGAGAAAGAAAAAAACAAAAGAAAACGACGTCGTCGCGGAGCGTGTTGGTTTTGTTGTTGTACACCATGTTGCTGTTTATTTACCGCCATACTCTTAAGTCTAGTTTTTGCCAGTGTAGCAGCATTGATTGTAATGCTCATTGTATCACAGACAAATCGTGCTATATCAACGAGTACGACAATTTGTTTTCTTGAAATTTTAACGTTCTTTTTCTTTTTGTCATGAACAGCAGCAACCACCTCGACAAGTAGCACTACGAGTACGTATGCAAATATTTCATAAAAACAAAATTTAATTTGCGCATAACTTTATCCTTTAGCTACAACAACAACAACATCAGCAACTACAACAACATCAACGACAACAACTTCCACAAGCACTACCACATCGTCCACAAGTTCAACATCAACATCAAGCAGTACCTCATCGTCTACAAGTTCAACTTCGACAACAAGCAGCACGGCATCATCAACAAGTTCAACATCAACTACTGCTGCATCATCAACATCGAGTACAAGCGCAGTGACAACTAGCATAACAACTACTTCCGTTACGAGTAAGTAGCTTTTTAAAAGTATATCTAATGTTGATCACCTTCTGATTCTGGTCAGTACTAATAGTATAGAATAAGTCTTTTAGAATTGTTCTAAAACTATTCTCTCTCAATTTTTTCTTTAACGAACGTCAATTTATGTCATTGATTCTCTCGCAAAACAATGTAATATACAGACGATCTCTGAAGATACATAAAAGATGTTATTACTGATAGAAAAAACTCCCCTTCATGAAAATTATTAAAAATAAAAATCTAAATGAATATGAGATCTATGTGAAATTAAACGTCTACATTACCATCTTTAGCCGTAACAACTACTTCAAGGGTAACAACTGCCAGTAAGTATTTATCATGTACCATTGACATTCTGTTTTACGTGGTTCTTTTGTATTGTTTAAGCAATTACTTCTAATATATGTACTTCGGGATGGAAAGGTGCTACTATACTTTACCATTGTGATAGTTGTCCTGATATAATGCCTTATGCACAATATAAATATACTTATACGGCTATTTCGAATCGAACGCGTATAGCATTCGCATTTCGTGAGGATTCTGGATGCTTCGCACTTGATACTATGTCGGTAAAAAGTGTGTCGGCACCAAGTATTGAACTGATTGCAAACAATGGTTTTGAAACAGGTAACTTAGCATCGTGGACTTATTGTAATCCGAATGGTGCATCTAGTGCTGGTGCAGTGATGTCAAACGCAGATAATTTGCTATGTATAAGCGCTATTCTTCAAGCTCAATCAGGAAACTATTTTTATTACGATGGAGCAGTGACGAATTGTGATTATTTATTTCAAACATTTGCAACAACTGTTGGTGAAACATATACTATTTCCTATTGGTTATTCAATGAAGGTACTTATTCAGCAAGCAGTGCTGATGTGATAATCAGTATCTAAAAAAACTGAAAATATTTCTTTTTTTTTTGCTTTCGAATGAACACAGATTTATACAAGAAACAAAAACAATTTTCTGTTAAATATTTTTATTTTCAATAAAAAATTATCGTATTTTTTTTCTCATCCATAAGATAAAAATTACTCAGTTCAAACGGCATAATGCTCGAGATAAAATTAATAAGGATGTTAGTTGCTTTCCAATCATAAGAAGCACTTGTTGCACTCAGATATATTTGAAACTATGTCGAAAGTAGCACTTTCTCTACATTAGTATGAACTCAATCCATTCGCAATTGACATTCTGTACTATTCTGTGACATATATAAAAATTTCTTCAAATCAAGAAAAACAAACCGAAGAATTACTGTTTTTATATCTAAAAATTTAAAACAAGCCGTCATATACTTCCGCTATCGACAAGGTCACTAACTTTTTCTATCATACTGAACACTTCGATGAAGAAAGTGATAAGATTAAAACCAATAAGAAGATAAAGAAATTATATGATATACAACAAAAATTTTTTGAATAGAAAAAGCAATATATAAATCAAGCACAAGTATATCGAACACTCTTTATAGAATTAATAAATATATTTATATCAATTATTTAATAAACATATCAGATATTTCTCATTTGTGAGCATCAATTGAACAACCTTATAAACAATCCTTATTAAGCGAATGTTTCATATGAAAACAATAGAAAGAAAAATTAATAATATATCTATTTGTTTTTCTTTTATTTATAAAACTAAAAATAAATAGTATGAGAGATTCAACATGCCTCTTGACGATTATTAGCAAAATCAATCTGCAATTAGTGTATCATAAGTTATCAATACTGTATACATGACATACATATATATCTATGTAGACAAATGGTGCATATATGAGATCGATAACATCCGGAGCGAAAAGAAGATAGGAGACAGTTGCTCCACCTCGATATTAACTAGAAACAGATATGCATGAGGTGACAGCTCCTTTGACTCGTTAGACTTCTTGCAATTAATTGCAATCAGCGATAAACGCTTTAAAATCGTCAATTAGATTCTTTTGTTTTTCTCGTATGTCGGCATTCGAAATACGACGTTATTACATTATTGTTTTCCCAATGATTGAATTACAATAAAAATGTCGGCAATGGTTGATATTTCTTTTTTTTCTACTTTCATCTTGTAATTGAAAAACATAGATGAAATACATTGTTTGTATACAAATCTTGTCTAGGTTTTATCTTTCGTTTGATTGTCTCTATTGAAGAGTTTTACAACCTCTTTCTCGCATCTTGAGAGAAGAAGAAAAAAAAAGAAAAGAAATCAATGCGAATGCGTAGACATAAGAATCTTATCTTATTTGTTCTATTGGCTTCTTCGATACGGAAATTCAATTATAATCATGAGAATAGGTTTAAGACGTTTGTAGTTGTCCGACATAGTCAAAAAAAACAATAATAATAATAAGAAAGAAAAGAAAAACCGATGATGATGATGATGATGAACATATATATAGAAAACAGATCATCTTACACACATAAAAAACATCTTTAACAAATGGCATCGGTCGCACGCGACTTTCTTTTACATGTTCAATTATCTTTTTCTTTTGCATTGTCATATGGCGTTTTTCCAGTTGACTACTAATATAAGTATCTAGTGACTTTTTTTCTTTTTGTTTTAATCGATCTATGTAAAACAAAGAAATAAGAGAAAAAGTGTTGTTATTTATTCATTTGAAAAAAAACACCTTTTGAATAAAAAAACAGGATATACCTGGTGAGAATCAATTTCTTTAACTAAACGCCCTCCTACGTTTGTGTGACGGACATCCGGACTCTATTCAGCTTTTCTTTTCTCTTTCTTTTTTTTTGTAATAATCCATCCATCCGTTATAGAAGAAGGAAATAAGTGACCATATTCATCACTTCATCTAAAAAAAGAAAGAGCAAACGCAAGATCCAATATAGATTGATTTCTTTCTCTTTGTCAATCTAGAGCGAAGAGAGAGAGAGAGAGAGAAAGACTCCATTTTCCACTTCAAAACGATTCTATTTCTTGAGTGCTTGCTGCTTTTTTTCTCTTTCGCTTAGTCAAAACGATCGATATATGTGTGAACAGCACTACATTTCCGGCACAACTTTATTTAGCTACCTGTTCATGCGCTTATAGATAGACAGATTGCATACAACGGATTAATATGATCAGCAATAACTAACTAGTCAACTAATCGAAAAAAACAGAAAGAAAAAAAAATGGCAAGAATGAGCTCGTCTCTTACGCACGAATGGCATAATTGAGTTTTTGATTTGTTCGATTGGATAATAATATAACACGAGATCATTTTATATGAATACTTCAACTGAATGGAACGAAGAAGAAGAATATAGAAAGTTATAAAATAAATACACCTGATATTAATCGATTGATTTCTATGAATAGAGCAATATATATATATATATAAGTATTTATATAATGTATTTCGTCAAAAAGACTTATTGAATATTGTTTTTTATTGAAAAAGATTGAAATGATCTATTGAATTTGTTTTCAAAATACATTGACGAACAAATTCATTCGATAATGTATTTGATTCATTGATATAACGATTATCTTGTATTATCCATTCAAAAAATATTGATTTGATACATTGTGCATTAGTTTGTTTTTTTCTCATTTGAAAACTTATTTCAGAACAACAAATTACGCTTTTCTTTGTCCTTTCTGTTTATTTTATTTAAGAAACACATATATATATAAATGCATTTATTTTCAAAATAACAAAACTTGTTAACATCTTTGTTAATAGACTTCAAAACAAAGAAAAGTTACATGCTAAAGTTAAAGATGTATAAATATACAGTCGGCTCTCGTCTCCTTTGGTGTTTTGTCGACAACATCTGAGTGGCTTTGCATTGACATCCCAATATCAACATATATATATATATATATTTATTTATATATACATACAGACATCGATAAGGTCACATTATCACCTCATCACCTGCATCTATTGAAGAAACAGCCTCAGGCTTGTTACAATACATACACACTTTATTTCTTTTATTTTTTTATTTGGGCGATATACTAATAAAAAAAAGCAAACTGTCTGTTTTTTTTTGTCGTTTTTCTTTTCCAATCTCGTACTATTACGATTTAATGGTATGGTAATGATGATTATGATTGAGAAAACCGAAAGAAGATCTTTGCATCAATACTCAAAATATTTACTTAGCAGTTGTTCGTCTACAATAAGGGAAAGCGAGAAAGAAAAAAAAACGCAAGAATGACACAGTCTCTATCGTTTTTTTTATTGCACACTCGCGCTCGTTCCGATAACATTTTCTTCGATTGTTGATTGGTCCCGTTTGTGTGTGTGTATGTTCGCAGAAAGAATACTTTCACATGTCAATCTACACATACATACATGAGAGAGATGATGGGATTGGCCGTTACGATAATATTTTTTCTTTTTCTCTCTTTCTTTCATTGCCGATCGTAAATCGATCCTTCTCTGTGTTTGTCTCTCTCTCTCTCTCTCTCTCTCTCTCTTTCTCGCGAGCGCGCTCTCTTGAAATGACGACAACGAACGGAAATGAGCAGCAAACAGTCAACATTACCCCATCGGAAATAGCCAAGCAGATCAGTCGTCTGTGAAGGTGAGAAAAAGAGAAAGAGAGAAGCAGAGAGAGAGAGAGAGAGAAAACTTTTCTCATAACAATCATAGAATAACACAAGACACTTTTAGGAAAAAGATCTATTACATACATACATATATATATATATATATATATATATATTATTGTCATTCGTCAGTTGTTTGCTTGCTTACGTATATAGTTTTCTTTTCTTTATCAATGCTCTTTTTCTTCTTGAATTGTCAAAACTTTTTATAGCCAACATTCCTTCAAATAAAAAGATAATTTTACTCATGACAAATAAAATTGAAACAACAACGACATCAATGGATGATGAATTACTTGTTGACGTTGTAAGTCTTAATGGTAATAGTAGTTTATGTATTGATTCATCTCAACATACATCTTCATCATCGAATTCATCGTCACCAAATCATTCAATGGATTCAAGTCCACATTCACCAACATCATCATTATGTGGTGGCATGGAAGATGAACACACAAATTCCACGCAGAAATCTTCATCAACGAAACAACATATTGTTAAACCACCTTATTCATATATAGCATTAATAACGATGGCTATATTACAATCTCCATCAAGACGTTTAACATTAAGTGGCATATGTGAATTTATTATGAATCGTTTTCCATATTATAAAGAACGTTTTCCAGCTTGGCAAAATTCGATACGTCATAATTTAAGTTTAAATGATTGTTTTCTTAAAATTCCACGTTCACCAGGCAATCCAGGTAATATTGTTTAGTTTCACTAGAACGTTATTAAAACTAAAACGCTTTTTTTCTTTTTCTTAATTTAGGAAAAGGAAACTATTGGACATTAGATCCCGCTAGTGAAAATATGTTTGATAATGGTTCATTTTTACGTCGTCGTAAACGTTTTAAACGTTTGAATCACCATCATCATCATTCAGCGTGTTTTCATCATGGGCCAGTAGGACCTAACGGAGGGCCATCCTTATATCCTTCAATGCCGTTTCCATTTGTTCCAACATCATCAACATTAAAACGATGTTTTCCATTATTACCTCCTCCAATGCCAATTCTTGCTCCCCCTCCGCCAGCAATGACAATGGTTCATCATAATCAAAAATCAAAAACTTCATTTACCATTGATGATCTCATTGGTAATAATAAAACATCACCGCCGTCATTATCGTCATCATCGTCATCCTCATCCTCATCACCAACAACATCATCATCAACAACAACAGCCAACGTTAATTCTGCATTAACGATAACTAATAGAGCAACATTTCGTGTATGATTTTTTTCTGTCTTTTCTTCTTCTTCTTCTTTTTTTTGTTTTTTGTTTTGTATCTATGTGCCACTTTATTCTATATTTGACTACTAGTCAGTGAGAGCATGTTTTGCCCGTTTGTTTTCTTTTTTTTTGTTTTTAATATATATATATATTCACGTATATACATACATACATACATACATACATATATATTATAATAATAACATTGTAACCAATGAAAAGAAACTTAATCTCAACAAGAAAAATGATCGGTCAGATGTAAACTGATAAGAAATATGTTCTTGTCTAGTTTTACAACTCTCTCTTTTTTTTTGCTGTCATGAAAGCAATAAATTAATGTGTAATGCGTATCATTATTCTCGAGTAAATCAAATAGTCGATAGTTCTTGTGTTTACTTCTTGTAAACAGGAAAAAAAAGACAATTAATTCTCTTTTTTTTTGAGATTTGCTCATCTGTACCATCATAAGTATAAAAATAGACTTCTTGTCACCAATCATTGTGTTGAAAGATTTTCATCTGTTTCTGATGATGATGATGATAATACCCTTGTATATACATGCGAGTATCTGTTCGTTGTTAATCATATATATTAGACTGCTGCTTCTCTTTTATATATATATATGTTTTGATGAATCGCTTTCTCGTTTGTACCAACACAAAAGTCAAAATAAACAAATGGATAAATATCAATTGTTGTTATTCCAATGAGATGCGTGTGTATATATGTATGTATTCTCTCTTCTGCACAATTATCCACAATAAGGAGGAAACAACATGTCGTCAGTCGGATATCCGTCTGTTGTTGATGTAAGCGAGTATGAAAAGATTGAGAAAAGAGAAATAAAAGTGACTGTTGTTAGGATAGTAAGTAATAACAATTAGCTTCATCCCCTCGACATAGATAGACAAGATATGAATGAAGACGATGTGCGAACGAACACAGCTGTGCGTACGTTGGCTTGTGTGTATCTATTCGTTTTGCATCAGTACCATATACATACAAATAGAGAGCAGCAAGAGAGAGAGAGAAAGAGAGAGAGAGAGAGCCTGAGACACAATGCCGAAATCTTATTATTTATAATCAATTTTCTGTTTCTTTTTGAAGTTGGCTTATCTTTTTATTGCATGAAAGTTTATTTATTTTTATAATAAAAGTAACTATAGTGATAATTTCGTTCAGATAAAAATTTTCCGATGGGTAGAAAAAATTTGTAATCTATTGTTTTATGATAATCTTTTCGAATGGGTAAGATGATCGAAGAATTTTTTTCAAAACAGCGTTGGATATAATTTTAATCAGAGAAAATTTGCTCTTTTTTTTTTGAATTTCATAGATTGAAAGCGACAAGCAATAATCTTTCTAGTAATCATTGATTTATTGACAGAAGTTTTATATAGATCTTATAGCAAAGTGCAGTTATAAATACTTGCAATAACCAATGGCTACACTAGGTGTTTAGATATATATATATATATATTGTTAACCTTTCTCGCTTGGAATGCTTTAATTTTATTTCGAATATGTCGATAATACCTGATCGTTATTATTCTAGAATGAGCATTTTTATTGTTAAGTATAAGACTTTGAAATACTGCTTGTAACATAGTTTCATTCTTGTTCTTTTTTTTTGTCTATAAGATAAGCGGAACTAAAAGAGTACTTCATTTTTCTAAGGGTAACCATCAAATAAGTATTGTAGTTCTTTTGTTTTATGATTAGATTGACTAAATCATAGATTGCAAGCAATTATATAATAAAACATTGGTAGAGAACATTCTAGTTTTTTTTCCTCTCTCAATCATTGATTTATTGTCAGCTCTAGGTAACCATATAGATTAGTGTATGCTTGATAGAAAAATAATCTTCACTGATTTCTATTTCTATAAAAACATTTGAAATAATTTCTACTAGACAAAGAATAATATCGATAAAGCCAATGGTCAATGGTGAGCAGGGAGCCAGATCTTCTGCAAAATAGGGAAATTTTCTGAAATTTGAAGTTCTTCCTGAATTTCTTCTGATTTTTTCCGAATTCGAAACTATTTCAGATCCCAGTTTTGCTAGTGCAGTTCAGTACAATTATAACAAATTACTATCATAGATGTATATTGCGGCACCTTGTTTTTCTCAAAATTATCTGTTGGTAATTTCTGACTTATAATAGGCAAGTTCAGCCACAGCAATGGACTAGAATTTGATAAATTTCTTTTCTTGATTTTGAGAATCTTATCTAATTTAACATTCAACAAATGAAAACAAAATTATCTATCGGATGATATTAATATGGTTGACTTTGATTGTGAACAGAAACAAATCGAAGTAAATTAATTAGTCACAGCAATATCATTTCGACGTATAAAGAAGCAAAAGAGTTTTTCGTAAAGATTCGTCACCGATTGATGAATATTCATCTTTACAGTGACAAATCTTTGGAAATGAAGTACCAGTGAATGATATAAAAGTAGTGGAATAGTTAATGCCAACATCTTATACAGAAGTCGCTATTTCACAAAAAATGATCTTTCTGATAGTTTTCTGATTTTTCAATTTTCGATCTGGCCACCCTGATGGTGAGTTTCAATTCTTAGACTTGTATTCAGAGGAGCAGTCACTATCTGAATATTAATTAGTCAAATATCGAAAACATTTTAGTTTCAAATTCATTGAAAAAAAAATAGCATTGTGCATTTTTCCTTTAAATTTTTTTAACTAATAAAAATTTAAAAAAAGAATCATTATTGATAGAGATGCTCTCAAACGTAAGAAATTGTTAATGCCTCTCTTGTCCTAAAAGAACTTACTGGAATGAAAGCTATTTTTTTATATTCGCCAGATTATTTCAAGCAGAAACATAAAAGAATAATCAGCTAACCGATTACTTGCGTTATATATAACTTTGCTGGTTAACATTTATCCGTTCGAATAACTATTTTTTGTATTGTAGGAAGCAATAATAAACTATGAAATCGTTTTGTGACTTATTATCAGTCGGATGTGGCATCAGAACAAGCAAAATTTCTCGTTTCATATTCTATCATGTGAAAAAAAAGATATAAAATTGCCAATGATCTTTCACTCTATTTATTTCCGTTGACTTTCAAGCGGTATGAATAGATTCTTGCAAATTGATTCATATTTTAAAAAAAAGCGAATATGCAGATGATCCGTTTTTCTCATTTAACTTACTTAGACTTCAAAGATCGTTTTTGTTTATTTACTGTTTGTGTTCACAAATCATTAATAAATTAATTATTAATTATTGTGTGTTAACTTTCTAATTCAAATATTCATTAATTCAACATATTTATTTATTGTTCTGTCGACACCAAAATTGTAATGACTACTATTTATTGTTAATTTTATATTATTTATGTTTGAATATCGGAACTAGCATATTGAATTTAATCTAGATCATATTAATCTGCACTGTTAATTAACTATTCAATTTACTGATACGTCTTGCCTAGAGAAGACTATATTTCAGAATTCTTTCATGTTAATGCTTCAATATTCGCTTTTATCTATGTGACAAAAAGAACCTCTTCGAATCATCTCTTTTGGATTATACTTAGTTTGATAAGATAAACTGGAATGACACTAGAATGTCTTGCACTAATCTCTACACATTTCGGGCGGTAACACTGCTCTATTTTGTGTTTACCATTGGTTTGAACGACCAAAATAGTATATATTATTAACAGTAGGCAAGAATCAATGCGGGAAACATTAATTTTTGAAATCAATAGGGATAGAGTATGCAGAAAATAGCAGCTTACATTAGAACAAATGAAATAAATAATGCAAATTGTGACACTATTGATAGAGAAAGGTATGTCGTATGGTTGTCATTGTTAGAATTATTGCAATTTTGTTTTTATTAGATATTCTGATTATTTTCCTATGTCAATTCTCACCAGCTTATTGAGAAGTGCGTGATCCCGATGAATATAACTATTTGATTCAGTAGCAAATGATAAAAAATATTAATTTATTACTTCATCTCGACTGACATTTCAATCATCTCGACTTGAACATACGGAAATTCATTATTGAAAAGGATTAATTGAAGAATTTCAATTTCTCGTCAATCATGTGCAGAGCACATCGTTGTTTTACAAAGGCTTTCACGATAAATAAATTGCCCAGGTTATTTCATCCGGAAACCCTTAAATAATATTTTAGACACAATGAAAAAGCAGTTAGATTTTGTTGAAATGTAAACAAGAAGTTTTTCTTTATCGGTCATTTATTGAAGTGGATACGATAACAGTTGACGTTCTACGTTTACCAAAACCGTATCATTAACTTTAAGGCTTCGTCATGACTCTCATAGGAAATTAAAATCATCGATTAGTTAAACACAATAGAGATCCAGAAAAATAAATATTTGAAAAAGCAAGAACAAAAAGTAAATAAATATTTTGGTACTAGTGTTAATTTAAGGATCAGGTGCTTGACTTAATGCTAATAGAACCATTTTAAGTTCAGATTTGCTAATTCTTTTATCTCGATTAAGATCACATCCACTCAATAATGATTGCTTAAATTGTTGTAAATCTTCATTATCATAATCCTAAAGTAATAAAAATGAAGTAATCCGAAAAATCAAAAAGAAAAACAAAAGAAAATGTAAATACTTTTCTAACAAGATCCATAAGATCTTTAACAAATCCATCTAATTCTTCTTCTTCAATAACATTATTACCATCCTTTTTATCAACAGAGAAAAATATTGAATAAGAAAAAACAAAACTTTCTTCTTCTAGAAAATTACTTCATCATAAAGTTGAAATACTCTATCGAGGTCTTGCGAAGTTATTGATGAACAGCCCTATTTATACATAAGGTGCGCCAACGTAAAAAATCGAGCAGGAGAAACATTCCTTTTATTATAACATGGTTGAGTAGAGCTCGATGAGTAGATTATGAGTATCATCTTTAAAATGTTTCTAGGCTTACGTTTTGACTGAGAAATTTTCAAAATACAAACTGCGCCTCAAAACAGTGAATATTTCACTTTTTTTCGAGAAAACTCGAAGTTTACCTAGTTTAACAATCTTCAAACTTTCGCAAGCTATCACCATCGAATTCAGCATAAAAATCTGAATCCACTTATAAATGTAACTTTGACCAGTAAAAAACACAAGTTTCATGTTTGAGGAGCTCCACTAGGTCCTCATATAGACATGTTCAAATTGATGTCTCGCAAAATCATCAAGCATTTCTTTTGAAAGTAATTCTCATACTTTCTTACGTTATCCGAACTGTCAAGTGGTAGCGAACAAAATTGTGTATTGAGTTTGAAAAATATTGTTCCGTCTCTGAGAAAATTGATTTTTACTAGATCGGCGGCTATAGGTTAAAGAATTGCCCTCTTATTTCGAGATTTGTAGTCTCTCACAGATAAAATTTATGATAGTTAATGTGGATTTACGTGCTGATTCTGAATCTGANTTTCTCAGTCAAAACGTAAGCCTAGAAACATTTTAAAGATGATACTCATAATCTACTCATCGAGCTCTACTCAACCATGTTATAATAAAAGGAATGTTTCTCCTGCTCGATTTTTTACGTTGGTGCACTTTAATTCAAAACATTATTCATTTCATAAATAATAAAATCTAAAAGTTATGATTACTTTAAATACTGGCCGCAAAAGAAAATTTTCTTTGACAGGCAAGAGTCTATCATAAAGCGTCAGAAAAATATCATTTTATTTTAATTTAATTTTCTTACTTTGTCATCTCACTAAATTGCAGTTTTCCGTCACGATTTGTATCAAAAATTTGTAGCTATTCAAATAAAAATCATTAACTTCGTATAGCTATAAATTATCTGTGTACAATAGAATCTGTATATTCGATTAATTTTTCTTCAGTTGCATTATTTCCTTTTCGTGCACTAATAAGTGCTTTAATAAATTGTTTTAATTCATCAGCTTCAATATAACCCGAACAGTCTTTATCGAATTGTTTCCATACTCTCATGAAATCGACACTTGACTCAAGTGGATTGTCTTTACGAAAAAGAAGAAGAAAATTTTCTTCGGTCGGTAATATTTCAGCTAACTAAATAAAAGCAACAAATGAACTTTGACAAAATGACAATAGACAAAAAAACATACTTCTCCAATTTCAATACGACCATCTGCATTATCATCATAAGCATCTAAGAAGTATTCTTTTAATTCTCGCAATACATTATCGGGTATTAGCTTAAAGAAAATATTATGAAAAACAAAAAAAAGGAAAATAATTAAATTACCTCAAAACTCAAATCGCTGATACTAACAGACGATGCAAGTTCTTGAAGTAGATTATCTAATTCATGACCTTCGATGTAACCATTACCTAAACAAATAAATAGCAGCGTTTAACGAAAAAATATATCAATGAACAATTTGTTCAACTCATACCATCAACATCATAATGACTCCAGATTTCCATGAATTGTGTTGCCGTTATTTGTTTTAATTCTCTACTTTGTTCATCACGAAATTTTTGTAAAAAATTTTCTCTTTTACGAACACATTTAGGTGTTGAGACATTTGTTGCCATGTATAAATACAATTTGACTTACTGCATGTAAATTAGCAATTAATAGACAAAAGCAAATGTGCCGTTAGCTATGTTTTGTGTGCGTAAAAAGAGCAAAATATGCCCACACAATTTCTAGAAAAAAGATTATTTATCGTAGTTTGCCCTATATTATTCTCTACTTCGGGTTTTCCTTTTTATTCTTTAACACTAATCCATATGAAATAGAATGCCATCATACTTTCTACTCGATATATACTGTTTCTTTTTACCTTATTAGATAACTACTAATACATTTCGACATTTGTTTTCAAATAAGACTCACTTGTTTAGAAAAAAAAATGTTATGATTTTACCAACGAGAAAAGAAAACGTCACTAAATAAAAAACAGGAATATTAGATGTAGTATAATCAGTTGACATTTATTACACTTCCTATCATCATTTGTGCTTTCGTAGACATAGACACGCAACACGGCATAATACAATTCTACTATGTGCACACAAATTGAAAAATTGCAAAGATTAGCTCTTATTATTTAGGTCTCGAAGGGAAAATGGCATGTATAGTTACGCCCACCAGAAAAGAAAGACGTACTCATCCACACGCACTTACATACAGGTAGATACTGAAAAGTGTACATATGTAGAATAGTCAAAGAAAAAAAGAAAAACAATTTATGCGATATTATAAAGAATAATCGTATATATGTAATTTCTGGTTGGAAGACGGCGAAGAGAAAAGACACGAGGTGAAATAGTTTTGATGATATTTTAGTCGTTCGAAGCATATCTTCTTGCATTACTTTCACTGAAAATAATTTCATAGAAGAGTAAGAGCAGTGAAGTGCCATTGAACAAGAAAAGAACGTTCCTAGATATATAGAACTGCAACAAGAAAAATCTATCAATCTCCGATTTTCCGCTCGTTCTTTTAATAGGCATGTTGCTTTTTGACAATTTATTTATTCTTTCTAATTATATAACGAACAATTATTTGGTCTCTCGTCTTATCGTTTTCATCTCAGCTTAATTTAACATATAGACAAAACCTATTAGATTTTTCGTATTTCGATTCGAGTTTTTCTTGTTTAGCCAAATGTAGTAATCGGTCTCAATCGTTTCATCTGATTAATATCGATAAAAATATTATTAAATTATTATCATTACTAAGCTCGTATAAAAATGAATTCAAATAAAATCGTGAATCGAGACGATGATTTCGATAATCAATCTTTTTCTCTGAATAGTTGACAATTCATTACATGCCGAGAACAATATAGTTTGAATAGATGTTGACCTTGGAAATGCTGGGGTTTTGCTGTAGAAGTGTTTTTCTTTTCTTCGTTTTCTTTTCTATTCAACTCCTGATTAAGAGCAAGACGCAAGAGACAAAAATGTAACAACAAAGGTTGTTTTATTCTGACAGCCGCTAGTCAATAATTTATGAATTAGAATTTACCAATATGCTTTTACTTATAAACAGCTAGCACCGTTTTTTGGTATTATTTTCCAATCAGATGCTACTGAAGTTAAATATTCAACCTATGAATCAAATTTTTTTTTCTTATCATATTCTCAACTTTGAATTTTCATTCGATATGTTTTACGATTATTATGAGAAAAGGTTAGGTGCTTTCTTTGTGTTGTTTTAAGATTCGAAAATAGTCTTTATATACTATTGTAAACAGATTAGTTTACTTACAATGAGAGTTTTCTTTGATTGACTAATGATTGACTTGAATAATTGTCATGATTGTTTTATTGTACGTATTAAAATTTTAACATGGCACCAGATAATAGCTAAATTCTGCACTGAAAATATAGAATGATAAACTCAGAGAAAGATTTATTATTTACATATAGTCTACATGAGCTATATCTTAAGATCTATAGTAATTTTCATTTTTATTGAAACTTATACAATTAAAACGATAATAAACCCTTCAATCATTCATGAAAATAAAGAAAAAGATCTTTCAGATGTTTATCATGTTTGTTTTTGTCGTGCAACTGTTTATTAGTATTTAATCTAGGGATTATGAAGCTACTCAAAGGTTTTAAAAGATTTATTATACAAAGCTATTCTCTTTTACAATGCAATTCACCGTAAAATATGTTTGTATTTTTGGACTATTATATGAGGATTTTTGTTTTTATTGATTTTCATTGGATTACTTTCTGTAAAAACGCTCGTTATGGGTTCGAAAAAATATACATATGTTTGTATTTTTAAACTGGCTAAGATCAAAAGGATTAACATATATGAGTACAAAGAAAATTCCAAATTAAATATCTTTTCCAATATTATATAGGCTCGTTTGATTTATTTGAATTACCACTAAAAAATCGAGTAGACGGACAAAAATCAAAGATGAATTGCTGCAAATTCTATGCAGATGAAACCAAATCGTAGAATACATATCATATTTTAACAAAGAATGAGGCCAAAGGTGTTTTTGCATTTCTTCTGTTCTTGACGTTGTGTCGAACAACGAGTCGACTGAAGATATATGTAAGAATAAATTGTTCTTCTATATTCTGTAAATTCTAATTACAAAAGGTCTAGAAGAAAAATTCTTTTACATCATGAATAATATATTTTTAATCGGGTACAGGGTTGCCAGCTGCTCAGGTCCCAAATGGGGTACATCCGTGAGGTACGCAGTTTACATTTTTCACACTGGTCATCAGCTGCGGAAATCAATTTCGAAAACTATTTTCAATCAGGAAAGGGCATTCTCAGTTTTCCGTTTTACTGTAAACTCTAGCTTTCAAATTGAAAGCTTTATTTTCTAATAAATATGTTCACAATAAAATTTCATTTTGACATACCTATATTCAATTCAATCATAATAAAACAATGCTTACTCAAAGCGAACCTTCTCGATTTATATTTACACTAACTGTTGCACGCTTTTTTTCGAAACTACTTTTGTTAACTTTTGGCACACTTTATCAGTTGCGGTTCTGTTTGACCAAAAGAAAAAAATCTTCACATGTCATAGTACTATTAAATCTAATTTTCAATTCAGCAGCTATCGTTTCATTCACCGTCAGATTGCGAATGCCTGTCCATGCGCTTTTTCTTTGACTAAGAACGCCTTTAACAGACGCATTCGAGCAAGGAATTGAATACACATAAGAAATAATTTTTTACATTTCAATACTCATTGGTTTCGACTTTACAAGAAGAAAAGTCCAAAATTGATTAGACCGAAATTCCACTTCTTTTTCATGATTTTCGGTCGTCGGTTTGTGAATGAGATTATCTTCATCATGGGACTTGTTGCATATGTCATTGTTGAATTCTTCATAAACATGACCATTAGCAGCCAACCAATATAATTGACGCTTCACATCTTTATCAATAGTAAATGTCGGATAAAGAGACAGAAATTTTCTTAGTTTNGAATTCTTAATAAACATGACCATTAGCAGCCAACCAATATAATTGACGCTTCACATCTTTATCAATAGTAAATGTCGGATAAAGAGACAGAAATTTTCTTAGTTTCAATCAAAATATGGATGATAGTAGTCGTAACATTGAAAAATGCAGATGGGGTACAAAAGGCTCAAATTGGGTACTGTACCCCCAAATGGGGTACGGCTGGCAACCCTGATCGGGTATATTCTTATTTGGTCTTGCCTATTATCAAATTTTAATGTTTTGCGGAATTATATAAATAGACACGCATTATCATATCGATTATTATGTAAAGTTGATACAGTTGATTTCACGTATAAGAGAATAGACAACCCATAGTTTAGTAACAAGTCCAGTCGTATTTTTGAACCATGAAAAACAAGTTTTATTTTCATGGCACAATCAAGCCATACTCTGATCAGAAGATACTACAAGCGAGTTCACATCGACATTTGTACAATAAGTTCAAATTTTATATTATTTTTTGAGTACAATTATAGTTCATTCTATTTGCTCTAAAAAGAAAAGAAAAGAAAAAATAACGTTTCGTATTGTTCGAAGTATTTTCTTACATCTTTTGTTCTAAGCTTTTGTTTTGCCTTCAGAAAACAGTTCCAATTTAATTTCTTAGTATAATAGCTTTTTCACTAGATTTTTTGCGTTGCCTAACAAATAACGATATAATCAAGTCTCTGGGACACTATAAAGTTATATTAAAAAGAAAATAATGCAGAGCTTTTGTCTTACTTCTTTCCGGCAACAAACAAGTTTTATAGCATACTCACGTCAAATTTACTGCTGCAATTAGATATGCATTTATATGATCCAGTTGATAATTGAGAAACACAGTTTGCTAGATTGCTAGAAGAAAAGCTGCCAACATAACATCTATGCCAATACAAAGAAAATGGCAAGATACTGCAAGTAGATAGCTACTTCCAAGTTCCTATTATTGTACAGTCACAGTATGTCTTTCTAATCGATCGTTTACAAACAGTTTATCTAGACATAGGTACATAAAAAAAACGGATCGATGTGAAAGTTATAAATTTTAGTATTATTCATAACTTATCGAAATGAACGAACAATGTTAATACTTTCTCTGTGATCATTTGTCTGATCTAGTTATGTTACATTTTTTTCAAAAAAAAGAATTCAAATAATTTATATGTTGGATATAGGACCTGGTTCCTTGTAACAGTTTTTGTTTTGATATGAGTGATGATTCTATATCATTCAAGATACTTTATTGATGAGCTTTGTTTTCATCGAATTTCAGTTAAAAGATTGTTTACAGTTACATATCGTTTAATGAAACTATACCTTGATTTTCCATCTTAGTATTACATGGATATATAAGAGACAACTTTGCTTTAAGATAGTCTGTCTAATAGCCCAAAAAATGGTTCAAGTTTAAGGTATCGGTTTATTAATATGACATTTTGCCTATTAAAATTATACTGTTACAATATATTGAAAATTTAGCTTTAAAAACATCTGTATAATCTGATCTATGATTATTTAGAATATAACTCTGATCACGAGTGTTTACACGATACTTGATATAATAGTAATACATACTTTTGATGTGTGACTTCAAAAGGATAACACTTGACGACACCTAATAAATTATGCATTGCACATGAGATTATGATACGTTTAGTGTTTTTTTAAATATTGTGTCACACGAGAGAAGAGAATTTGAGATGACCAGTGCTTGTCTATATTTTTTTTACACTCTGCTAGCGTGGCACAAATTTAATATAAGCAAATATCTACGAGCATTTCATTCAATGACTTGACATTGATCCAGGTGATCACTCTATAGAGACATCTATCGAATAAGCAACACACACATATATATATATATATATATATAAACTGAAATAATTAAAATATACTATATCATTCTACTCAAAATACAGATACATTTTTGAGAGAAAAAATTTTCAATTCAATTTGTTTTCTGATATGGTAATGTGTGGGAAACAAAGACATTCTTGTCTTTTGTCCTCGTACTTCTGTCGTTCCTTGCTTGTCTGTTTTTAAACGTCTCAGTTTTCGTTTTGCTATATTGATCATCAAATAATGGCAACTGCATCATCGTCAGTACCGCTACTCTATTCTGTATTGACTTCATCTCATGATAACAATGAGGATTTTGTCAATCAATTGCGAAATCATCTTAATCAAATTGAAACAAATGTTCAACAAAGTTTAAGTCAAATTCAACAACATAAACCGTATACCTCACTTAAAGCAGCTACTAATCCAGTTGATTCAACAATGAGAAATAAATTTTTTACCATGTAAGCATATAAAATAGTACAATAAATATTAAGATTCGAAGAATTTTTTCTTACATTTAGACTCCGAGATGTGGCATCAAAGAATAATTTAGTATGATTGTATAATTTCATGTGATTGCTCATTTAAATGCTATTTCTATTTAGCCATTTGATGAATCCTTATTTCGTCGACAAATTTTAGATAAACAAGATTCATCGACATCATTGTAAGTCTATCGTAACTGATGAATTCATCTAAAATTGCTCATTTATAGAAAGGTTGATATTGTTCGAGCTACACCAACTCTTACCAATGATAATAATGATCAACATTTATCACCCGTTAATAATACTCGTCGATCTCAATTTGCTCCTGTTCTTAGCAGTACACCTGTACATCAAACAAGTCCAATTACACCGATTCCAATTGATCTTACAAGTATATAGTTACTCTTCATTCACAACCAATCAATTATTTTTCTTCTTCTCTCTAGTGGCTACTCCATCAGTTGCACCCGTTTTAACAAAAACTACAGATGCTCTTTCAACCGTTCTACCATCAGCTATTGTTCCGCAGCGAGCTAAAGTAGGACGTACAGGTGGCCGTCCTCCACGTATACCACGTGGTGAATCAGTAATACGTGAAAAACATAATACATCAAATATAAAAGAACAACAGGAAGAAACGATTCTTGCAAAAGAAGTTTACATTTCGTCAAAACGTCAAATCAAAGGAAATGAAGAAATAATTGAAGAAAATGTTGAAATTGTCATTGAACAAACAAATGAAATTCTACCAGATATTATTAAACAAGTGCAAACAACTCCATTGCGTGGAAAAGCTAGAAAAGTTAATCAAGAAAATGTTAATATTATTCCACAACTTGAATCACCACCACCAGTATCATCTGTACAGGAAATTGAAACAATAACAACAAAAACGCGGGGTGGAAGAGGTAAAAAGAAAGTCGACGAGAAAAAACAAGAAGTTAAACCAACACGAGTAGCGTCGGCACGTAATCGGAATAAAAAGGAAGAAGTTATCATTCCAGAAGAAGCAATTCCGAAATCTTCAAAAAGAATGACTAGAACTAAAAATGAAGATATTATTTCAAACGAAGAAGTTACAGTTCCAATAGAAAAAATTTCATTACCTTCGAAAAGAACAACTAAAAATAAAAAAGAACCAACTATTCAAAAAGAAGAAGTTCCAGAACCTTCAAAACGTACAACCAGAAATAAAAAACAAGACGTTATCATTCCGAAGGAAGATATTCCACAAGCTTCGAAACGAGTAACAAGAAATAAGAAACTTGATCAACCTATTATCAATACCGAAGAAGTAAACGAAACGAAGTTTTCTTTTTTCTGTTTTGACTGATTTCTTTTTCTTTTCAGAAACCGTCAACAGTTAAAATGCGTGCTACTCCATCACGTAGTAAAAAGATACTAACAATGGATAAAACTGAACCCATTATTCTAGCAACACCAAAGAAAATCATGACAAAATCGAATAAACGAAAAGGAATCGATGATGCAACTGAAAATCCAATTGATACTATTCAAGTAAGAAATTTCTGATGGTTATTTTGGAAATTATATTCTATTTTTTTTCACATCAGCCTTCGTCTCCAAAACGTCGTGTTGGTCGTAATACAAAATCTAAAAGTGCATCAGTATTAGAGACTATTGAAATACCGCCAACGATTGAACCAGAACTACAACAACCAAGAATTATGCTTACTCGAACTAGCCGCCGTGGTAAAAAAGACATTGAAATACCAATAGAAAAACAAGAAGTTACTGTTTTGAATAAAACTACTCGAACTGGTCGTGGAAATAAAACCAGTGAACCGATCAATACCGATAGTTCTACCACTGTTGCAGATCTCGTGATGACATCGGTTACTGTATCGGTAAGTAACAGTATATATTATATTAGTGTTTTTATTTATTGAATCTTATAGGCACCAGTTACGTCATCGGTAAAAACATTAATTTCTAAACCACCACGGCCACCTATTGCACGAAAGAAAAAAAGCATTGCAATGCCACCAATATCTCAAACATCTCCATCAACACCATCACCAACAATATCAAAACGTATTCAATCAACATCTCCTATTGCTGATAAGCCATTATTACCATTACCTGTTCCAACAAATGGTGGTCGGCGTCGTCAACCACAACGTGAAGTACTTATAACACCGCCTCGAGTAGACAAGCCTATGCTAGAAACGTTACCCTCAAATACTCGTAATCTAAAGCGTACACGGTCATCCGTAGCAATAACACCAAAACGAGTTCGTCGTGATGATCTTGTTATAGTAGCTGTGCCGAGTACACCAGGTAGAAAACGAAACGCATGTACGTGCCAAAAACGAAGAAATAAAATATGCGACATTTGTGCAGCAGCCATTGAAAGTTAACAAATGGCTCTACTTTTCTTTTAAATATATTTGTATAAAATCTATGTACTAGCACATGTCTTTGTCTATTGTAAATGTGTTTATGTGTTACGTTACTCTACATAATATTCTAGTTTGCCTATTTTTTTTTCTTTCTTGTGTTATGACTTTGTCAGATGATGAAAAATAAAATTACGTCTAATCCATATGATATTGGATGTTGTGATTACTTTCAATGTAGCATACAATTCAATTGTTTATGATGCATTTTTAATGATATTAAGAATATTCAAAGAGATACAAATTATTTTACTGTTAATTTCGGTGACCTGAAATATTCTAAAATGTCCTGAAAGCTTATATTCATGTTCATTTCACAGTATACGAGATTGATCGTATTTTATAATCGGACATTGCATTGTTGAAATATTATTTTGAAAAGTCTAGGCATACTGTAAAAATGATTTATGAGATATTTTTGTTACAGCATATACGTGTGCTACACAACGACATTGAGAGATAACTGTAACAATGACTTGTTCTGGTTCACTGGTCATCGGCGATTTAGTTTCTACTTCAGCCAGTTATATTTGAAGTTTGCTGTATTCCCTATGACGAATAACGGTATTCGTCAAGTATATTTCAGAAGAAAAAATAATATTCTCGAAATATCTCGATCATAGTGACATTATGATTGCATGGTGGAAATAAGACAATAATATTGGATAGTAGAAATGTTTTATTTTTTGCTTTATTTTTTCTTAAGTATTATTAATACATAATAACATTAGTTGGAGTTGATTTTAGAAATAGAAAAGGATACAGCGTAAAAAGCAGATTTTTATTTGTTTTTGGCAAAATTAAAGAGCTGACCGATATTGGCCTCCTTAAAGAGGGGACCATGGATTTTACCAGGCGCCAAGCTTGAACCGAAACTGGTCACTGCTACTTGTAAACCTGATCCTGTATTGCTATTGTAACTTCGGATCCACGGACCACCAGATGAGCCACCATTCATTCCACAGGTGATTTGCATTCCCTTGAAATTGTTTGAAAGCATACTCACAATAGCTGATGGCTTCGCTGTTTGTCCATTACATGTGTCCATGACTTCGCCCTTTTCACTATTAGCCGGGTAGCCGAATAGATGAGTTGTACCTACTTCCGGGGCATTGAGAGAAATACCAAATGCACCAGTGAGATCTTGAACATGTTCATTTTCGTCGTTTATATCGACTAGAACAACGGCAACATCATGAGTGTAGTCTACTTTAGCCATCCATTCTTGTGTGGTTACTATTGAACGCGCTGGAAATGTACCATGTGGGCGCACATTGTTTTCATAATGTGGCATGAAGATTAAATTTGTTGCGAAGACTTTAGCAGTATTATTGTAGACACAATGACCAGCGGTTACGACTGTGTCACGATTTGCTGCGTTCACTACGGAACCAGAGCACATGTAAGTCAACTTATCGAAGCTGAAATAGATTTTACCGACCGCTGGTGGACCAACAGGAGCTTTTAAGCTTAATGGAGCAGGTGCAGCCAATAATCGTTCGGTGTTTTTCGCTTCAATCTCCTGAATATCAAGGGGAGACACTCGAATATTGGCATCAAATGACGATTCCATTGGTCGAGCAGAAGCAATTCGTTCTGGTGTCCAAAAATCAATGACCGATCGTAAGTATTCATGGCGGGTTTGGCTACGAGGAATTGGAACCTCATAGTGAAAAACACCCGAATTGGAGCCAATTGCAGCACCACTATTGGCACTGATAAAGCCAAGAATGAATAAGACAGCGAAGAGAGACATGATCGTTGTTATGTTGTAATTTTCTGAACTGTTTGTAACTAATCATCAAACTTCGATGGACGAGTATTTATAGCTATTCGAATATGGATATCTCAAAAGCGTAGGAGTAGACATTTCATCGAAAAATAATTTGATAAGATTGAATCATAAAGTATTTTCGTTTCTTCAAGCAATAAAATGAGCTTGTGCCTATTATGCATTTTCTTTCAAGTTGCTTCAGCAAGTTTTATATACTCTTCAAAGTATCTCTCTGTAATGAGGTGATATAATAAAAGTTAATCATCTACAAGAAAGTGCACAATACATCGATATCACTTTTATGATTTTGTTTTTCAATAGATTTATAGTTCAATTAGAGTCACTTTATAGATAACAAAGGAACACTGTAAAACTATTCTTTATTTTCGTGCAATGTCGATTGTAAAAATTCTAGATAGATTTGTTTTGAATGTGATTATAATATCTATTGTTTTATATGACTTATTAATCTACCTGACAGTAAGTTCGATGCCCAAGTTGATCAAAACGGACTCGTTTACGGTCTGTTTATCGACGGTAAACGATGTCAAAACGGTATATTTACGGCAGTAAATAGGCCTTATTTGCCCGTAATACCTGGCGCAGTAATACGGCACCATAAATAGGACTGAATTTTCATGGTTTACGGCTGTTTGTGCTTCGCACTCTCATGATAATACGGTCCGTATTACTGCGCCAGATATTACGGCAAACTGTCGCCCGTAAAATAGTCATAAAGTAACCGTCAACGGCCGTATACGGACCGTACTGTTCGACCTGGGCGTGAATGACTTTCGCACCCATATTTGTTAGCGCCAGTGTAGCTATAACTAATGGCTTGATATTTTGTCCATTTAATCTGTGTATGAATAGATTTACATGAGATTCTTCGTTGAGCGCTGAGGATATAAAGTGCCGGCATGAGTGGTTATCAGGAACCTCTGTTAATTTTTTTAGCATCTACATATATCTGTTATCGATTTTAAATAATAAGATACTCTATCAGTGGATCGATTCACTTTGTAGTAGATCCATCTGAAATTTCTGTTCTAAACTTCTTTCTAAAAAAAACTAGCAACACCAGATGGCACAGTTCATACATCAAAAATTCGACTTCTTATGTAACCAAGTATTTTTATTATTTTCTTTTGCTCCTAATTTTCTTTTGATAAATATACCATAAAAACTTGCTAGTGCAGTCTCATTGGCGTTGAAATGTAGAACTCACATATTCTATATAAACTATGATATCTAACCACATTTAACATTGATTGGTATAATTTGTAATGGGGAGGGCAAGAAGAGCAGGAAAGCTTCAGTCTGAAGAGCGTAGTTATGGATGACTGCTAATGTAGATATCCACTTGAACTATATCAGCAATATAGAATTTGATTCGCACTCATCGAAAAGGAGCTAAAGCTTATGAAATAGCCTATATTAGCTTGTCAAAACATTGAATAACAATGGTTTTTTGCAATATCAGCTGTGTAAATATATGTTAGATTCAAATGTTTCGTTTTTATCGATCTTTTTGTTTAAAATGCATGCTGACTGTCATATAAAGAGTGCTTATATGAAGTAACGGACGATATTCTAGGAATGTTCTCATATGAATTACGCAAGAAATTTCTACTTTGTAGAAAAAGAAGAGTATTCATATTCAAGTTGGATGTGGGTCTGAAGAGTAATAAATGAATATGTAAAATAAAAAAATGTATTCTTTTATGGATCTTTTCATCTTCGAAAAAAACTGATAAATTTTCCTTTAAAATTGACATAGCTCCCAATAGCGTTTAATATTGTCAAACACTTTTATAGTGTTGACTGAAAAAATTAGTCGTCACAGAGAAATTCAAGAAATCAAAATATCAGTTATACATACCACATTACTACAGGTATATTCAAATTTTAACTTATGCACATTATGATATGACCGTCACAGTCTGCATAATCCACGGTCGGCTTCCTAGGAAGGAAAGAAATTTAGAAAGCTTGATGAAAGCCACCTAAAAATTAAGATGAAGTTCCATAGAAGTTCAAATGTTTTTCTGAAGATACTATTGTCATATAAGTACAGTTTTTTGTGGTATTCACATCTCAGAGAAAATACATCTATTTTACTTGAAATCTTTATTATCAATCGGCATCTTGCGATTGCGCCAATAAGAAAATAATGAATTTACATGAGTTAATTATTGATGGATTCATCATTATTATTAGGTACAGCGCATGTCCGTAATTCGAGCAGCTATTCACACACCTTCAGAGGTTCCTCTTTTTTCAAAAACGTTTCTGCAGAAACATATCGATTTTTTACATTGTTGAGTAGAGAAATGTTTTCTCTATCCAATGATGTAAAAATCTTTTTTTTATCTTCAAAATTAATTCAGTAATTAGCGGTAGTTTCAGAGAAATTGAATTTGTCCGTTTTAGGGGCTCTGTTTCTAATACGAACAACAAGCAAAAGAATGTTCCTAATTCGAACACCCACCAAAGAACAAGCTAAATTTTCAAAAAATCACCAAATTAACTTTTTCACTATTAAAAATTAAAAATTTTAAAATAGTTCAATGACAAAAAATGTTTCTTGTTAATCGAGGAGTTTTAATTTAGAGGTTCAGAGTTTTTCAAATTATATTGACCGAGTTATTAAATTAAAAAGAAGTATCCTAGCTGTTCGAATTAGGATCACTGTACTTAATTCGAACAGCCAGCTAAAAAATGTTCCTAATTCGAACAGATTATACAAAATACATAGAAAAAAAATACTTTTTTAGTAAATGAAGCTTTTTTATGTTTCAAATCAAAAATTTCTTTTTGTTTCCGATAGAAAAGATGCTTGTTGACCCATTCCGAATTAATATCCAGCGGTTCAACTTAATCTGGCACTAGCACATATCGTCGCACGATCACTTCGTCGCAGAAAAATTCTTTTCGTTCTGTTCGTCCCTATCTATTTGTCTCTTCTCTCTTAATGAATTATTCTTTTGTGTATAACCAATGGAGACAGCATAAATTAAATGAAAAATTACCAGAGATGTGTACAAAAGTGATAGATAATTAATTGTGCTAAGACATATAATTTTAATTCGGTAAAAGGATCAATAAAAAATAGTATTCTCATTTAATTGTGATAGTGCTAAAGCTAATAAAGACTAATCACAATGGTCGCTCGCTGCATGAATTTCAGTGTAATCTAAACTAAAAAACACTGATCCGAGATTCTTAACTATGGAACCATGTCAAATAAAAAAAATACATTTCACTTCTCAATTTCAACTTTCAATGCGCACTACTTCTCAAGCAAAATGTCTGAAACAGGAAAACTGTTTTTTATAAAAGAAAAAGCAATGATGCTCCAAGGTTACATCTATACTAAAAAACGTATAATAACGACGGAATTTATTCTTCGATCTCAGAATCAAGATTGTAAAGCTAAGATCTTTTTGAACATCAGTCAATTAATTGAAATAAAAATTATTTATCCAAAAAAACTCGTTGTTATGCCAATTTATCCTTGAACACATTTCTCTCAGCGCTAATATCACACTCTCATGCTCCGAAGCCCGGTCGTTTTCATATTATCTAATTAAAAATTGACATTAAAATTCGACTGATCAACTTCCTCGGCTCATCTCAACTAGATCAATTCTTAAAAAATATAGCAGCCAACATAACTCTTCAGATCATTTTTTTTCGTTAGTTTTGGTTTTTTGCTTATATTTTTTTTCTCAATCTATTCCTCATGATGTTGTATGTTAAGTATGCACAAACTACACAGAAATTAACTGATAAGTTTTCCTTTGGTTATACGCAAAAAAAAATTCATTAAGAGAGAAGAGACAAATAGATAGGGACGAACAGAACGAAAAGAATTTTTGTGCGACGAAGTGAACGCGACGAAATATCGTGCGACAATATGTGCGGTCACCGCGAACAAGAGTAATCGACGAGCTTTTGATACAGCCTCATCATTATCCCAGAAGTGTTTTGGTGAGACTGACGATGTCAACAAGTGCTTATTCACGGACGCGTGTTCTTGAAGTTTGTCCATAGAAAGCATTTCGGGCTGTTATGTCCAAAATAAAATGCTTTATATACTAGAGTTTGAATAAGACCGTTCGTAGGTAACGCACTAATAGTATATCAGATAGATTAAGGGTAGTGAAGCGTACCACTTAGTTTTTATTTTGTTGTCATTCGTTTACACCTGTACACTAATATGCTGTC